ACATGCAGGAAATTGCAAGTCATGGTTGCTTCAGCCTTGGTATGGTGGCTTGTTTTGACCCTTTATTGCATGATAAAAATATGTGGATGTATCCTCGACTGTTTTGGGAGACTGGAGTACTCGGGCAGGTGTTGTACCTTGAAGCACATGCAGTTGGCATTTCTGCAACAGGAATTGGTTGCTATTTTGATGATCCTGGTACGATCTCTTCCCTCACCTTCTTTTTGTAATGATTCCCAATCCTATAGGAATATCACATTACATGGTACATTAGACATAAGGACTGAATTGTGTGGATTTCAAAACTGTTAGTGCACTCGTCCACATTAATTGTGGTAGTTTGTGCTATAAACAAGTCTTTAAGAATGTTGAATAGAATTCAATGTCTAAGGTCATAATTAAAAGATCACTATGTATAATCACTTGTTAAATCAGAGTCATCAGCTAAATCGGGTCCTAATATACTGAAGCATGACTGGCCTCAGTAGAGAGCTGTTAACCAAAATATATTGTAATAAATATGACCATATCTGTATTTATATATGGCAAAGCCCACTCCATCAAGGCCTATGCTTTTGCACATTAAGTTGTATGCCTTGTCTATTTCAGAATAAGGCTTTTTGTCATCCTCTCAAAAAAGTCAAGACACATTTAGCCAAAAATATTGAAATAATCAAGAAATTAGTTTGGACAAGAGAATAGGTGAAATTTATTCAGTTCACCCAGTCTGAGACTGATAATGTCTATGAATAAAGAGTATGCATTGAATTATCACCATAAACATCTTTGAGTTCTATAAAATTCAGACAAGTTACTGCTGATTTGATCTTGAAATGTGGTAAACTATGTCCTAATCACATTGGGCCGCCCCATAATACTCCATCTTCAAGATAAGATGCTCTCAATTATTTCCTAGAATGACTCTCATGAGTACGTGCTGACAAAGTCACCTAATTTTTTGCTATTCACCCTAGCTTGACTCACTCCTCTAATCATCAGCCTCTGCCTGATTAAGAGCACCTCCCAATTATTTCTTCAACAATCCTAAGCATGTAGAATGGATACATTTCACAACACTTTGAAGGTAGAGTTGTTAAAAATAAATAATGCAAAATATGTGAAACCTGAACACTATGGGGAACAGGTTGGCCAGTCACACTCACATATATATGGGTTGGCAGTCTGTTCAAATAAAGCAAGTTTGGTTTCCCTTGAAGGCTCAGGCTTTTAACTACATTTGTAATTATATCTGATTATGCATGTAGCTGAATCACTGATCTTTTTATAAGTCGTAGTTATCATAGAGATGGCCTAAGATAGTATTTTCAATTACTTAGGTTATGTGCTGTATGTACTTGTAACTTGTAAAGGATTCTGAAACAATTTTAAAGATGATACAATAGAGTAGATCATTCCAACATGTGCGCTTGTTGCAAGTTATAAAAGTGAAGCAAGAATGCTTTTAAAGGCATCTTTGCATATGCCATATGTGTTTTATTAAAATTTATGGTATTGTTGTGTTGCAGTGCATGAACTGCTCGGGTTGAAAGGATCAAACTTCCAAAGTTTATATCACTTCACGGTGGGAGGCCCAGTAGTTGACAAGCGGATTATGAGCCTACCAGCGTATCCTGGCCCTGATGTTGATGCGTAATCGCAGGGTTTTAATTATTCTTAGATATCCTTTTAAGGCTTATACCAAAATCCCCTTAATTGTCATGGATGTATATACTAGAAGTTGCCTGCCAATTAGTTTTTAGTTTGGCAGACAAGTACTTATGTACCTCGTATTAGTTAAAAACTGCTGAGCATTGTAAATCTCTGAGAAGTTACATTCAATATAATGGTTTTAGCCATATGGTTTTTATTACGTAAGATTCAATTATATTTCTTTTCACTCTGTTTTTTTTTGGTTGAGAAAAGACGATCAATTGCATAGAAGATTAAGTGGGGATACAATCTTGAATGAGGGGATCCTGAACAAGCGCAGGGGCCTCACCAAACCAAAAACAATCTTGAAGCAAATGAAAGTTCTCACTCCTTAAACAGCTCGCTTTTGTAAACGTTTGATGAGCTTTGTATCCAAGCTGCTTATACAAATATGCTTTTGCTTGTTTGCTGGAGCTAATATTAGGTCCAACAATGACAAAGTAAATTCTAGACTAATTTCCCAAAAAAAGAAAAAGAAAAAAAAAGAGAGCATGAAATTCAAAACTAAAAGAAATCCCCAATCAGCGCACATATTTAATAGTTTGGACTTCAGCCTTCATTGTATCATTGAGAAAGAAATGGTAAAGCGAAACAATGTTTGTTGTTAAGAAGTTTATTTTACAGAGTTTAAACATGTTAGATGGGGCTCAATGTGTGTAATTTCTTAATGTTATTCAACTAAGTTAATTGGATTAGACTATGAATTTAATGAATAAGTGCGGCTTTTTCAAGCTAGGCTCTTCTTAATTTTGGATTGAATAATTGGGCTTAACATAATTTTTATGTATTATTTTTATTTTTATTTTTTTTATTTTTATATATAGTATACGTATCATGCTATGTAATGTATATATACAAACTGGAAACCCTGTAAGTTTGGAGGCTCTAGGCGGCCTCCTTTGCTTGCTTGTGCTCAGAGCCTTTCCTGATTATATAGATATATTTATATATTATTTCTTTCTATTCTGAACTATCTAGTAAGATAATATTTTCCTATACATATATATGTGAAAATGAATTTTCATAGGACATGTAATTACTAGAAATAGTAATACTTGGTTAGTAGTAACACTCAAGTGAAATTAGACGAGCATTGATTAGGGTTTTAATTGTATTTTGGGTTGGCTCGACAAAAAAGTAAACACTTGATAAGAGGAAAATAATTGTATTTTGTTTGGGGTAATACAAGAGACTTCTCCAACAAAAAGAAAAATAATTGTAGTTATAAAGCAAATTGAAGCACGCAACACAAACAGCATTTGTGTTTGGGTGATTTTTTACGGTGGCGACCTGGCAACTGAAGGGATTTGTTCGGTTGGTTTAATTCATCATGTCTGATAAAAATTTAAAAGTACATTATAATTAATCAGAATAAAATATTGGTTTTCCCAATGAGATTAGGAAACAGAAAACTATAAATACATATGTAGCCTGAGCCTTTTGTAAACACTAGCTACTGTGATTTAGGGTTTCCAAAATTCCCTATAATCTTTTCTCTTTCAAACGATCGAGATCCTTCACTTCACTAGCTACTTCCTCTTTCACTTCACTAGCTACTTTCTCTTTCAGGCAAGATGAAGGCTTTGAAGGAACAGCGATGCGAGCGAGAGCCTCCTGTTGACGTTGACGATGACGACTTTGCTGGACTCGCTTGCCCTCTCGACGACCTTGAAGCTGTCGTCATCCTTGAAAGTGAAACCACGACTTTCGATCCCTTCTTGTTCGACAACGTCAAACTTGATGACCACAACATGGCAATTCAAGAGAAGCCCAAGAAACCACCATCCCACGGCAAAGGGAAGAATTTGGAGACCCTCCGCTTGGTGCTATGCGCACCACCTCCATCTTCTTGTCAACAAAACCCTACGGGGCCAACAAAATCTGATGCTCACCATCAACGGCAACACTGGGATGATGAAGAGAAGTTGGAGAATAGCAAGCGAAAGCTTCACCAAGGCTATCAAGAGTTCCAAAACAAGAGAAAGAAAATTCAACTTCTTGACGTCAAGAACTTGCCTTTGCCGTCTAAGCCTCAGCGAGGCCGGGTTTTGAGAGAGAACAAGCCGTTGATCAGTTCGAGGAAGTGCCCAGAGCCTTCTGATTTTTCGAAGAGCCAACAAAACCCTAAGGAGCTCACAAAATCCACTGATCATGATCTTCATCATCGGCAAGATTGGGATGATGAAGAGAAGTTGGAGACTAGTGTTCGAAAGCTTCACCAAGGCTATCAAGAGTTCCAAAACAAGCGAAAGAAAATTCAAGTTATCGACATCAAGAACTTGCCTTTGCCGTCTAAGCCGGGACGAGGTCGGGTTTTGACAAAGAACAAGTTTCTGACCAGCTCCAGGAAATGCCGAGCCTTCTGATTTCTTGGAGAACACGTTTCTTATTATCTAGTTTATTCTTTAATTGATATCAGATGTAAGTACCTGGTTTTTGAACCACAAAACGATTATAAGTACATGATTATAAGCACATTTTTTATTCAATTAATTTGTGATCAGTTTATGTACAATTGTAATTCAAGTTTCTCGACTCCAACTTCTCTTGTTCAGTTTTGATTATAAAGCAAACTGAAACACACAAAACACACGAGTGGGATATTTTGGTTTAATTTGAGCAATTTTTTCCTATTAATTTTCTCTTTGCTTTGATCATTTTCAAGTTTTTCTCACTTCTCTCCACAGCCTCTATATCTCTCCGAGTTCTCAACCACAAAATGATTATAAATATAAATGGGTTTTTGTGACAGCAATGCCAACCAATATGCCCTCAACCACATGTAATGTATGTTCATTGCGCATGACATGCAGTCATATCCCTTTTATAACCTTGAAAACTTTACCAGTATGACACAATACAATTGCTTGCTGGTATATTTCGTATTTTAAATGCTTAGATGTCAAGTACCCTTCCTGCAGTATGATGCCATTTTCAGGCCTCAGATTTGAACACTTCAGGGATCAGGGTACCTTATTTCATTTTAAATTAGAAACTTTTGTGCCAAACTGTCAAGACCCTTTCAGGAAACTTCATTGTGCATCGCTGGAGTAGGAACGGGGAATCTGTTGTACTGATTATAACCACACTTTTCCCAGACTTCCCCGCTGTTAGGTCCAGCAATGGCAATACTGAGACCCCACATCAACACAAGTTAACATTTTACAGCTTGAAATCTTCCCAATTTGGATAGCTGAAGCTGACTTCAACAAGTTGCAAAAAGTGAAGATGTGAGCTTAGTGATAGTAGGTTCAGGAAACAGGAACTCCACACTGTTATCCGTCCACTTCTTAGGAGCCACAACTGAGGCTTTCATCATCGTCAACCTTGCCGTTGGCCTTGTTCTTTTCCTTAGCTGCAACAAACTTTGGCTGAATCCAATTCCCTCTCCTTTTGGCAGCTTTAATCGGCTTCTCATCCAGATCACAGTAGAAGTGGAGTTTCAGATCATGCACATGAATAATCTTAGTGAAAACTGGGTTAAGGGAATCCATCATGTGAGACAACCCATGCTTTTTTTCTTCCAGCGGCACAAGTACTCCAACCAGAGAACAGCCCTCAAGTCAAGATGGGATTGTGTGTTCATCAAGCAACAAAAGAGTTGTTGCTCAAAAATTTTCCTAGCTAATGACATTCTCATCCTCCCCACCACCACTAAATGACTTAGTGGGAAAACCTTGTATATCCTTTGTGAAACCCAACCCAGTATAAACTTTGAACCTTGCGCTTCAGCAGCATATGACCCCATGAACTGCCATTTTTTGTACAACTCAAGCTTATTTCCTGCGTCGTCATCATTGTCATGATCGCCCTCTTCTTCACAGCTGAAAGCAGAAGCTGAATTCTGCAAAGTTTCAACCTCTTTCAGGAGCTTTGAAAGTTCTTCATTAGTTGAAACAACTGCTTCAACAGCAGTTCTATCACCATCACCAACCGTGTCCTCTTCAAAGAAAAGCACATCAATGTCTTTTTGGTACTAGAATCTTCCCCCAAGCAAGAAGCTTCAAGAGGGTACGCTTGCACATTCCATTAGGCCCAACCAAGCCATATCTCTTACCATGTTATCTTCACTGATGCATTCTTTAGAAGTTCCTTTCCCGGAGCCAACACAGAAAAATCTTCTGTTATTATATCCTTGACATTAGCATTGCCATCTTCACCATCACATACCAAAGATCAGGTTCGAATAACAACAGTGAAAGCATCATGATCATTTTTAAGGGCCTCCTGTTTTGCCTACTCATCAGCATGGGAAGCAAGAAGGTCCTTTTCGTGCATTTTTAACTCGTCTGTTATGGACGCATCAAGGGGCTTAAAATTTTGTTTGTCTACATTTTCTTCCTCTTGTTCTTCTTCATCCGAGAAAGGGAGATCAATACCATCAGAATAGGGTGAAAGCTTTGGAGCACCTTTTGCCATTCTACTCAAGGGAGATTGTTTCTTGGGCTTATTTGGGTTTCTAGTCCATGCTCGCCAACATGGCATAGACTGAATTTTCCCTTTCTTCCCATCTTTAGAAGCATCTTTTTTCCAGTTGATTTAAACTTCATGGTTGCACCAACCTCCTCTGTCTTCTTCTTTCCCAGTGCAGCCGCAATCTAATAAATAAAAAGAGATTATTATTTCAACTACCTTCAACTGATGTTAAAGTGTTCGACCGAAAAAAGAAACTGGCATTAAAGCAAAACCAAATGAGTATGTAATTGAATCAGCACATTTGAAGAAATTGTGTACAGTACCATATTTGTTCAAGAATATGGTTTTCATGGACAGTACACAGAAAATCCCTTGCAAAGTATGAGGCTTTCAACTTCATGTAGGGAATAGAGATGGAAAAGTGGAGGGACGGAGTTCACCCCACCTATGCTACCATTTCTTCTCCCCATGCCCACTATTGCAGTCAGGTCATGACCTACGTTTACCAATCACAATTTCTCAATCCTCCATATCAGTAAACAGCATTCGAAAGAGCCACGTGTTATAAGAATATTGAAAATGCATCAAGTTCGAAATTGAAGGGGCTACTGAATCCAAAAATGTCATTGAACTCATATTTAAATGAATCCAAGAAGAGACCCATGGAAAGCCCAGCCTTCCAATAATTAAACATGGTTATCAGGCTCCTAGTCTTCATTAGTAAAGGAAGAGAAGCCTTGTACATGAGGGCTCCAATCCCCTCCACAACAACCACAGCAAAGGCAGCAGATAGAATGTCCCAGTCGCCTGTTTGCCCAATCACAGTAGCATAAGCAGTTGCACAGTAGAAACCAACCAAGAAGAAGAGTACTTTAAATAGGAAACCTCTCCTTAGCTCTCGAATTTTGCCACCTAACTTGGTTTGAATAGCTTGGATAGCCCTAATTAAACGTGTTGTGCCAGTAGTGCCATTTGTTGGAGATGGGTCTAACCCGCTGCTATCCACACTGCTTCTGATAGACCATGTCATCGTCCTGTACAATTCAAAAGGAGACCCCAAATTATAGGCAGAGGGCAAATTTCAATAAGATTGCCTTAAAACTACTTTGTGGATTTTCCTAATACTAATATGTTTCAGTGCTATGTACTACTTTATAAAGCTAGCTTTCACAAATCTAAGAGTTTTTGACATTCAAATGCCAAAGAGAAGAAAGGAAAGCCTGGGTTTGAAACTAATTCTTAAAAAGCCATCATGTTGCAATAACAAGACACTCATTTCCTATAAGCACACCAAACCACGCATTCCTAACACAGTATCAATTCACATGGTAACTTACTTGAAATTGTTCACTAGTAGAGGCTGAGGTATGCAGAAGAAACAGCTGCTAGAACTGAGTTTCAGGCGGAAAGCATGAGGAGGTTTGTAAAACATGGGATAAAGACCCGAAGCTATAACTCTGGACCTGACAAACTTGGAAGAATGAAGCTTAACACTTTTTGGATAGTTACCGGATGTAGCTGCAGCCGCCATTACCATGTAAAACCTACAAGCATCCATTCACTGTGTAATTCTAAGTATGAGAAATAAATTATAATATAAAAAAATGAAGATTTATCCTCAACAAGTATTCTTATAAATTTTTTTGCCTATACTGACCAGATATATGAATGTTGTGGGGTAAAGAATTACAGCCAACATCACAGTTCTAGAAATGTTAAACACATTACCCCACAGTTACAAAAACTCTCACAATCAAAATTTGTAGCCCAATTTCATTGACACGACATAACTTTCAGTACTTCAGTAGCCATTTTCACTGGCAGTTTTTCTTTCTTTTGTTCATTCACATGTGGCCTTATTTGTTGATCAGTAAACATTTCATAACTTGGAAATTAAACATCAATGAAACTGAACAGATTTTACCCACGAATTTCAGCCAAGGATTTGAATAATATCTGGAAAATAAAAACTTCTGGGTTTTGTTAATGGAAGCACCAAACTGAAACATACAAAGAAAACGCACACTTCACATGTAAAATGGGAAACAAAAAGGCATCTGGTTCATTACTATGACGAGAAACTGATTTTTGGTGTTCAAACTGAATAAGGTTTCGAATTTGAAACTCTCTCACTGACTGTCTAGTGTTGAGGCAATTGACTGATTTCAGTTCAATTTCTAATTGAGAGTGAACAATTAGGGTAAGACATGTTTGCTGAATTATTTTGCATTTCCATTTCAGTAACAAAATGCAGTATCTGATTCATCTGTAGCTCTATTTGCAGAGAAAAAATTACCATGTTCGGATTTCATGATAATGAATACTCATGATTAAGAGACTAATTAACCGCATGAAAAGAAAAGGAAAAAAAACCCACCAAGAAAGAACGAAAGAAACAATCTTTAAAAGGAAAAAAAAACCCAGGTCACGCCCAAGATAGCATACCTGCTTATTGGGCCGAACCCATTTGCCAGCATCCCAATCTTGATGCAATCTGAGACGCTCTCTCTCAAATTCAATCAAATCTGGAGGGTTTTCAAACACCACTCTGTACTTGGAATTGTTGTCACTATCTTTATAATCCGCATCGACCACATCACCCTCCTCAAAGTTTTGGATTTTTGGTCACCCAATGGAGGCGGTACAGGCCTCAAGTAAGCCGAATCAACGTACTCTTTGAGCTGCTGCGAGCCGTCTTCGGTGACCAAGCTCTCGTACTCCACCAAGGCCCTTTTCCTCTTCTTTGAGGCTGAGTTTGTGGGACTTGTGACAATGGTCGCTCTGAACCAGGCTTTATCTCGCAAGTCCACAAATTCTTTATCGGAAAATATAAAACATAAATGTGTATGTTGCATCTATTGCAATTGACAAAGTAATATTTGAGAAAGATTAAATTGCAGAGAACCCAGAAAGAAAGTAAAAGAAAAGGAGAAGTTTATTCTTACAGTTTGAGATTCTAGGTGAAATGAGCTGGGATATTGAGCTGTGAAAAGTTTTGAGCCTTTCTTTGCTTCTTCAGCTATGGGCCGTTACCGTTCAAATCAAACGACCTTGGTTTCTTTATCTTATATATTTTATGCATTTTTCCTTTTACTTTCTTATTGGGTTTTGGTCACTACGAAGAACCGCATGGAAGTGAGCATTTGGAGTTGCAGTGGAAATACAATTTATCTCCTTGCCTTCGGTTTGGAAGGCACAAAAATCTATTGGTTCAAAATAAAGCCATTATATATGGATGTAAATAAGCAAAATGTATTTTTTTTTAATTTTATATATAAAGCGATATTATGAAAAGACGGAATGGTAAAAAAGAAAAAATCAATTTCCTTCAAAATAATAATAAAATAAAAAGAAAAAGAAACAATAATAATAGTATTTTCCAAAATTAATATTAATATTAAACAAAAAATGATAATAATAATAATAATAGCGTCAATGATGGGGATCGGGGTCAGGACACAGGTCACCAACCACATACACGAGCACCGAAATCTAGGGCTAGTGCAAACTCACATATATCGTAGCAAATTCATGCCACAAATAAACTATTTCATTAATCATCAATATTCCATCTTCTACAACTATTACAATAGCCTTATTTATAGGCTTTACAAGACTTGGGCACCAAGACTGCTTGGTCCAAAAATAAACTAATTAATTATAAAATCACACATAAATAATAAAAGATATCCTAAAACTACCTAAATAAGAAAATAACAATATATCATGAAATAACTAATTAAATGATAAATATCTATCTTGATCCACCCCTATGCTCCTGCATCAGAAACCCCTGGTTGGAAAGAATTCGTCCTCGAATTCAAGCCTTTGATTGAGGAAAATCCGAGTAGAATCTTCAATTGCTTCATATTAATTCTGGATCTTTTAGCATCCAATTGAAACCTTCCTTTCCAAATAAAAAGATATTTGGAATATTTCGTTATTCTTAGCTTCTTCTTACTCCCTCTAACAATGCAAATGTTTCTCTCTAGAATCTTCAACCGATTGACAAAATCAACCAAAGTTTTGGCAACCTTCCAAGTGAAAACATTAATGCCCAAAAAATCAATAATATCTTCGAAAGTTTTCTCAATTCTCATCTCTTCACTGTTCTGATCAATAAATTGCTTTGAACACCCAAATAATTTTCATTGCAATTTTCACAGTTGCAAGGATCAAATATTGGAGGCAAATCCAAATTTAATAACTTTGATGAATAACAAGATGCACCAAAATTACCAAATCTATTTTTACCTTCAAAGACACAATGAGAATAACCATGCCCCTCTTCACTCGATTCACACAGCGAAGCGCAATAATGAAAAGGGCTATCCCCCTCGTACTCCCCGTCGAGACTACCACGGCTTAGAGTGTCGATGCGAGCTACTCGGTTCAGATAAGGGTTCACGCATCTCTCCCCGTCAGAACTCTTACCTATCTGGGTTCGAGCTTCGATGCGAGCGACGCGTTCCGTAAGTTGCTGTAGCATCCTCCTAATTTCCTTCATGTCGTTGTAGTTGTCAATACGACCCTCCATCCAAAAACCTCCCCGATAAAGCAGATCTTGAGCCATAGCTCTGATACCAATTGATGGGGATCGGGATCAGGATACAGGTCACCAACCACATACACGAGCACCAAAATCTAGGGCTAGTGCAAACTCACATATATCGTAGTAAATCCATTCCACAAATAAACTATTTCATTAATCATCAATATTCCCCTTTTCTACAACTATTACAATAGCCTTATTTATAGGCTTTACAGGACTTGGGCACCAAGACTGCTTGGTCCAAAAGTAAACTAATTAATTATAAAATCACACATAAATAATAAAAGATAACTTAAAACTACATAAATAAGAAAATAACAATATATCATGAAATAACTAATTAGATGATAAATATCTATCTTGATCTACCCCTATGCTCCTGCATCAGTCAATAGAGTGGGGCAACTTATCATGCTGATTATTAGACATCTGAAGCTAGGAGAAGCATGTTTAAAAGAAAAACTAAAGAAGCTAGGATAAGGGGATGACAATAATGTTAGTAGAAAGGGCATTTACATAGGCAACAGGGTCTAACCCAGAAAAGAGTCTTAATTTGCATACCAGTAGTACAAGTGTTTGAGAAACCTCTTTGCTATTGTAATTTAAACGAGGTCTAACCCAAAAAACAGTCTTAATTTGCACATCAATAGTGCGAGAAACCTTTCTACTTTTATAATTTAGACGATCCCTTATATTAAAAAATATTTGCACAATTATCATGTTAACGTGATTGTTAGATGTAATCAAGTAACGGCTATAATTGTCAATTAAGACATGATTATAATGAAAAAAAAATATATCCATGCATGGCCGACCGTTTAGTGCTTGGTGTATTGATGGGTGCAAATAAAAGACCCCTTTACTTAAAGATGAACGGGCTGGAGTTGCCCAGCCCACTGTGCTTAATTTTGTCAACCCATGTAACTCTCCCCCCAAAAAAAAAGGATAAATTATAAATTCTTTTTCTATCAAACAGTGAAAAGAAAAGGACAGAAAAAATGCGTTTTATAGTAACCGATATGGCGATGTAGTATTGGAATTTGGAACAACCCAAAGTTTCCAATTAGGGCACTATTCTGGTCTCGCAGAGAGAGAGAGAAAGAGAGAAAGAGAGAAAGAGAGAAAGAGAGAACGATTGGAAGAGTTGTAATCGTACTCTTAGGGTTAGGGCTTTGAGAGGCGTCAGGATTACGATCTCCGTTGAGGTTGAAAGGGGGGCGCTTGTATTGGGTAAGTGCATTTGGTTATGACGATAAGCTGAAAATCAGTGCAAACAAACAGAATTTAATGTATTTTATGTCCTCTGAATGATTTGTGCTGTTAATTAAAAATATTCTACTGTGTTTTAGGTTGAAGGCTGTTTATTATGTTTGCCAGATGCGGTCTGTGGCAGATATGTGCTCCTAATAGGTTAGCAGCTCATGCCCATTTCTCGTTTTTGCAATTTATGTTTTGGGTTCCTCCTTTTTTCCTATTTTAAATATCTGTCCTGTCATTTCAAGTTTTGTTCTTAGATTGTTATTTGTACCCATTTTCTGAATTTTTTCGGTATGAATCACTGAGAATTGTATAATGCTTTTATATGTGAACCATTTTATTAGATTCTGACTAATTTCTGTAAATTAACTGACTTTTTTAGGACTCTTGCTTGTAATTTGCTCCTAATGTTCTAGTTACGTATTTTGGGTGATCATATTAATTTCAACTTATTCATTCAATCGTTGATGTGGTGGAGCTGGTCATAATTATTAGTTACTTCTATTTTAGCATCGGTTGTTTTGTGTGATAGTCAAGCATCTCTCCATGTTTTTCGTTTTTTCTGTCAATCATAGTGTTAAGTGTAAGGACAATCTTGAGCATAGGAAAGTGAAGATAATGCATATCATGTAGCCGTGATACATTTAATTACATACACATAGAAAGGCAGGTGTAATGGTAAGCCTTAACTAGATTCCTGCATAAAAAAAATAAAAAAAATAAAAAATTAGCCTCAAGTAGATTCCTGCACTAAAGAAGATCATATCTTATCATAGTTATCATTCTACAAGCCATCAATTGACGACTGCAGAAGAATAATTTTGAATCATTTGTGTTTATAGTGTACATGCATATACGTTACATGTTCCCCATGCTTTTCCAAGATATAAGGTCAGCAGATTCGCTGTGTCCACATATAAGGTGTCAATCTGGAACTGATACCTTTAATGTTTAGATTGTGGAGGTATTTGCTTGTTTATCTAGTTTGTATATCTAAGTTTTAGGGTGTTACTTTAAGTTAGAACATGAGAAAGAAAGTTTAAACATAATGTTTGGTTGTCGATTTTACAATTGCCCATATAAAATGTCCTGTCAGTTTCTGAAAAGAAAACTAAAACAAAGATTGAGTAGAAGTACTGTGATAAAGTCATACAAGAAGTGCTTTCTAAGTAGCATTAGTACTTCTACTGGGGTGCAATGCCCATTTAGGATCCTTTCTGGGTAGAATTTATTTTCTGATACTACCTGATACATGTCAATGCTTCATTGAAGTGTCCAAATTCTGGAAAATAAAATTGTAATCTTCAAAGATGTATTATTCATGGTGGATTTTCTCTTATACAAGAAATGGTATATGTTAGAATTTGAAGTAACAATATAAGAAGAGTGTATGGCATATGTCTTGGTTAGGGATTCTAGCATGGATTTGTTCATGAGACTTGTCTGTCAGTTTATGCAAACCTATCATTGTCAGGAAATTTTGTTCAGAATTCAATTCTTTATGCATAAACCTGGGAACACTCATCTTTATTGAGTCATATTCATAAGTGAATACTTGTTAATCTAATGTCTATGGACTAATTTTTTTGATATATGTGTATGCTGGATGGAAGAACACAGCAGTGCTATCATACTTTCGGATAACCTACATTATTTTTGTGTCATCACCTGATTTCAGATTATGCAATTAACACTTATGCTGAAGTTTGCAGGTTTTGTAGTTTTGGTGTTTTTTCTGAAGAAAGTCAATTTAACCACTCTTTTTGGAAGTAGCTATGCTACCCACTGGAGCAAGAGATACTCAATTCCGTGAGAGCAATAACCAAAAGGTTCATCCACAACCCATGGAAGAGGCCATGAATCAGAATCCAGAAGCTGTGGAAGCCTTGATATCTAAGGTTTTTATGAACATCTCTTCCCTGAAGTCAGCTTACATCCAGCTCCAAGCTGCTCATACTCCCTACGACCCTGAAAAAATTCAAGCTGCGGATAAACTTGTAATTTCTGAGCTAAAAAACCTTTCTGAACTTAAGCACTTCTACAGGGAGAACAATCCCAGCCCAGTTTGTGTTTCTCCACAGGACTCCCGCCTAGCTGCAGAGATTCAAGAACAACAAATTCTGCTGAAAACCTATGGGGTTATGGTTAAGAAATTCCAATCTGAAATCCAGAATAAAGATTCTGAAATCCTTCAGCTTCAGCAGCATATTGAGGAGGCAAAAGAGAAGCAAGCAAAGTTAGAAAAGAATCTAAAGCTCAGGGGCATGTCTACCAAAGAATCAGAAGGTTCCGCTGATGAAAATGGTTTTCCGCCTGTGGATCTAACTTCCGATCTCTTCACATCAGTTGTTGAAGCTGCATACAAAGCTATTCATGATTTTTCTAAGCCGCTGATTAACATGATGAAGGCAGCTGGGTGGGACCTTGATGCAGCAGCCAATTCTATTGAACCTAGTGTTGTTTATGCAAAGAGACCTCACAAGAAGTATGCCTTTGAGTCCCATATTTGCCAAAGAATGTTCAGTGGCTTTCAGCAGGAAAGCTTCTCCCTTAACTTAGACAATCTTACAGTCACTAAGGAGAGCTTCTTCCACCAATTTCTTACACTACGGGACATGGATCCATTGGACATGCTTGGCCAAAATCCAGATTCTGTTTTTGGGAGATTTTGTAGGAGCAAGTACCTGGTAGTGGTTCACCCAAAAATGGAGACTTCGTTTTTCGGGAATTTAGATCAACGAAATTATGTAATGGGTGGGGGGCATCCAAGGACTCCTTTTTACCAGGCTTTTCTAAAACTGGCCAAGTCAATATGGCTTTTGCATAGGTTGGCTCATTCTTTTGATCCTCGTGTTGAGGTCTTTCAGGTCAAGAGGGGGAGTGAGTTCTCGGAGGTTTATATGGACAGTGTGGTGAAGAATTTAATAATGGATGAAAGTGATCAAAAGCCTAAGGTTGGTCTCATGGTTATGCCTGGTTTCTGGATTGGAGGCAGTGTGATTCAAAGTCGGGTTTATCTCTCTGGCATGAAGGTTGCTGAATGACGGGCCAGATCTGTGCCAATCAATGTTCATATGGGTATGCAGTGTGTTTTTATAGTCTGTTGCTTTCATAATATATTGTTGTTGTTTGTGGTTTTTCTTTTGTATAATTGTAAGATGAAATGAGCTATTAAACACTTACTCAAATGATCTCTCTCTCTCTCTCTTCTCTCTCTCTCGGTGCTGGTGCAAGTGTGTGTAATAACTGATACGCACATATGTTCTCACTGTTTGTTATAAACTGAGTGTATAAAAAACCATGAGGAAAATGAGTTCAGAATTTTAATGTGATACTCATGGTCATGCAGCATTTAGGGCGATGATTTATTTATTTAGTTTCCGAAATTTATGTATTTGTTTATCTCTTAGGGTAAAAGGTAGTATGTAATGAAGATCAAAGTTCTGATTGAGAATGAAGAAGGGTTTGTGAAAAATAACTGCCATTGAGTATATTCTGATTGCATAGTTTATCCTCCGATGCATGGAGAGTTGAATCAAAATTTAACTGATTCAGATCCTTTTTATTATGTGATGGTATTTGGTTATTTTTTAACATTTTCTTTCTGATATGGCCTGCTATGCATCAATGTGCCAATTGATTGTCAAGGCATAAGACGGTGTTTTGTATGGGGCTTTTATTTTCCTCTTGCCTTGTGATTTGGGAGTCTTGGGACAAAGCATGCAATATAGTTTATCATATCTCATGCTCATCTTGATAGAAAACTGGGCCTCGTTGACATTCATTGGTGAATGGAAAAAAAAAAAGAAAAAAAAACCATGTTTTATAGAAGGGAATAACTGTCAATTGAAGGTTATTTGCCGGCAGTAATTATGTTTTGTCTGTAAAACAAAGACAAAAGTAACATACAATCTCACTCAATGCAAAGCATGCAAGATACTCCAAGATTGTAGCCATGGAAAAGGTCCATTTGTTGATTTGACTTTCGGGCCACCTAAACCCACGTGACTGATTGGTCAGTGGTGTGATGTGTCTCCTTGTTGCATTATTCTAGAATCTTATAACCCTTGTGTAAGGATTATGTTCCCTAAACAGTTGTTGTTTACACTAGTTTAATACAAACAATAATTTTACGTTAATTTCTTAATTTCATTCATCAAACATTTTCTCTATATTATAATACTCGAGAGAATTTCGTTGACGGATCGACGGGGATTATCAAATGGAAACAGGATCTGTGCTTATGTTTTATTTGTTGATTTATTTTGGACATGGCGTTGGAGTTTCAAGTTAAGATTTTCGGATTTTCGGTTAATCGAAGGTGGAAGCTCAAAACGTCAAAAGTTTGGACGCATAAGAGAAATTTTTTTGTGATTGTCACATGATGTTATTAATTCACTCGTGTTATGGCACATAGCTAATATCATATTTTGAGATAAAATCTCCTATTGTGTGATTTCTCACCTAACCTTCTATTGACTAACAAAATAGATGAATACGATAAGAAAAACACATTCATATTATAAAATATATGTAAGTTGATGACCTGGAGTGTATCAAATTAAGTGAACAAAGTAGAATGATGAAAACGTAAACTGCATGAAACTTTGACAAACATACAACACGTGGCCTTTCCCATGAAGTGCTACAAATGTTGGGTAAGCACAACTACACAATCAAGGGTCGACCTAGCCAGGCATTACTTAAAGTTAGAGCTTCTTGCTTGCATTGTCAAAAATAATGCAGATGGTGGACAGATACTTATCTCTTAGTCATCCCATAATGTTGATCCAATCTTATTTATTCTATTCAGATATTTCTTCTAGACCTCAATGCAATAATCCAAGCACAAATTTTGTGTGTGCGCTTAATGCACGTAAAGCGCACGTTAAGCTAACCATGTGTCCCATGTGATAACCCTAGCTTAATTAACATCTTAACCCCTATATAATCCTCTTGCCCCATTACATCTCTCTTCAAACTCAGAGTTCAAAACAAAACCCTTCTTTCCGTTTCTCAATATCTCAATTCTCAACCAGAATATGGCCAAATTCAGCTTCTCCTTGCTGCTCATCCTCCTCTTTATTCTCTCCCTTTTGAGCAGTGTTGAGCCTTCCTTTGCCAGCCATCCTCAACAGCCTCGACGTTCCCGGGCCCGGGCCTACATCGAGGCCTCGTGCCAGACCACCCGTTACCCAAAGTTATGCGTTCACTGCCTCTCCACCTACATCAAGCCCAACATGACCATCCAAAGCCCACAGCAGCTGGCCCAAGTTGCCTTGTCCGTGAGCCTGTACCGGGCCCAGTACGCAAGAGCATATGTCCTCAAGGTGGCAAAAGAGCTCAAGGAACTGAAGGCCAGAGAATACCAAGTTGTGCATGATTGCTTGAACCAGATCAATGATGGTGTGGCCCAACTCAGTGAGTCCATTAAAGAACTGCGTCGTTTAGGGCAAGCAACTGTGGGTGATGACTTGTTCTGGCACATAAGCAATGTTGAGACTTGGGTGAGCACAGCTTTAACTGATGCATACACTTGCGTGGATGAGCTTCCAGGGAAGAATATGAGCAAGTTGAAGGCCACCATTAAAGGGAAGGTGCTGAATGTGGCTGAGGTCACCAGCAATGCTCTGGCTTTGTTTCATAGATTTGCTCAAAGGTACCGAGCTGCAAAGAAGCCCTGAGGGCTGGCTTTAGGTAGCTAAGCCTTTTGAGGATTTCATGCGTTTTGATTTTGTGTCATGGTTTAATTTAGTCTTGTTCTTTTATATATGTTAATTGTTCATGTTAATATCAATGTATGAAATACACACAATGAAGCCTATGAAGGGATGTGAATATACCAAGTTTTTGTTTGTGTCATGGTTTAATCTTGTTCTTTTATATGTTGTTACTTAAAGATGTTTTTTTTTCAGACAAGAATAATATGATATATATATATATATCCGATTGTAATTGAAATTAAATCCTTAAACGCCTATCAATAAGGTCGATTACGTGCCTTTGTACATTAATTGGTTAATATACAATACTAATTATGAGTCACTCAGAGCGTCTTGTTAATGGTCATTTGGTCTAATAACACTTATTCTTCACTTTGTTAGAGGAAATTGCAAGTTTGAATTTTGTGGACGGCTATCATTGATAAGAAAAATAAGGGCAATTGTTAACGGAAATCGTGAGGCTTGGTACATAGAATGATTTTTTGGTTTAGCTGACACTAATTCATTGCCATAATATTGCTGCAAACTCATGAGGATGGTAAGCTATTTAGCTTTATAGATGAGACTTTGGGTTCAATTTAACTCATGTGTTCAAAGTTCAAACTCAATAACAGCTTCACCGATTGGCATATTATATAAAGAAGTTGATTAATTTGGGGACATGTTTTAAGTGCGGCGAAAGTTTGCCTCGGATGATTTGAATGCGTTTATTTTTTGGAGACTTGTACAAGTTAATTATGGCAAATTAACATTAATTTGACTACAAAAACAAAAGGCAATACAACATTGCAAGCAATGATTTTAGTCTTTGAGCTTAGACAAAGCTCATCGTCCATCGAATTAGAGTTTTGGGATAAACTCAAGATTTAAAACTTAAAATCTAATTTTTGTAGGGTCTTTTTGATAATCATTTCAATTTCATTTTTTATTTTTATTTTTCATGCTAAAATAAAGAAGAAAATGAGAGTGAGAATGGAAGTGAGGATGAGGTTTTCTCAATCGTACCCTGTAATCTCTCATTAAGCAATACAATATCTTAAACCCTTATGAGCCAATGTAGTTAGTTCAATTGATTCCTTACACTGAGTTTGATCCCTTCCGATCAATTGTAGTAGTTTAAACTATCGTTTTATTATATAAAAAATAAATTGATCTATTATTAGATTGATAAATTAAATTTTTATTATTTGTATCGAAAACTAATCAAATTAAGTTGGATGCTTAATCGAAAAACGACGCCAAAATTGATGTCATTTTAGCGGAAAATGCTCACCTGGGGACCAAATTTTGAGGGGCTCCGAGCGGCAAACACATATCACTCGTTAGATTAATCCAACGGCTTGTAGTCTTAGTAACATAAACAACTCGTGAGACCCATATAGACTTTCCAACCCGTTTCTGTAACCCACTTCACGAACCCGAATCGCAACCCCAACTCCTCCTGTCTCTTTTTCTCTTTCCTGTCATCTAATGAAATTTGTTTACGGGTTGCACCTCGCACCCGCAAAATGGGTCTTCCTAGACTTTTAAAGCTATCATATTAAACACCGTTGGATTAATCCAATGGGGTGAGATGTGTTTGGCGCTCGGAGTCCCTCAAAATTTGGTTCTCAGGTGAGCACTTCCGGTCATTTTAGACACAGACTAAACTCTCCCCAACGCTCAGTAGCCCCAGTTTCAGTAACAAAGGCGGGAACTGAAGACCTTCTTCTCCCTCATTTCTCTTCCTAGAAAATGGCAGCCATGGCAGAAGAAAACTCAAAGCACAAACATGAGATGGAGTTAGCACTATCAGTGCCAATGGGTGAGGAAGATGACGACGAGCATGGTGCCAAGGAGGCAGTGCTCCAAAAGTACTTCCTCCAAGAATGGAAGCTCGTCAAGTCCATCTTGAACGACATCGTATCCAATGGACGCGTCTCCGATCCCTCCGCTCCCCACAAGATCCGATCCATTGTAACTCTCTCTTCCATCTCTCTTATTGTTTGCTGCATTTGCAAGATTGGATTTTTGGTTTGAACCCATTTGGAATTGCTATTAGATAAGACCATTTTCTATCAACTTTGTGATTAGAGACAATTTTAGGTGAAGAAGATATGAATTAAGTTTGCTTATTTAGGTTTGTGATCGACACCCATTTTGTGGCACTGAAATGAATTGGTTTTGATTTTGCATTTGTGGGTTGTACTCAATTTCTTGTATTTTTAGGATCCACGGCATTAGGAGTAGGGTTTTGTGATTGGAGTTGGACTCATTTGGAGCAATTGGGAGGTGAACTGTGGTAAAACCAATATCTAGTGATTATATATAACTTAGGTTTGGTCATGGAGTTTTTGATTTACACTAATTCAAGTTGGTTTCTAAATTTGTCTTTCAAAGCATGTTCAACTTGAAAGAATGCTTTTGTATTACGTTAAGAAGTTGCTCATTTTGTGTATGTAGATGGACAAGTATCAAGAACAGGGTCAATTAGTAGAACCTTACCTGGAGAGCATCGTTTCCCCGCTGATGTTTATTGTGCGCTCTAAAACAGTTGAATTGGGTGCAGCGTCAGATGAAATTCTTAAAGTAATTAAACCTATATGTATCATTATCTATTCTCTGGTCACGGTTTGCGGATACAAGGCTGTTGTCAGGTTCTTCCCTCATCAAGTATCTGACTTGGAACTTGCTGTGTCTCTCTTGGAGAAGTGTCATCACACAAGTTCAGTGTCATCACTGCGACAGGAAAGTACGGGAGAGATGGAGGCTAAATGTGTGATGCTTTTGTGGCTTTCTATACTTGTATTGGTTCCATTCGATATCTCCACTGTTGATACTAGCATTGCAAACAACAGTAACCTTGGGAAACTTGAGCCAGCTCCTCTGGTATTGAGGATAATAGGGTTCTCCAAAGATTACCTTTCAAATGCAGGCCCTATGCGTACGATAGCTGCTTTGCTGCTATCAAAGCTTCTAACACGTCCAGACATGCCAAAGGCCTTTTCCAGGTTTCTTTTATCATGCATATAGGTCATAAACCGTTGCTTACCAACTTTCTACTTTAACATTGCATGCTTATGGGTTTAATAATTGATCGATCTTGTAAATGAGTGCTAGCTGTGAAGTTAGGCATGTTATATTTATTGGTATTTAACCTTGTAGGCAAGAGAATATGAAGTGATCCATTCTTATTTTTCTTTCTGCTTCACATATATTTGGCCAATTTTTTGAAGAACACATTTCAAATCTTGATATTGGTTTTACTGCTATTTTTATTTTATTTTAATAGAAGGTTGTTCTTCTGATATTTATTATTCCCATAAACATGATGAGCGTACATTTGTGTGTATACATATAGAGAGGACCTGATGTCAACTTATTTAACAGTTTACTTATTTCTCGTTGGATTCATCCAACGGTTAATAGGAAACATATCATTACTTACATGCTAAGAGGTTGTTGTTTTAACTGTTAGATTTTCATCCAATGGCTTAGAATGTGATAAGTTTCATATGAATATACTTAACCTCATGTACACACACACACACACACGCACACACACACATGTATGCTCATGTGCATGCTTCTATTGTAATTTATTTCTAAGCTATTATGCTGAAATTCAAGGGCACTCATATTATTGTTTTTTTCTTACCCATTTCTTCTTCAGCTTTGTTGAGTGGGCACATGAAGTCCTATCTTCTCCGACGGATGATGTCATCAATCACTTCCGGTTGCTTGGAGCTACAGAAGCACTGGCTGCTGTTTTCAAGGTCTGCTTTTACTTCTTTGTTGTTTGTACTATTCTGAACCCAAATATAGTTTGCAATGTTCCATCTTAATTATATAAAAAGATAATGTCTTAAGGAGCAATAACTGTGACCCTACAAAACACTCAAGTATAAATTAGCAGGTACAGTGAAATTTCAGAGGATTTCATGTTGCATATTGCATTTGATGCTTTAACCTGATAACATATTCGACCATTTCCATTTTTGCTTAAAATTGCCTTTAACTTCTGATACAAATGCTTCAATTCTGCTGGATCACTTATGGATGCTACAATTTACTTACATCAGATATCTATTGTCAAAATTAGTTGCCATTCATACTGCCTTGGTCTTAATATTTCAATGACTTAATACTATTTGTCATAGACAGGTTGGTGGGCGGAAACTCTTGCTTGATGTGGTTCCTATTATTTGGAATGACACCTCTTTGTTGATCAATTCTAGCAATGCATCTCGAAGTCCGTTGCTTCGCAAGTATCTGATGAAATTAACTCAGAGGATTGGGCTTACTTGCCTCCCTCATCATACACCTTCATGGCGCTATGTGGTTAGAAATGCTAAATTCTTTACCCTTTTTTTAAATTCCGAACTTCAATTGAGTTAGGATAATTTTTGAACATCAATGGTTAAGATGCTTAAATTTATTTAAACTTTTATTTCATTTCAACTGGAAAGTATTTACTTTGCAATTCCAGTTATATGTCCTACCTTGGGTATTTTTATTTTCAGTTTGTTTGTTGCACTTTTTGGAGTATTTAGAATTATAAATTTTTGAGTGGGGTTGCACATTAAGTGATTCTTTGCATTTGACTTATAAACACAACCTCTTTTTCTTTTTCCGTACATTGATTAAAATTCAGGACTACAATGGATGAGTGGCCTTTGGAAAGAAGCCCTGATCTCTTCTGGTTACTAATTTTTTTTTCTCTGATGGCTTTCTCTTGCCTTAACCATAGACTTTTGATGCAGGGAAAGAAAAGAACATTGGGAGAGAACATTACTTTGTCTGCATCTGAAAAAACTGATCAATGCAATTATGCTTTGAATACTGAGGATTCAAACTCAGAACCAAGTTCCAGCTGCCTGCAAGATGAAGAAATGGATGTTCCAGAAGTCGTAGAAGAGATTATTGAGATGTTACTCACTGGGTTGAGAGATACGGTATGAGGAACAATCTGTCTTTGTGGTAATTAAAGTTGTTTAATTTAGCTAACTGGTTTATCCTTTTCACCAATCTTTTTTGATTAATCCATGAGGTGCAATCCTCAAAATAGTTTGTGGTCCTTGAGGAATAATGCTCATCACATCTCCTCTTCCCTTTTGGGATGTGAGCAATTATTTTTGACATGGACTAATTTCAATATGCCTGTCTTTCATCTTCTTCCATAAGTTTTAAGTCTCCTATCAAACTACAAATGAGAGTTTCTTTTGCATGGATATAGGTTGAACCAGAGAGAAACTGACATTGGCAGTTTTTCAACCTTGTTTTAGTTTTTTATTTTTTTCTCTTTTATTGTTAAACTTATCTTTACTGCGAATGTCCGCCCCATGAAGCGCCGGGGAACCTTTGCTCATGTGATATTTACTTGTTACTAATAGTATGTTTATGCAGGACACTGTTGTGCGTTGGTCTGCTGCAAAAGGTATTGGCCGCATTACTTCATGTCTTACATCTGCTCTTTCAGAGGAGGTCCTGTCATCTGTCTTGGAGCTATTTTCACCAGGCGAGGTATAGTGTGGGTGCTTTCTTTAGCTTATTGTTCCACACACCTACCATTAAAATGTTTAAAACTGTTCATGGTGGAAAATCTTTCATATTTAAATGGTGTGCCATAACCCTCTAAGATATTGCATTTTATGTGCTTTCATTAGTTGAAATTATACCAAATTTGTAGCTCAAGCATTTGTGCTGAGATGTTATATTTTCCAGGGTGATGGGTCATGGCATGGTGGTTGCTTAGCATTGGCCGAATTGGCACGGAGAGGGTTGCTTTTACCTATCAGCCTTCCTAAAGTTGTACCTGTTGTCGTGAAGGTGTCGTGAAAATTGATATTTCTCTTACCCACTTATAAATCTAGTGTATATTAGTTGACATTTTTTGTTCAACCATATCAAAGTGTATGCCATATTAATGACAAAAGTTTTCCCTCAATAATGAAATGCTTTTACATTTACATTATAACTTGAATGCCTTTTCTCTTTTCCTTCGGTTTCTTTTTTCGTTATGTTATATGATCTTGGTGTACTATACTTCTTGGTACATATGTCATATTTGAACTCTACTTTGGTTTTGTGGCCTTAGGTAATGTTGAGCTTGAAACTTTCTCTGCACTAGGTTGTTCTAATATGGTGCTGTTGCTCTGTTGAAGTTTAGTAAATGCTGAATTAGAAAACTTTGACATTTGTAATGCATATATATATATATATATATCATGATCACTTTTGAATCCTTTTCTAGTAATACCTATCTATATATTTTTTAATTGCCTTTTGGGCATAAGTGCCAGAAAGATAAATGCTTGGCTTGCAGAGAATAGAAATTAGCACTGATGTTGAGTAATTTCTAAACAGGCACTACATTATGATATTCGAAGAGGTCCGCATAGTGTTGGATCTCATGTACGGGATGCTGCAGCTTATGTTTGTTGGGCTTTTGGTCGTGCATATTATCACAAGGATATGAGAAATATATTGGACCAGCTTGCAGCACACCTTCTAACAGTGGCCTGCTACGATCGTGAGGTGCTAACTTTTACTATTAGTATCATTTTCACTATTGTTTCATACAACATGTGATTCAGGTTTTTTAATTTTATTTTTATGATGCTTAGGTGAACTGTAGAAGAGCAGCTGCAGCCGCTTTTCAGGAGAATGTTGGAAGACAGGGTAGTTACCCACATGGAATTGACATAGTGAATACTGCTGACTATTTTTCACTTTCTTCACGAGTAAACTCTTATGTTCATGTTGCTGTCTCTATTGCACAATATGAGGGTTATCTTTATCCATTTGTGGATGAGCTGCTGTATTGCAAAATTTGTCATTGGGTACGCTCTAACTTGAATTGTTTTGATTTATTTCAACTGCTTGTACAGTTTCCACCCCTTTGCTAAGTTACTTTAAGCTTATTTTCTCCACAAACATAGCTACCAAATTGTGCCTGGAAAGTATGTTTTTATATATCACCATAGAACCTATAATACAAATTTATAAATAAACCCAATCCTAGACATGTATTTATAAAAAAACCCAAGCACTATTTAAACATAGAAACACACCCAAAATCAACCACAAAATCAACAATTGTATATTTTTTGGGTGTGTTTATAAATGGGTTTTGAGTGTGTGTAATGATGGGTTTTGGGTGTGTTTATAAAGTGTTTTGGGTGTTGGGTTTTTTTATAATTTCAGCCCCCATTTTGGGTGTTTTAGTGAAACTCCCAACTTATAAAGCATGTTTACTGTATATATCACCTAGTTTGTAACTCCTTTGGAAAACTAAATGTGTCATGAACTAGCTTAAGAAAATAAGTTATTGAACCAGCCCATAAAATTGTTGGTTGGTCTCTTAGTACATGATGAGTCTTTGGGCCTTGGGCCATTACTTTGGCAGAACAGTTGTTAAGTCAGTAGTAAGTTGGTTCTCAAAGGTCTCTTTTTGTTGTTAATTTAGATTGCTACTGGTAGACTGTGTACTGTACTGAATAATTTATGTATTCATGCAGCATGAATTCTTTTCTATGTAGTGTGGAACAGTGGAAGGTTGTAGTTTTATTCATTCAGAAGGAAGAAAAGGTCTGAACTTTGAATGTTTCTCTGATGGTTGTGAGAATCCTGATTCCAAGGACCTGTAAAAAGTGACTAATTGTGTTTGTCAGTGTGACTGCTACCAGTAAAAGGAAAAAATAAAAACAAAAACAAAAAACACAACAATGTTGTAAGAACAAAAATTTTGTTGGCATACATGATTTGCTCTGAGTAGCACATAGATTGTGATTTTCTTTTGTAAATTTTGTCCATATTCCTATGTTTCAGCATCAATACTTTTGTTACTGTAGAATGCTATTGCAAGTTTAATATGCTGACAAATATGGAGATTTGTTATTACTCAATGTCATCAGGACAAAGGCTTGAGAGAACTTGCTGCTGAGGCCCTTTCTGCACTTGTTAAATACGATCCTGACTATTTTGCAAACTATGCTTTGGAGAAAATAATTCCTTGTACTCTCTCATCTGATTTGTGCATGCGCCATGGAGCGACACTAGCAGCTGGGGAACTTGTTTTGGCACTACATCGATGTGATTATGCTCTTTCTGCTGGTTGGTATTCTTACCTCTTGGAAATATAAGTAAAAAGCTCACAGAGTATTTAAATTCTTAGATTTAAAATTTAAAAGGAATCTTTGTGTGTAGCTTTGTATATTTCAAATAAACCAACTTAGGAACCGAACTTGGGAAGAAGTAATACCTGGAAATGAAAACAATATTATAGGGAAAAAAAAATGTGTACATAAAAGCATTATTATTATTATTATTATTATTATTTTATAATCAATTTAAGATATTTGCCTTTTCTGAATGGTTCTTGTTTACTGGTTATGGTCTTGATTGCAAAAACCATTATGATAGTGTTTAACTTGTCATCAGATAAGCAAAAGCATGTTGCTGGTGTTGTACTTGCTATTGAGAAAGCACGCCTTTATCGTGGAAAAGGTGGAGAAATTATGCGTTCAGCTGTTTCCCGGTTCATCGAATGTGTATCTATATCTTCTGTGTCACTGCCAGAAAAGATAAAGCGCAGTTTGCTTGATACACTTAATGAGAATTTGAGGCATCCTAATTCTCAGATTCAGGTGGTTATTTCTTATTGTGAAGGCTTGTAGCTAATTGCTTATTTTATTTCTTTGTGATATCTGAATTGTGAATGAAGTTTTTCAATGTGATATGCAGGATGCTGCTGTTAATGCTCTGAAGCACTTCGTCCAAGCATATCTGGTTGCTGCATCTGTTGGTAGCACTGGTGATATAACATCAAAGTACCTGGAACTCTTGACTGACCCAAATGTAGCTGTAAGAAGAGGATCAGCATTAGCGATAGGTGTTTTGCCATGTGAACTTTTTGCCCATAGGTGGAAGGATGTGCTCCTGAAGCTTTGTACCTGTTGTGCAATTGAGGTGTAAAAGAAGTTTCAAATCTCGTTGCCTTTCTCCTCTTTTGGTGCAAAATATAAATGGATCTCCTAATTGACTATTCTTCATATGCAGGATAACCCTGATGATAGAGATGCCGAAGCACGAGTCAATGCTGTCAAAGGACTTGTGTCAGTGTGTGAAGCATTAGCTCAGGAAAAAGAACATTCTGGTATTGATACTGTGGAGGATGACATGTCTTTGTTCCTTCTCATCAAGGACGAATAATGATGACTTTATTGAAAGCTCTTGATGACTATTCCATTGATAACAGAGGTGATGTGGGTTCTTGGGTGCGTGAGGCTGCTATGGACGGCCTTGAGAGATGTACATATATACTATGCAAGAGAGATTCTGTTGGTCTCACTGGAAGATCAGGTCAAGTCGATTCTGGACTGGAGTTGCAGAACAGTGATGACAGTAACCAGTTGTATTCGTTGTTTGATGCAAATCTTGCTACCAGTATAGTTGGAGGAATATGTAAGCAAGCGGTAGAGAAGATGGATAAACTGAGAGAAGCAGCTGCAAAGGTGCTACAGAGGATTTTGTACAACAAGATAGCCTATGTCCCACGTATACCACACAGGAAAAAGTTGGAAGACATTGTCCCTAATAAAGCTGATTTAAAGTGGGGGGTAAGTATACACCGCCCAAATCTATACTATTGTTTGTAAATAATTGGATTTCTTTGACGGAGAGCCCATCATGTACTTGCTTGTAGGTACCAGCTTTTTCATATCCTCGTTTTGTACAATTGCTTCAATTTGGCTGTTTTAGCAGATCAGTGCTATCTGGGTTGGTTATCTCTATTGGTGGGTTGCAAGATTCTTTAAGGAAGACATCACTCACAGCATTATTAGAGTATCTTCAAGTGGTAGAAAGTGAAGACCAGAAGGAAAGGTCCAGAGAGTATATGCTATCCACTGACATGCTTTGGGTTCTCCAGCAGTACAGGAGATGTGACAGAGTCATTGTGCCTGCATTGAAGGTAGTCTCAGATAAAACCTATTGCTTAGAAATATGAATCTTATCGTTTTATGGCAATTAAAGGAATGGGGGGCCCTTCTTTTCTTGATTGCATGCCCTACTATTAGGTGACCAAATTTTTCTGCCCCTCATTCTAGTAAAAAGGCAAGACTAGTTTATTATTGTACGTATTTCTTGATTACTTTATTTGTTTTCTACTTACCCACACCTACAACTTATGTGCTGGAGATCTTTTTTTATTTGGGAATCAATATCGATATTGATGGTAATGTAATTATGTAACCACATGGTTGTAAAATATGAGAAAGCAGAGTTAAGTAATTAGTTATCTTTTTGTTTCCTTTTACCTCCTTGGCTGGCTTCAGAGAGAGGATGTCACGACCATGTGTAAACAAGTTCATAACCTATTTGCCCATCATCGCAGTAAATTATAGCTATAAACTTAACTAGATTAGCTCCCTAATTTCCTCTTATTCATTTTCTCATGTTTGTTTGTTTGTGTTCCTTCCCACTTATATTACAACTTGGACATTAAGCTTGCACAATTTTTTTATTATCTAGTTTTAGTGCAACATTTTCCTGCCTTGCTTGGTCAAGTTCCTTGATTTTGATGAAATCTCTTTGGTATTGCAGACCATCGAGATTCTATTCAGCAAACAGATATTGTTGAGTATGGAGGTTAGCCCTTTATCATCTTGAAACTTTTAGCTATATACGGTCTTTTGCCACTCTCACGATTATATATGATGTGAACATAGTTGTGATTTATTTGGATCTCAATTTCAATTTACAGGCTCATACACTCGTTTTCTGTACCGGTGTTTTGGATTCTCTGGAAGTAGAATTAAAAGGGTCAAGGGATTTCTCCAAACTTTATGCAGGCATTGCAATACTTGGATATATTGCTTCAGTTTCGGAATCAATAAACACTCGGGCCTTCTCTCATCTTCTCAGTTTTCTAGGTCATCGCTACCCTAAGGTTGTGGTTCCATGAAGTTTAAGTATTTATGAATTAAAACCCTATTCATTAATTGCATTGCCTCCTTTACATGAAGGATCTTGCTTTCAGAGTGAATTCTCTCTTAACGGATTATATTTTGTTCTTTCCTCAACACAGATACGGAAAGCTTCTGCTGAACAAGTTTACCTTGTCCTCTTGCAAAATGGGGGTCTTGTGGCCGAGGACAAGATAGAGAAAGCACTTGAAATTATTTCAGAAACCTGTTGGGAAGGTGACCTGGAAGCAGCGAAGATCCGTAGGCTAGAGTTGTACGATATGGCTGGTCTCGACACAGATATACTTCGGAAGGCTAGTAGCAGAGTCTCAAATAAGGATGATAGCAGAAAGCCAACAGCAGATGAAAATGCTTCGTATTCCTCGTTAGTTGAGTCATCTGGATTCTGAATGTCTAAAAAACTAATGCTCTGATTTCTGCTAGTACCTCGTCCTTTCCTGTAGTTTGCTTTAGTTCTATCTGTGTGCTTCAAGATACTTGCTGAAATTTTGTTCGGAAATCTCCAAAGATCTAAATACGTATTGAGAATGAATATATGAGAGCTTGTTTGTGTAATTTGATCTGCTTGTTTATCATGTTTATCATAAGTGTTTGGTAAGAGTGCTTTGTAAATAGATGCACTGAGATGAAATAACTGAGCACAAATTAGAGATTTTTGTCAGAAGTTTTTTTGTGTGAATTTTTTTACCGAATGATACACGAGCTCAAATCAGAGATTGAACAAATTAATTGTTTCTCTTTAAATCACTATTTATTGAAAATAAATTTTAATTAAGTTTTGTATTTCCTCTCTCTTCATTTAATTATGTTTTGCACACTTCAATCACAAACTAGCAATCAATCCTCAGATTTATTTATTAAAAATAGATACAAATTTTACGAATTTTAAAAGACACCGAACATCCCAACCCTCTCTCTTCCTTTACAAGAACAAGACTCACTTGAAACACCGCCATCTGCTAATCTCTCTATCGCTTCACAAAAAATTTAAAAACAAAATAAAAAACATCCCCTAGTATCTGCTTCCTAAGCAAGCACCATCATCATGATCATTGATCATCAGCAATGATGGTGTTGACCTGCTCACATTCGTCTATCCATTCACTGTAGACATCTATGGGTTCAGTCAAAGCTGTGATGGTTGTGCTATAACTCTCTTGGCAAACGCTGCAGAGAGCCTCCCCAATCATGTTCTTCATGTCAATGTCGCATTGGACGCTGCTCCCGTGGTTGCAGAAGGGGCAACAGAATGCAGTGTCAAGCTTGTCCATTCGCTTCTTAGCAACAGGCTTGGCCCTCGACTTTCTCTTCCCCATTGATCTTCAACAAATCTCTGTCCCGAGTGAGATATGCTAAAATATGAAAATATGGCAACTTCTGTATGTTGTGTTCTTCTCTATAATAAGGAGGTATTTATAGAAAGCAATAAAGTCCTAATTGTACAAGGATTGGTTTACTACACTAACTAGGAGTGTTTTTTATTTTTGTTTCTTGGGCACTACACTTAATACTAATTATTCTTTAAACAATTCCACGGTTGGCCCAACTCAACAATTGATTGGATAAATAACAGTATTACGTAATATGAACGGAAATAAATTTTTCTTTAAAGAAACTCATCAAGTTGGATTTGGAAACTTACGAACCAAGAAAACCCTACTACATATGGGTTTCTATTTTTCTTCTTAAAAAAGGCTGTCACTTGTCAGTTGGATTTGGAAACTTGTAAACCAAGAAATCCCAGCCCTAATCCTAATCCTAATCCTAATCGTATTTGGTTTAAATTCTGAAGAAATCGTAGTTCCTTTTGTTTTGTATGTTTAATTTTTTTATTTTTTATTATTTGATACAAATGTGTGTGTTTCTTGATTTACCCTCTTAGTTTACTCTCCTAATTTACTCTCTTAATCACCATTCTCTAATTTATTGGAGCAAAAGTTTCATTCAGATGCAACATAAAGATGTCAAAATGGTAACCAAGGGTTACAAATGTACAAAACAAAACGAGAGAGAACAAAACTGCAATGTCACAAATGTACAGCAATAAAATGTGTTTTAAGACAAAGGTATATTAAATAAGAAAAATTAGTGTATAGTGACAAAAAACTTCAGTAATTAGCATATGATACATTGCCTATTTTTGTTTTGGATATGGTGGATGAGTTTTAAATTTTATTTTGTTAAAAGCCAATGGCCCTACCCATGTGCTCTTTAAGCTTGTTTAATTTGTATTTGAAATAACATTTTTACACTTTGTATTTTATATGAGAGCCAGGTGACGCCCCAGCTTTGGATTCAATCCCAAAACGGAGACCACGAGGTTGCAACCACCACCAATGACGACCATGGCTAAGAAGGTCACTGCAAAGCGCCAGAGAAAGGCCTTTTCCTGCTGAGAAGCAATAGGAGGATCGACAACGGAGAAGGTGTCTTTCGTCGTTTTCCGGCGGAGAAGCAATCGATGACGGAGAAGATGTTTTCTGGCGGATAAGCAATTGATGACGACCATGGCACGTCCTGGCGTCATGATTGCCCGTGGAGAAGGCGTTTTCCGGTCCATGGAGAAGCAATGGGAGGATCGATGCCAGCGGATTCGCAAAGCTCGGATGCACCTAAGCAGATTTATATATCGTAGTGTTTTTCTGTCATTTGCTTCTATGCAATGACTATTGATCAGTAGTTGGTTTTGGTTTCTTTCCTCATCTTCCTTACTTTTTGTTTTATGTTAAAACTCATGGTTATATTTTTCTAGGAGAAAGTGGTGAATGATGCCAGCTAAAATCTAAAGATGAAGATCCACATACATATAGAACACGGTGCCCAACTGTGCTGGAATGAGCTATCTATGCCCAACCCTGGTGGCGTGGAGTGGGGAACAGTTCATCGTCAAGTGAAAGTGCTCCGGCATCATCTTTAGTGGATCATCGTGATAGTATGGTCATGAATGGAGCTATGCAGTCACAAGCTAATGCTAGGCTGGATGGTGGGGCCAACTTCAACAAAGAATTGCGGACTACAGTAGGATCACAGTCTGGTAGTTACTTTTGCATTATCATTTCCCATGGGAAATTTTCATGTGAACTTCTTTTTCTGAATTGGAAATTTTCACCGTTGCTACTATACGAAATTAACTATAAAGTAACCATTCTGAGAAAACTTTCTTTAAAAAAAATAATATATATTTATAATTATTTACTAAGCCTTTGTCTTCTTTGTGAGATTGAAGGACAGAATGCATCATCAATTTGACATCCTGACCAACACCTTTCAATCTGTGAAATAAAAGGAAATTTGAAGGTTTTTATAATTGTGATAGTGCTTATGATCTAAACTAAATAGAATAATACGTGAATTTTGTGTGTTTTGCTAAAAATTTTGTAAAAAATACGTGAATAAAACATTAGAAATACGTACATACATGTACAATACAACTATTGTATGTTTGTTTTTTTAAAAACGTAAGACGTGTATAGAACACGAATGTATTATTGAAAAATACTTATATATATGTATGTATGTATGTATGTATGTATGTATGTATGTATGTATATGTATGTAAAAGACTATAGCCGCTAGTCTATACTATTTATTAAAGGCAATTTATAAAAAAAACTAGTACAGCGGCCCGGCTATACTATTTACTAAATAAAAAAAACTAGCAACTGCACAGCGCTTAGGCGCCCATGTGTAAAATCGTATAGCCACGGCTATACTATTTTTAAATATAAAAACAAAGGAACCCCCTTCAATTAGGCACCACGTGTAAATACACATCTATTTAAAAAAATAAAAAAAACACGCAGTATAGCCGTCCGGCTCTACTATTTTTTTCAAAAGAACACCCTATATCGATTAGGCGCCACGTGTCAATAATAAGTGTAGCTGACCGTCTATACTATTTAATTAAAAAAGGACCCTCTAGTTGCTTTAGTTTGTACCTTATAAATATTAAGTTGATAGTTTCAACATATCCAAAGTAGATATTAATCTTCCACTATGATATTTTTATATAATTTTTATAGCATATGTTATTCCTGTTCAATAATATGTGAGAATTATTTTTATAGTACGTGAATTTTGTGTCTTATTGAAAATTTTGTAAAAAAATACGTGTACAAAACATTAGAAATTTGTACATGCATGCACAATACGACTATTGTATGTTTACTTTTTTTAAAACATGATATTTCCCGGTTACTTTCCCAGCATTACCAAACGTGGGAAATGAATCTTCCATTTTCCATCCATTGGGAAATAACATGAGAAATGATTTCCCTTCAAATTCGTTCTATGAAGCAAACGAGACCTTAGAGTTTTGCCCTGGGCCTTCAATCACCAGGGCCGGTCCTGTAGATCATGATCGTTGCCTAAAGGTGTTAGAGTTTGTATAGGAAAATACACTTACATTTAGTCCCACATTAGAAGGGAGTTGTTTCCTTCCATGGTTTATAAGCACCAACACTTTAGAAATACTAAATAGAATATGGGCCTAGTGGAGGCAAAGTTGGGCCTCATCATGGTTTGTGCTTGGATTATATATAATATATATATAATTAATTGTCAAAAGATGGGCCTTGGGCCTTCGGGCTCTGTTGATTTAATTAAAAATTTATTTTTTATTAATTAAAAATTCATATTTTCAGATAATACCAAAATCTGAAAGTCGAATTAGTTAAACAGTTAACATAACTGTTGGATGAAGAGGTGTCAGACCTCTATATATTGACAATACGTTCAAACCAGAAACATACCTTTGAACAGCATTATCATTCTCACATTTTTAACACTTCCTATCGAACTACAAGTACCAGGGTAGAGGACAAATATTGTCTAAAGGACACTGCAATTCTGCAGGACTCTATCTACAATTCAAGTCAGTATTCTACAATTTATATTTCTGTTGTATTGATTCAATTTTATTAATATAGAATATATTTCGTTTGTTTTTATTGTTCTGTTATTTTGGTTTTATTCTGATTGTTCTCCAACAAAAGGATGGGTTCCACTGAATCCCAGCAAAGAATGGACCAGATCAAAACCATTGTGACATTGACATATATAGACTTTGATTATTCTAAAGCTCGGTGGCTTAGTTATTCTTTCTTCTTTTTTAAATTTGGGTTGATCCCCTATTTCATGGAATTTGGATGTTTGTCTGCTAAACATGTTTTGTTCTCACAACCTGTTGTGTAATCTAACTGCTGGTTGCTTTAGATTTGGCAGTCTTTTTCTTTTTGTTTTGTGACTTAATTGCTCAGCCGAAATCCTTTTGTCATGATCGAAGACAGGCCAAGATAGATTGTAGCCTGTTGGTTTAGGGTTTAAGCATTTATAAAATCTCTTTGATCAGAGTAGAGCAGAGCAGTTCACTATTAATTTGACAACTTGCAAGAAGAAGATCCTTTAACTTCGTCAATAATTTCCTCCTGGTTGATGTGTCCTCCTTCCTAGAATTTGCAATTCAAGTTAATACATAATTACTTTTGTATACAATGGTTGTGGGTAATCACTTTTGTATAAATAATTAGCATATATATACCTCTTTTTCTTTTATCACATTATTAATCTTACAAGACAATACAGAAGAAGAAAAAAAAATACAAATTTATCATAAATTTAATTGTTATATCTGAACCTAATGATGAATTAAGTAGCAAGTTTCTTCGGCATGATTGACTACCTTAGGGACCGTTGATTATGGTATTTTCTATGACGCAAATATTCCTATTAATCTTGTTGGTTATATTGATAGTGACTTGGCAGGAACTGTTGATGATTGCAAAAGTACTTTTGGTTACGTTTTTAATCTTGGAAGTGGTATTGTTTCTTGGAGTTCTAAGAAGCAACCTATTGTAGCTCTCTCTACAACGGAAGCAGAATAAATTGCTACTTCTTATGTAGGATGTCAAATTCTGTGGTTACGAGGAATTTTGGAAAGTCTTAAGCACGAGTAAAAAGGTCCCACAAGTTTGTTTTGTGATAATAAGTAAGCAATTTCAGTTTCAAATTCGTTATCATTTTCTGAGGGAGCTTGTCAATGAAGGTGTTATTCATGTGGAGTATTGCAAGACAAATGAACAAATGGCTGATGTGTTTACAAAATCTCTTGGTGGACAAATTTACAAAAGAGATGTTGCAAGATTGGGAGTTAGAAGCAAGTTTGGTTTATGGGGGCATTGTTGAAGAATTAAACCAAATATGCATCATTATTGCATTCAAGAAGTTTCAATATGTTGAGTCTTTTCTTATTCTAAGATTCAATAAGTTCATGTATTAATGAATTGAATAAATTGTCAGTTTTATGAGTTAGTGGGTTGATGAAGAGTCTAAGATATAAGAGTGGGTTAATCAGTTATGATAAGAGAAGTCTTTAAATAGGTCCTTTATCATTGTTATTTGTGTGGTGTGCTGAATTATAATGAAAGAGCCCATTCTTCTAAGAAACTAGTGTCCATTTGTTTTATTTTATTTCTCTTCCTCCCACAAGGTTGTCACTCATCAAGTTAGATTGGGAAACTTAGGAACCAAGAAATCATAGTCCTACTCCTAATCTTAATAGGATTAGGTTTCTATTTTTCTTCTTCGTTCTACTCCTAAAACTAGTCGAATTAGGTTTAAATTCTGAAGTCTCTCCCCTATATATACATAGGTCTCTTTAGAATGGAAACCACATGTTATAGCTTCTATTTCTCTTGTTGTTGAGTTCGTTTTTCAAAGGCTTCTTAATTGTTCAATTTTTTGCGTTGCTTTGTTTCTGTATTCGTATGGCTTCCAAAAACAGAAGTAGAACACAACTTAAGCCACCCATGCATTTCATGTTGCCACATGAGATTTTCCACATCACAAAACCAGCACACCAATGGTACGAACATATGGATAATCATGATTACGATGATGATTATTATGACGATGATGATGAGGAGGATTATGATGGTGATGGTGATGAGGATGACGATGACAGAGTTTGCTCACTGCTTGTGCAAGATGAAATTGATCAACATGAGTTTGACAGCCCCGAAAGTGATAATTATACTCTGTCTCTGGATGGTTCAAATCCAACCCTTCATCAAGATCATGATCAAGATGATGATTATGATGAGGGCTATTTGACAAAGTCATTGTCGTCCCCACCAAGATCTGCATCATATTTTGACTGCAACATGTGCATGAAAATGGCAAGAGAGCCAGTTGTGACCTGTTGTGGGCATTTATATTGCTGGCCTTGTTTGTACAGTTTGTTGAGTCAAAGGGAGTGTCTTGTTTACAAGAGTAAAGTGTTTGATTCTTTGATCACTCCTATTTACAACAACAAACCTCAACTCCGGCTTCAATGTGCCACCAAGACCAAGGAGGCTTTTTCGTCTATCTTGAAGATTTCAATTAATTTAGCCCAGATTGTATTTTGGTTGTTTATTATGCAATCCTTTATGTAATTCAGGTTCTTTTACTATATATTTCCTCCTTTTTGTTGTGTGTTTCTTGATTTACCTTCTTAATTTACTCTCATAATTTACCCTTGTTCTAGATAATTGGTTATTAATACAGAAAAAGAAAAGTCTTAGAAATGGGAATTCAAAGAAAAATGTTGGACAATAGTACTTTTGTTAGGCAAAGCACAAAGTGTTTTAAAGTATGAATTAGAAGAAGAAAAAAAACAAGTGCGAGGCAGATACTTTTGTTCTCCTTTTGGCTTATGTTGCACGGACACTCCAAACTGCTGGAGTATAGGAGTGTCGGACACGCTGACACGGTGACACGGCTCCGACACGCCCTCAACACGCATTGGACATGGTCAACGGTTGGGAAACGGTCAATACACGGCTCCGACACGGTTAAGACACAGCTCTGACACAGTCAAGACACAGTAGGGACCAGTTTGAAATTTTCAAAATAAAATCTGAGGTCTAAATGGATTTTTGAAACTTTGGTGGACTGATTTAAAATATTTTTAAAAATAGGGGCTAAAAGTGAAAAAAGACTTTTTTAAACCTAAATCCCACTTTTTCTGCTGCCGAAGTTCATTTCCTCCGCAACAGCTCTTCTCCTCCCCTTTTGCTCGTTTTTCTCTATTTTGACATGCATTTATTTATGTTCTCTATTTTCTTTTCTTATCTCCCTCCATAGCAGTGGAAGAGTTGGACTTGGTGGTGAGATGACAATTCTTTCTTTTGTTTTTTTTAAGAGAAACACAATAAATAATAACAACAACAACAATGAAGACATTGATGCTTGAAGAAGATTGAGAGTTAGATCATTTATGTTTTATTTTTTGGTCTATTAATTATTATGTATGGATAATGAACATCAGTTATTTGTTTTGTTTTATGGAATTATGTGACATTGAAGTATTGAGAATAAATTATTATTTTAATTGTTGTGTCCTAGCCGTACCCGTGTCCTAATTTTTTGAGATTTTCCATGTCGCCGTGTCCCCGTGTAGCGTTCCCGAGTCCCAGTACTCGTGTCCGTACAACATAGCTTTTGGCTCCATCAATGAAGTAATAAGGGCAAAAGTAGAATTTTAAGTTTGGTGAGACACATTAAACACTCAAAAAATATTAAGTTTAATGATCTCATATCTCATTCCTAGATCACGTATGCTAAATAAAACACTTACCTCATTTTCTGAATTAAGTTTAATGGTCTCATATCACATCATTCGTAATTAGGGTCAACCCTAATTCTTCCCTTTGGATTGATGTCTCAAAAAATTAAAAATATCTATATTGTAAGCCTTTTATATCGCATGCGTGCTTAACACGTAATGTTTCGTCTAAGAGAATACACTCTTTCCAATTTATGCTAATAGAACTCAATGATCTCATTGAGTTAAAGAAATCTGTAGAAACTCAAAGCTGTTTGAACATCGAACATGTCGGTACACACCCGATTCTATTACATCGATGATAGTTTAATAATGATTCATATAGCTCTTCTTACTTGGAAAACAAATAAGAACTCTTTAACCAAACCTCAAAATCGACTAACCATTACCCAATAAGTTACAAACATGATATCCTCACCCAACATAAGCGGCAATGGAAGAAGTAACATTTATCACAAGTTTTTATTTTCTTCTGTTACTACCGATGTATGATTAGTAGATTGCCATGAATGGCACCCTTATGTCTCTTTGCTACTTTCAATAAGACAAGAGGCAGCCAGACATTAAGCATTTAACCAAGGGAACACTTTGGGTGAAGAAGGCAACCGAGCTGTAAGAACTTCAACTCCTGTCTCTGTCACCTACACATATGTAGGAAGAAATAACAATGAAATTAGAGATGTATACATATATGCATTCAGCACAGACATAATTAACCAGGAATTAAACTCGGATAAACATCCCTTCGACACCAATATTCAATAACTATCCCCGTGTTCCTAAGGAGCTCGCCTACTAAATTTCAGTGCTGTATTTGTCAATGGGTGGCATTGCAATCCGATGTGGATAGATTAATTATGGCAGATTCAATTCAAGACAACTACTAAGCTAATTGTTCTGCCGCTCCAATTGAGTCCAACCTGCAAATCTTCCTTCCTAATTCGTATTATCTATCAAACTTATCATATCCACACCACTTGGAAGTTATAATGCTATGCTACAGCGAATACAAATACTTGAGCTGCCTTAAAACCCAGAACAAGTCTCACAAATGGTTTTCATGATAAATTGAAATACGGATCATTCCAAAGAATTTCAATACTATATGCACATAAGAAAATAATAAAGAAAAAGGTCTTCTAATAATGATGGAGCAGTGACAGTTATATAAGTTGAAAACATATTACGCATGAAACATAAACTGCACAGTTACCAGAAGTGTGTGCTCAAACTGAGCACTGCGCTTGCCATCTGCTGTAACAGCAGTCCATCCATCGGGCCACATCCGATCACGCCAAACCCCTACATATTTTATTTTGTTTGTTAATATGTAGCTAGCAAATGAAGAAACCTATCACCCATATGCTCATCAAACAAACTTTCAAAATACCAGCATTGATCATAGGTTCAATTGTAAAAGTCTGTCCAGCTTTCATCACACCAACGGCTTTATTTCCTGCTTGGTTAAGGCAAAAAACATTAAAGGTGCAAGCAAGAAAATGTATGATTCATATATATACAGAAGCTTCCTTATCGAACATACTTGCATAATGGGGAATATTTGGTGCACAATGAAAAAGCTCCCCAATACCATGACCGCAATATGATTTCACCTGTTGGTACAATACAAAATTACTATAATCTGTATGCCATATCTTAAAATAAAATAAGCAGCACAATTCCAAGCTCAAAGTCACAAATTACCACAGAGAATCCCGACATTGTCGCATGGCGATTAATGACTTCACCGACTTCACGAAATCGCATGCCAGGTTTTACTGCACACGACAACAAAAAACAATCAGGAATAGTCTTTTCCTTTTATACATTTAATCCGCAAACAATTGAAATGATTATAGTGCACTGTCCAAATCAGGGTTAAATAGGCTGAATTCTCGACATCTCAGTTATCACCAGGTGACAAAATTCCATGTATCACTAAAATATTTTCACAAAATTTACTAATACAATTAAGCAAAAACATAATATTTCAAGAATGATTACTTGCAACTTCCATGGAACCAAAGAAAATGTAAAATCAATATTGGATAAAACGATTATTATAACATATACACGAATAAGATAGCTGAGAAAATGTGCAATGATTTTAAGCTGTGTATTCTTTGGCCCATGAAAAATCCAGGAAATAAAACCCTCAAAATGAAAAGTCTAGGAAACAAGTGAAAATTTACAAAAGCAAAGATCACTTGTCAATTTCTGGCCATTTATTTTAAGAATTACACTCAGTGAATTTTGGTGTTTCAGGTGACTACTTTCAGATTTTATGAATATCAACATAAACTATTTTCCTCGAACACCTTTCATTACATATGAAAATTTTACATCCTCCCAAAAGGCAAGACTAATTGCTTCCAAACAAAGAGATTGGAAGCAATTGAATTGCAAGATTGTTAATGCAATACTTGGTGACAGATGCACTAAAGAACTATTAAGAAGAAGCTTTATTAAATCATGTTCTTAATGTCAGTTCCAAATTCTTGTTTAGGGTCCCAAGACAATTTACAAAAACGACACGAGAGGTAGAGCGGTCTCTTAGAATTGTTATACTATTATTGGTGCACATACCAATAGATATTGCTTTCTCCAAGCACTCATAAGTAGATTGGACTAGCCGTTGAGACTCTTCATCAACATTTCCCACAAAGTATGTTTCATTTAGATCACCTGCAGTTTAACCGTTGTTCAGGAAAAGAACTTGTTCAAAGTTGAACTACATCTTAAATGTGTAAAACACTTATTACCATGGACGCCTTTATAATACACGGTCACATCAACATTGACGATATCACCATCCTCTAATTTCCTGGAGCAAAAGTTTCAATCAGATGCAACATAAAAGAAGTCAAAAATGCTATCCAAGGGATTTTAACAACTATAATCTTTTTCTTTTAAAAAAAAATATAGTAAACCATTCTGAAGTAGAATTAAAAAGAAACAAATGCAGGCAAAACAAAGCGTTAGTGGTTAACCAAATACTAAAAAGCAGTTTCTCCGGTATGTACCCCTAACACCAAACAAGACTTAGCTATGCCAGTCCAGTAACGTTACCAAAGTGCTATTTTATTATAACAGTACTTCAAAACCCAAAACTGAACAGACCAGAAACAAAACAAGAGAGAAACAAAGTACAATATACAGAAATAAATGTGTTTTAAGACAAGGTATATTAAATATACTAACAGAAACAGTTTATCCATATTCTTTTTCCCCCCTTCAGTCCCCTCCCTCCCAAAATTAAAGAAAATAAATAAATCTCAAATGAATAGGTACAATGCATACCTGGCATCAGGAATTCCATGGCAAATTACTTCATTGACTGACCTGCAACAAAGATAAAAAGCAAAATGCAATTACAAAGTCAATACCATACAATCTGAATAAAGTTCGTTGAAAATGTACACAAAAAAGTACCTACGTGCAGCAAGACTTGGGGAAGAAATGATAATTGAGAGGAGATGGATATCCACCTGCAGTGGTTAAAAGCCAAAACATCATTACAACAGCCATTTTCTATTCTGGACAATACAACATGCAAATATGCATACACAAAACATGGCCACTACAAAGCATACAACTGATCTGATTAGAGACAAATAGCAACAAATAGGGAAAAAATAAAAATAAAATAAAACTCGAATTAGGAAAATAAAATTGCCATGTCAATGAGGTATGGTCAAAGTCTTAATGAGTATAAGATATAAACCGTTACAATAATGGACAAGGAAACACAATTATTGGAATACTAAACAAAATGAAAAGACATACCCTCAGCAATAGTAGCCTCATGGACCACCCGATCAATTTCATCAGTTGTGATACCAGGTCGGATTACGCTAGCAGCTTTATCCAAGACCTTCCTTGCAATCTAGCAAAAAATTATCACGAGAACATCAAGATATCAGTAAATTAAGAACATAAAGTCAAATGTAAGAGCAAGATTAATAAAAACCAAACAGAGAAAATCCTCCTTGAAAGAGTCAACTGGTATTATAACTTTGTCTAGCATTCAGTACTTGTATAGCAACACATTAACAAGTTTTTCAGTTTAAAGGCATACAACAGATGTTTGAAGTGAAACGATGCCTGCAGCAAGTTATGAAAAGGAGTATATATATGACGCAGCAAGCTAACACTGTTTCATTAAAACAAAACTTTAGGGTAACAAAAGGAAAGAATTAACTGGCACTTACTAGACAAGTTTCTCGCATTCTCTCAATTTGTTCCGGTTTCTTGATCTTCAAAAAGAATATATCATTCATCATTTAGAAAGAAAGAAAAATTAATAAAATATAAAGGAAAAGGAAAACCTAGAAAGGAAAAAGTCTGATTCATTATGTATGACTTGTGAGGTTTTCAAGTAAATGCTTACCTCGACAATATGCTGCAGATCACTATTGGGCTCAACTTTTGGAGTTCCCTGCAATAGATTTCTTTAATAAGGTCATCAATATAATGACAGGTAGAAATGGCAACAAAATGCAGCACTTCATTTCCATTTAGATCACCAATAGATGAAGCACTATATCTACTCAAATTTTGGTCGTTTGAACTACAACTTACATCAGCTGCCCAATCAGGTAGATCAATATGAGCAGGTACTAAACGCTTACTAGATATAGGATATGGCCTCAGTGTCCTGCATAAGACATAGCAACTTCCATGAAGAAATTCAAATGCGCGTGTACAAGACACAAATGAGGTAAAAGGAGTAAACTGATAGCACTTGTGATTTGTTAAAAAAAAGAAATGTTCCGTCCAATGCTATCAGCTAGCAATAGCCTATCTGACACCATATCCATGATACATAAATTTCCAAATATAAAACAAATAAGTCCAAGCATCAGAACCATCAAACTTAAATATCTGACAAAAATTAATATGAAATAAAAGGGAGAAAAACACATAGAAATATACCCAGTCCAATCAAAATAGGGAAGCTTTGGTGTTCGAGCCTGTCCTTTCTTCAAGCAATATAGCCAACCTTCATTATCCGGAGTACCTGTCCCAGGTTCCAACGGCTTGGCCTTTAGATGCACTGACTTATGAGAGCTCCAAGAAGCCTTAAAACAATCCTGAGTGCTGTTAAGAGATGCAAACTTTCATCAACACGAAAAACAAATAAATCACTTTCAAGCTTCTATTAACACATCTAAGGTACATTGTCAAACTGAAGTGCCAATGTGTGAAAACTCCTGAATGAAGTTAAACACTTGAAATGCTCAACTCCCTGACAATCACTACACACCACCAAGTTTTGCCAATAAAACTATATGACACTGGAATTTAGCATTAGTACAAAGAAGGGAATTGTTACAAACCAGAAAGCGGCCGTTTCACGAGGAAGCTTCAATTGCACACATTTGGGACACCTGCAAATAAAAGTCAAAGTTAATTAACAAAACTAAGTAAAACCAAGAATCGAGCATTTTACAATTAGTAGCACAAAGATCGAAGTTTTAGTAATTGAAATGGGAACCCTCTGCTCCAAAAGGTTTCCAAATGTTTTGAAACAACATATTCACTTTCTCCAAACACAAATAGCTATGAGTCTTCGACCCACCAAAGAAAAAGTACATAAATTTATCATAATTTTTTTACAGAAATTATCAGATAGAAGGAGAGGCTTGCTGAAATTGAAAAACTGAAAGTGAAATTTTACATACTGAAGCTGGGCAGGTTTGCCGCAGCTAGCACAGGACAAGCTAGCTGGTTCAGCCACATCTGAACCACCGGCCATAATCGCATTCGATGGTTTTAGCAATGACCTCACGAGAGCCGTCTGATGTGATTACCGGAGAGGTCAATTGCTCGGTTATTCAGTATCAGAGTGGTCACAGAGGGGCTAGGGTTTGAGTTGAGAGGGAAATAAGTTGGAGATTTCTGTATTTATACAATTTTTTATCAACTCCTTTTTTTAAGTCTTCTTTTTTTCTTTTAAATATACTAGCAGGATATTTAAACTTGAAATTTATTCTAATATTGTCAGGAAAAATATAACTAAATAAAAATTAACTTGTGTATTATAATTTTATACATTGATTATTTCTTTAAAACTTTTATCTCGGAAGAAAAATTACGGTTTAAAAATAATATGATACTCGTTAAAATTAACATAATATTTAAATATGAGTAATTATCCTTGAACACTTGAGCTACAAGTTCCTTACCATTAAAAACTATATTTTTGTTATGATACTCGTCAAAATTAACACAATATTTAAACATGAGTAATTATCCTTGAACACTTTTGCACCCCCGCGCTCGCGCGCGGGAGGGGGGTGGTATTCAATTAGGATTGTATATGTTTGGAAGATTTTTTTTTAAGTGACAAATTTCCTGGAATTGTATAACTCCTATAGGTTTTACCTGGATTTTTAATAAACTTGTATAGGCTTTTATTATAGACTTCCATACTTTTGTATAAACTTTTGTTATAGATTCAGATATATTTGCATAGACTTCTCATTACTATTTTCTTTAAACTATCTTGACCCAGCCACTAGTCGACCATCCCCCCCCCCTCCCCCCCCCTTTTTTTTTCCAAATTCTTCCTCTACTTGTGTGCACAACAATGAATTTTCCTTTTAAATTTCCATGAGTTGGAAACTTTCATACCTAAACAATGAATTTCCCTTTGAAATTTCCACGAGTTGGAAACTTTCATGCATAAACAATGAATCTCCCTTTGAAATTTCCACGAGTTGGAAATTTCCCTTTGATTTTGTTCACGAACAGCAAACTCTTCGTCCAAAAAAAATGGGCCCTGGCCCTAGTTGTTATTTGGAGTGATGGTGAAATATATCTTAACCTTCTGAAGCCTTGACGTTGGCTTCATGCCGAGATGATCTCTAGGGTAACTTATAGGAGATCGAGAAATCTCTAGCCGAGCTTTCCTCCCAACAACTCCAACTGGTTGATTTGAAGAAATCACTAATGGAGGAGCTTTCCTTAATATAGGACGCTTGTAATCACCAAGGTCAGTGCATGGCTTAGTGCATTGTTTGCCAAACGATGGAAAATTTTAAAATTATATGTTTAAAATTCCTATTTATGGAGTATAGCCGTTCAGCTATACTTGTGAAATTTCTATTTAAAGAGTATAGCCGAGCGGCGATACTGTTAAAATTCCTATTTATGGAGTATAGCCGCCCGGCCATACCTGTAAAATTTCTATTTAAAGAGTAGAGCCGGCCAGCTACACTTTTAAAATTTCTATTCAAATAGTATAGCCGCGCGGCTATACTGTTAGAGGTTTAATTTTAAAAAAAATCAATATAAACTTAATATCTTTAGGTCAATAAATTTATTTATTTATTTTTGTAATTAAATAATATATTAGCCTTATTTAATCACTTTTATTGGTAATTATATTTTAATTAATATTTTATTGGTTAATAATTAGTATCAAATATTTCAATTAACTTCATAAATTATATTTCTTGATAAATAGTATTGGATGATGCCCGACTGTAGTAAAACGGGAACCTAAACGTAGTATGTACTATGTACAACGCGATGGACTATAGAGTACGAATTGCAAGCTCAATATAACAAAATATGTAATGGAAAAATATAGTTGCTTCAGAGAGTTCCAAAAGGAAATTGACAAAACTTTTTTGTATGGCAAAACTTTCACACAAAAAAACCCCTCATAAAAACAAATAATATAAAGACAAAATCATATTGTTGAGTATCTCTCTAATAGAGGTGGAATCCATCAGTATACGTGGAATTCACATATATTAAAGAGACAGTCAGCAATGTGATCCGTCAATATAGTCTAAATAGAAACACCCATTGACAAATGAGAGAGAGTCGAATCCCAATTGGATTAGTTAGACAATAGTTCGTTATGGTTCTATCTAATCCAAACCAACCTGAAGGAGAAGAAACTTCATGACTGGCCCAATCAACTATAGAATTATGCCGGCCGTCTCATTTATTCCTTCTTCTTCTTCTTCTTTATTCTTGGGGGTCAAAGTCAAGAAATCTGATGTTCGTGATCTGCCGTCTGTCCATTGATTTGAGCCTAAAGAGCAACCATTATTTGAATGTCCAAATTCAAAAGCAACTTCTAATGGCAGTAAGTCAAACCTTGGTAACATAGTAAAATAGGAGACTGGAAAATATAAATAAAATATCTACGTATATTGTTTGACAAAATTTTCAAAATATGTTGTGAATATAATATCGACGGATATCTTTCTGTATCTCTAAGAAGTAAACGGAAAACGAAAATATTATTGACAATTTAGTTTAATATCATTTATATATATGTACATATGATGGCAGTAATGACGATCACATAATAATTTTCATTAACATACAATATACGATCAAAAATTCCAGTCAAGTTGAAATTAATGACATATATAATATATATATATATATTTTTTAATTTAAACTTGACTTGAAGTTTGGTATACAACAAACAAGGTAAGCTTATTTTAATTTCTATATAGGATATTAGTCATGATCACCCAATAAACCAACACTAACCGGATAGACACGAATATAATTGATATTAGAGAATTATAGCTTCCAATACAATAATTCCATTTATAATTTGATTGCATTAATAATTCAAATTAGACCATCATATTTGTCAATTGGGACTATTATTCTTCAATGAATAATTTGATTCCATTCATAGTTGTTTGTCTTGAAAGAATGCATGACGGACTATTATTCTTCAATGAATTAAGTAGGTTGAATTGATATTTGCATGTATATTTTGCCTAACTATTTACTATATATATACCATTTTATTGAGGGATTCTTTAAATAATTTTATTTGAGGGACACCTTTTAGGGTACCCTATGAATTTTTTTCCAACGATCCAAATCATCTATTTTTTAAGGCTACGTTCATAGATCATCCTTACAAAAAATTAGACAATTCGGAAACCTTTTCGACATTCAATTGTATGCTACAAATCAATGAACACGATGCTTCAAGAAAGTACTTAAGTTTTAGTAACACAATTGAGCGGTCAAACGATATCAGATTCAAGTGATTTTTTATAGAGATGATCTTTAAATTATTATCTAAAACATAGACGGTTTGGATTAGTGAAATACAATTCGAAGTAGATCCTACACGGGTGTCCCTCAAATAAGCTAATTTGAGGGATCCCTCAATGAATATATAAGCAAGTATAGACTTTTATTTGAATATATTTGTCCAAAATGAAAATCTGGCAACAATAACATATCTAGTAAGACAATATTAGAATCACTAAAGTTCTGACGTCATAGGTATCGATAACTGCCTCTACATATTACTAATGATTTTAATATGTAATTGCATCCTAAATTCAGTTTTTTCTATGTCAAAATTGGATAAATTGAAAACCAAGACAATTTAACTTAACTATTAATCAATATAAGAGGAGGGCCAACGGGTCTAGTATAGTGAAAAAGAATTTTAACGTACAAACTAGTGGTCTCAGATTCAAACTCCCATTACACCTTGATTGTGTGTGAGTTTGGAAATTCCCCCTTCTCTTGTAGTTTAGAGACTATCGCTTGTACTCAAAACTATTAACCCAGATGAGAGAGATAGTAATATAATGTTTATTAAATCTGGACAATTATTCAACAATTTAATTGGGTCCTTGAAAAATTGGCAAAAACATTAACTATACCACTTTATAGATTGTCAACGACCAGCTTGTGTCCATCAAGGTAGTTGGACCAACCGTGAACTCCTAAATCTATCCGTGTGCTTTTAGAACATAGGCTCTTGCAATTGCGTGTGGAACAATATAATACATTCTTAATTGAGTTCAACTATATATAAACAAGGGCATAGGTAGGACAACAACTAAGTTTCTGCTTCTTCTTCATTTTTTTCTTTTTTTTGTTGTTGTTGTTGTTGTTGTGTGGTTGATATATTAATGTGAAGTCTACAATGTTTAGGATAAGATACCTAAACAAAAATTCAAAGTCTCCCTTAACTAGTGTACTAGCCGCTAGGCCCTGCCCTGACCTCACCAATGGCTCAAAGTTATCTTATAATGTTTATATTAAGTTCGTAATTATAAATAAATAAATAAATCAGGGACGCTTGGTCATGTTTTATGTATTTTTTCTATTTTCGTTGAATTTTTTTATAATTAACTATAGAGAAGAAGGACATGACGTTGGGAGCTATATTATTAGCAGTCTCAAACCGTCATCATGTACTTCTCCCTTATAAAAACATAATCGAGAAATAGTAATTGAATGAGTATGTGATGACTTTTTCGTAGTGCCGGCAATAACAGTTTTCATATTAAAAATAATTTTTTTTGGTGGGTAATTAATATAGACCCCATTAATATTAATCAAAAACACTTTTTTTTTTCACATTCAAGAATATGAATGTTGGAGAAAGAATACTCATAAAATAATCACTTCTGGGCTTCTAAAATAATCACTTTGGTGGGTGATCTTATCTTATGCAGGTAAGGGCTTCTAAAAACGAAGTATTTTAATTAACTAATTTTGGCTGTCGGAAAAGAATACGAATAATCCATCTAATATCAACCCACAGATAATTAAGCCAAAGACAGATTGTGAATTTGTGAGCCAAGCACGTTGATATTAGATGCCTCCCTATTTTGTACTATCATGCACGATCATGCGAGCATCTAGACTGCTTTCCAGATTTCATATATACACGTGCTATGATTGATGTTTGATCAAAGTCTTAAAAAGAAGTTGTATACGAAAAGGATATGTCTTCCCTGTCGAATCTCAGCCGACTCATTTCATCTTTATGTCCTCCTTCATACGTAATTGCATGCATGATGCTTACTAGATATATTTCAATCAACAACGCGTTTTTTTCTAGCCTCCGTAAAGAAAAATCCAACAAACTTTTAACTTATCGAGTAGCCTAGCTATTACCACCCACTGTTTTTTTTTTGTCCTCAAAGGACAATTTATTGGTAAAAGGGACAAAAATCATATTTTGAACTTCGAATGTGCGGATGAAAGTCTTTAACTGCTAAAGGTAGGAATCGACTTCGGTTGCAAGTGGACAGACACGCTGTAATGACCAACTGACTTAACTTACGTTTGCTATATTATAAAATTGATGTTCAATATACAATAGTACTAGAGATACCAAATAATTTCCAAACTTATTACTACCAGCTAATCTCATATGACATGGAAGCCCATGTCACTTCTTTTTTTCATTCCTCGAACAACCGTATCATTTGCTATGTCATATCGTATATATAAATGGATTTTAATTGGTTGGTGCTCCAAAATTATTGCCACTACTAATTGTAGTGCCGTGTAATATTATCAAGTTCCTCGGCTACCAATTATTGCATTTGTATTCTAATATCAGTCATCAAAAAATTCCAAAATGATAAACAAACATGTTGGATATTAAATATTAAGAGAGAAGAACAACAAAGTTGTTCGCCCCCTGTAACACGCTTTACATCGACAACCCCCGCGACCGTTTCCCTTCTATATATAGAACCCAATTGAGGCTAAGCCATGCACACCACATTCAAACACGAAAGCTCATATAGCTCTAGTCTCCCAAATCGCCCATATTTCATACACATTTCTTGATCAAAAGGCATCCAAAAATGCCAATTCGATTTCACTCAACACTTTTCTTGGTGCTTTATCTCTCTCCAATCATATTTAGTTACTCTCCAAATGATGTGAAAACATGGTGTACACAAACTCCTCACCCAAAACTATGTGAGGATTTTCTGAGCCATAACCCAACTACAACCCCCATAAAAAAAAATCCCAATTCTTCAAGATATCAACCCAACTAGCCCTAGAACGTGCCATCCATGCTCAAACCAACATGTACTCACTTGGTTCAAAGTTCCAAAATGCACACGAAAAAACTGCATGGGATGATTGCCTTGAGCTCTTTGATTTCACAATCCAAAAGCTCAACAAAACCGTAAATCCCATCACCAAGTGCACCCAAGATGACAGCCAAACATGGCTGAGCACAGCTCTCACAAACCTAGAGACATGTCGAGAAGGGTTTGCAGACCTTGGGGTCTCAAATAATTATATCTTCCCTTCAATGTCAAATAATGTTTCTAATTTGATTAGCAACACTTTGGCCATAAACAAAGCTCCATACACTTCTCAGTCAAACCACAAAAATGGTTTCCCAACTTGGGTGAAGCCTGGCGATCGAAAGCTCTTGCAGTCGTCTTCGGCGAAGGCTGATGTTGTGGTGGCCAAAGATGGGTCTGGGAATTACAAGACCATAAGTGAGGCAGTAAGTGCAGCGTCAAAGAGAAAAGGTAGTGCAAGGTATGTGATATATGTGAAGGCAGGGACATATAAGGAAAATGTTCAGATAAAGTCGAAGAATATTATGTTGAGGGGAGATGGTATAGGGAAGACTATTATCACAGGAAGCAAAAGTGTTGGTGGGGGTTCTACAACCTTCAATTCAGCTACAGTTGGTAAGTAAAATTAGCTATTTTCTAAGTGTTTTTTTATATTTATTTATTTTTATCTCTCTCATTTATATATACATGCTTTATTCTGAATATATGTATAGCTTAGTTATCTCTCATTAAATTTGACTTTTTATATGAATAAATTGTATTGTTCGATTGTAAATCCTATTATACTCCAGAAAGATGATCATGCACTCATTCGAGTCAAAATTCACCCTATATTTATTCATACATAATATACTAAACTATTTATAACTTTGTTTCAAATTATGAGTTGCATGTAATACGTTACTTATAATTTTTTTTTCTTTTTTTAAATGCCTATGAGATAAGTTGAAGAATGATTAATAGCCTTATTACTAGCTAGGCAGGCTTTAAAATCCATTCGTTGACTTGTACACAATCTGTTTACTTTCACTGGTGTTCGAAAATGATCGACCAGGCCAATTAGATAATGTGACAAGACAAAGTCGACTAATTTAAACGTGTTCATTAATCATTTTGGGACCGAACTGTCTTTATCTTGTTTCTACCAGCCTTGGATTGAAGGTCCAAAAAGGCAGTCAATATGTGTAAAGTACTTTTTAAAAAGTTGGATTCTTAGAGAGCTGGTCCACTTTGAGAAAGTGGCTAGATTACCTTTCTTTCTTTTTTCTTTTTTCTTTTTTCTTTTTTCTTTTTTTTATAAATAAATTCGGAAGGGGATGAGGGAATATTATATTGAGTTGTTTTAAGATTGTCTTCCACGTACTCATATATACTTTGGGGGGAGAGGGAGAGTTTGACTCATTTTTCCACTATGGTGCCACCCTATGTGCGGCTAGATTACTTTATTTTGTGGAAAATGTCATTCATATAAACACTAATTTTATGAAAATTGTTGAAAATATAAATTAATATAGGGGTTTAGTCATAATGCTGACAATTATTTTGGTCTTAAACTAAGACTTGTGAACCTCAAGTTGCCCACAATATCACTTAATTGTCCATAGTCTGGTGTCCATGGATTTGAACAAACAAATTGTGGTTGAAAATATATTTTGTTTTCCTTTGTTTTCATAATATTGGTCAAAGAATATTTGCAAAGTCAGCAATGCCTCAAATTTCATGTAATTTTAATGTTACAAAGTTAACTCTCTAAATTAAAATTCATGACATTCTTTTCTTTGTTTTGATTCATTTTAGCTGTGGTTGGAGATGGGTTCATTGCCCAAGACATTACATTCCAAAACACTGCCGGTCCAACAAGCGGCCAAGCCGTGGCACTCCGGTCTGGTTCAGATCTCTCTGTGTTTTACAAATGTGGCTTTGAGGGGAACCAAGACACCCTCTATGTGCACTCTGACAGACAATTCTATAGGGAATGTGACATCTATGGAACTGTTGACTTTATTTTTGGCAATGCTGCTGTGGTTTTCCAAAATTGTAACATTTATGTTCACAACCACAAAACCAACACCGTCACTGCTCAAGGCCGGTCCGATCCAAACCAAAATACAGGAATTTCTATTCACAATTGTAAGGTTACAGCTGCTTCGGATTTAAAATCGGTTCAAAGTTCAGTTAAGACATACCTAGGGAGGCCATGGAGGGAGTATTCTCGAACTGTGTTCATGAAGACATACCTTGATAGCTTAATTGACTCAGCTGGTTGGATGGAATGGAGTGGTAACTTTGCCTTGAAGACTTTGTATTATGGTGAGTACATGAACACAGGCCCTGGTTCATCCACTTCAAATAGGGTTAAATGGGCAGGTTACCATGTCATTACAAGTGCCTCGGAGGCTTCCAAATTTACTGTTGGGAACTTCATTGCGGGTAATTCTTGGTTGCCAGCCACCAATGTGCCTTTCACCTCTGGTCTATGATTAATTACTGGAACATAAATAAATTGATTGTTGCCCCCCCCCCACCCCCCCCCCAAAAAAAAGGAATTAATTTAGGGCATTCAATGGTTAGGTACGATTGTGCTTTCTAATTTCATTATTAATATGGAATTGTATCAATGACTCAATTGTCATTCTTTGTGAATTTGTTTTATAAGAATTTATAATTGTTAAGGTTCTTCTCATGCCTGTGCTTCTGCAATTTGGATAATATTGTACATTATGTTGCTTCTTGTTTGGGTGTTATTTTATGGTTATATTATTAGTGACTTAATTAGTAATCAACAACATCATCAACATATAGAATAATTGTACACTTAATACTTGTTTGATCAATTGCCAAATGGGAGAAGAAAAAAAACCCCTCACTTGCTTAAAATATTGCACAGCTTGCTCAAGGAAACTAGGGGGAAAGAGATGTTTAACTCTTTTTTTTTAGTACAAGCAATAGTCATGGGTGGGGGTTTCTCACACACAGACATCCAGGATGCCATGAGGGTTCAGACCTAAGACCTCTAGTCTGCAGGTCAATGTCCTTTTCAATTGAGCTAGACCCCATTGGTGAGTTGTTTAACTTAATTAATAACAGAGAGGGCATATATCAAACCCTACTAAAACGATTTGTCAAACTGATTGAATAAGTTGCAAACTCAGATGACATCAAAATGACAAGAAGACTTGGTCAAATTGGTTCGATTCAATGCCTGAATCTTTTTCTTATGAAGCTTCTATCTAATGTATAAACTATGCCTGTTCTAACATTTTGTACGAAATCAATTTGAAACTTCTCTTTGGAAACATTTTTAATGTCTTGGGAGGGAAGACTTTGTTTAAATTTGATCTGGTTACGTACTTGCAAATTATAGACACTAAAGATCGAGATTAATTAAGTGGGAAGTACAAATGGATCACCACTGGTGCTTGTTAATTATATTATCTTGCCAAGTTTGGGCATAACAATTTTTTCTTTCAGAAAAAAATATAGGTGATTTGCTGAAAACTTTTCACTAACTAAAATAATTTAATTTGTAAAGTAGGTCCAACCCAGTCTGTTTTGAAATCAGGTTCAAGCCCTGACACAAGCCTTCTAAATAGAAATAGAAGAATTGGGCCAATAACCAAATTGGATCAGTGGTTCTTCTTGTAGAGATTTGTTGGCCAGAAATATAGAATTCTATAGCGAAGGTGTTATATGATGTTCTTAGATAATGCCTCATCTCTTAATTGTTTAATTAAATTGGTTAGATGTTCGATCAAATTAGTTAGTTTGATCTAACAGTTAAAAGATAAGACCTCATTTAAGGGCATTAGATAAGACCCTCGCTATAGAATTATCCATCATGTCTAGAGAGAGATTTGCAGGACATTCTATCTGCTTTGGGTTTGCATATTGTAGCTAGTTAGTTTCTTCTTCCTTTTTTGGGCTATGGCCTCTATTGTATAGAGAAAAAAATGCCTATTGGGCTATTTCTAGTGGTGCAACTTGTAAAGGAAACCCATGCATATGCTTAGGCAAACCAAAAGAAAACAGCAACAAACTATAAAATAAAACAGCATTCAGCTTTGTCCAATCAATTCCCAATGAGGTAATGCTGATAAAAGGTGAGTTTCTTCAGATTCATTCATGTATCAAATCAAGTGTGGTATCACTTTTTAAAGGAGGATTTTGGAATTGATGCCTTATAGAGAGAGATAATTGAATGGTAATGTAAAAGGGTTCAGATGCTTTGCTTATATATATATATATATATATATATATTTATTTATTTATTTTTGTGATGATACAGTTTCATGGACACAAGTATTGTTTGAGATTTTCATTTAATTCTCTTTAAATTTTGAATTGAAGCATAAATTGAGGTTAGTCAAAAATAAAAAGAAGAAGGAAAAGAGAAGGACGCATGAAGAGACATACATCGGGAACTTGACCTCAAAAAGAGAAAAAGCAAAGATGGGTTTACCAAACAAAGGTTTGGTTAACCCAAAGAATGAAGTTGAAAAAGAGATGGGTTTTTGTTGGACAGCATGAAGCTAAGAGAATCAGCAGCCCTTTTGAAGTTGATGGAGATTAGAGTGTTACTTTATGCTATAGGATAACACCACCTTCTCTTGTGAAAGAACCAAAAAAACCCAATTGGTATTAAAATAGACAAAAAGTAGAAAACATAGAATATTGAAGCCAACATCAATTTGTGGACTTCTGTCATGATTATGTATCCTCCATATCTCTCAAGAAATTACTCTCTCTCTCTCTCTCTCTCTCTCTCTCTCTCCATCTCCTTAACCTGTAAGCATGATTAATTATATCATTTCATCAATAATTGGTTAATTATGTAATATTTATTGAAGTGGAAGGAGGGTATATATTTATTTACGTACCCATGGTTTTCCTGCAAACTGAGAGAATAACAATCAGAATAGCTAGACCTGCTACTGTCCCAACAATAATGGCCACTGTCTTCCCCACTTGGTCTTGGTTAGAGGAATCTATACAAACACATAAAAGCAAAAGTGAGGGGAATTAGTACTTTATTATATGCATAATTCACAAAGATTTGATTGTGTAGAATTTAAAGATGAAAGTGTAGAATTTTCCAAAGAATGAAGGTTCCCAAAAGCAAGAAGCTAAAGTTACTGGTGTCCCTTATGCTTTGGCCTTTGTTGACCTTGGGTTTGATGATCTTTAATCCTTTTCTCTTCCAAGAATTGAAGTGTGACATATGTTATTTTAATTCAACAGCACCATTTTGGACCTCAGCTTAGAACTATTTTACTCTTATTAACTACATAACAAAGTTACATAAAAGTTTAGCTCTCTAGGTTAACCCAAGTGGCGAGAGTGACTAGGGAAATGGGTTCGGATTAGGTTAGGTCTAGGATTCAATTCCCCACATTTAAAAAACATTACACAAAATGTCTTTTAATTAAGAAAATGATGATCTACTCTGTGGATTTCAACCCTCTACGTCTTATTTAACAGTTAAAGACATAATTAATGGCTATAATTTATGATGAAATGGCCAAATAAAGTCTCTGTTTTGGTGTTAATTAATGCAAAAGCAGAGTAAAAATCTATGTTTTGTGTTGTGGTGTTTCTTTTAAGATGTTAGGATTATATGCAGGGAAATGAGTAGAAATTTTCACCTGAGATATCATAGTAGCCAGATGCCCAATACCGAGCATAACACTGAGCCAAGAACACATCAACAGCTGCTGCCGATCCACACAAACTCTTCAACTTTCCCACAGCATCAGCAATGCAAGAAGAGCAGTCATTTTGGCTCATATCCCCCAAACACTGAGCAAAACCTTCAACCAAACCAGAGCTACTAACCCTAAAGCCATTTGTTCCTTGCAATTCAGCAAGCACATCATCTCTGCGCCTAAAGAATTCAACATCTTCACTCACACTACTTTTACTGCATTTTCTGTACCTAAGACTTGTGTCAAGCCTCCCCAAGAAATTAACATGCTCATATCTTATGAGACAACCCTCAAGCTGCAAAGAAGCCCCATAAGAGTAGGGACAAACCAAAGTAATTTGATTTACTGCACTCTCTACGCATTTTGCGCAGTCAAAAATCTTTAAGTCACCTCTGCACTGGTATAAGCCATATATGGTGCCTTCTAGTGTTGTTGAGCTTCCATTTCCAACTCCAAAATTGTTGTAAGAGACTTGAGAGGATGAGCTAACAACTGATGTTAGAAAAGAGTTGAGGTTGGCTTCAAAGGGTGAGCTTGGTTGGTACTTTTCTTGAGAGCAGCCTGCATAGATGAAGATATGGGCTTGGATTGGGTAGCCATGAATGCTAAGTGAAGAAAAGAGAACGAAAAGCAGAGAAGAGATTATGATTCTCAGGGCTAAGATTGTTTTCTGAGTAGAGTAGTCTAGCTGAAGGTTGCTCATGACCATTTCTTTTTTTCTTCTTGTTTTTTCAACTCGGCATCACTTTCCTTTGTATTGTGGTTTGGTGATGGTAGGGTGAGAAAGGAGAGAGATTGATTGCTTTTTGGTCGTTCTTGAATTCTCAAGTGGACACGTTCCTATTAAGAAAGGGCCTCTATGTGTTGTTCATGGCCTACCTGTGTGTGTTCTTAGTTAAAGCATCTGCTCAAAAATTCTACTTTTGACCCCAATAGATAGTCATAAAGATAATTAACCTAAAAAAAGATAATCATAAAGATGGTTGAATTCTATAGGAAGATGCCCTATTTTTTAACTGTTAGATTAAATTGGTAGTTTGATTCAAAGATTACGAGATAACAACTTAGATAAAACCCTCACTACAGAGTGACTCCATGAAGATGAGCAAGCAAAGCAGACTGCTTCTTTTATTAGTGGACTTGACCTTGAGATGGCCTATATAAAATGACTTGTAACATTGCAGCTGCATTTCCTTTATGCATTATGTCTAGTTGGATTGTATGATTTTTATGATTATGGTGTTGAGCAAATTTATTCTCCTTTTTTTAATTATTAAAAAGTACATTTCATGTGAATTACATGACGAAGAAGTGACAAGAAAAAGTATGAACCTTGGCTACAAAATCCAATCCCCGTTGTTTTGCACCAACATGTTCATTATGGCATCATATTCTATGCTTTTATTTTACTATACTTTTTTTAGTTGGGGTATTGGAGTAAACTAAGTCTATATTTTTTAAATAAATTCAAACAGATTACCTTCCCTAATCAATTAATTGTAACTCCATTACAGATGTGTTAACTTGTGTTAGGAGAACATGAATCACAAACATTATCCCTCTTCGCACCAAATGGATTTAATTATTGATGATCATTTATTTGGTGATTTAATGTTAAGCTTTCAAGGTCGCAATAGCAAAGTCTTTCTCATGCCAAGCCGTGTGATTGGAAGATTTCGACTATTAAATTCTTTAAGCTACTTTACAATCTCAATAGAAAAACCATCCCTAGGTTTACAATAAGTATTCAGAAAAGCAAACAATAGATATTCGAACTACTTGTGTAAAGAGAACTGCTTCAGTTGTACTAATATTTCATCGTAAATCAGATTTATTCGTAAATCACATTTATTTGTAAATCAGACTTATTTATCAACAGTGTTATATAAGAAGACTTTGTAAGATTTCAGTCATGTTTATCAGTAAAAACAATACCGTAATCACTCATTCTTGGAGTAATTTTGTATGTTTCGAGTATACAATACATAGGACATGTTACATATAAAAATATTTTATTTTAATTTTAAAAAGAAGTGCAGTAAATTGAATACTCCAAACCACATTGTTTAATGTAAATTCGCAAAACATACAAAAATTTCTCCCATTCATGAAAAGTAAAATGATTGTCTTATTATAAAATACATATAAAAAAAAGTTATTATTAGCATTAAACAATATTGTAACCCCCATTCTTAACAAATAAAATAATTGTCTTATTATCAAAAAAATATATAAACTTTTAAATTATTAGTACTAGCCTCTCCGCACGCGCTTCCGCGCCTGCGAGAGGTTTTTTTTTAAAAAAAATTTATTTTATTTTAGAATTAAAAAATATAATGGGTAGTTGTGTTCCATAAAAATAGGATTCATTATTTGATTTTTCTTTTAATTTTAATTTTTTAATATAAAAAAGTGAATTTACCATATTATCCTCATTTAATTAATTTATAAATAAACTCAATCCTAGACATGTATTTATAAAAAAACCCAAGCACTATTTAAATATAGAAACACACCCAAAAATCAACAATTGTATATTTTTTGGGTCTGTTTATAAATGGGTTTTGAGTGTGTGTAATGATGGGTTTTGGGTGTGTTTATAAAGTGTTTTGGATGTTGGGTTTTTTTTTATAATTTCAGCCCCCATTTTGGGTGTTATAGTGAAACTCCCTAGTTTTAATTCTTAATGTTTGGATTAACCAATAATATTTTCTAGTATTTTGAATGTTTCACCATTCTCTGCCTTTTGCTCTATATATATATAGATTTCAAAAAAAATTCATCGTGCACACTTGATGTGAAAGATTTATTACGGCCATAATTGTCAAAATTCATTATCTTAGAGATAAATCTGACTTTTAAGTAATTTGACTCAAAAAATACCCTTGTACTGCTGCTCCTCATTTTCCCACACCCTCCCTGCCTCTGAAAGACTGGATCTTTTTCTCCCTAACGCAACGCCCAGCACTCCCTCTCTCATTTTTCCTGTGGCGCCACCTCTCCTCAGGTCAGTCCGTGAATTATATCTTAATTTTTTGAAATAAATATCTGAATTCAATTTACTGTTTGGAAATTATATAATTTGGATCAGATTTAGGCATTTCTTTGGTTGTTCGTGGGGCCTGAGATTGATGATGGCTTCCAGTTCTTAGAACATTCACAAATTTCTATTCTTTTTTCAATGTCTATTGAGATGATATTGGTTTTATCTACTGGGTAATGGTAATTATTTCTTGTTTTAGATAAATTGAGGAAAGCATCATTTGTTGCTTGGATGTGTTTATTGGGTATGCCGTGGATGTGTTTGTTCATTTGCTTCTATGTTCATTTTATTTAGTATATTGTTATGTTTTTATCTGCTTGAACTTGTTGATTTGGTATGCTGCCATATTCCAACAATTTATCAATTTTGGGTAGCACACAGACTTAAACAGTAGTTTTGTCTTCTGAGGATTTCGATTGTTTGTGTCTCTATTCGATTTATTCGCTTAAAGATACATGGTCGGTGCTGCCTATAGAAATAGAAAATCTGAAGGAACGCTTCAGTTTTCGAGAATAGTCTGGTTTGTCTATGAATTTATGATTTTTTTTTCCTTAGATTTTTGTGTTCTATGATTCTTCTTGGTTGGTATTTGAGATTGTTTATTTTATTTTGTTGTTTGGTGTCAATTTCTGATATCTAATTTAGGGGTAAAGATGATGGTTTTTAAGTGTCATTGCTTGTGATCAAGCTTTTGATGTAAATGACAGTGGCTTTAAATATTTCGTTTTCTTCCTTCTCATGTGCTCATCTTTCTTCCAAGAATACGCACTAGCATGTACTGACTGTAGTTGAAAGAAGAAAGGAGAAGAATGTAGATTGATCCCGTGTAATGCATTATTTTAGCTCAGACCAGTCTTCTTCTATGTGGAAGAATTTAGCCCTTGTTACAATTTATCCATATCCTGTTTGCTTCTTCTTTTTATTTTTTTGCATTTCTTATGATTTAAATCACAGTGATGAGTTGAATTTAGTAATGCCACTGACTAAAATGACCGGAACGTGCAGAAAGCCCAATGACAGTGATGGCTTATGAGTAATAAAGTAAGGGGTTGTGCTGTTGAATATCAAATTCTCAATGGAAGAAGAAGAGCCTAAATCACAGAGCTTGAAAGAAGAAGACAATGAACCACAGAGCTTTAAAGAACAGCCTATTTCACAGAGTTTGAAAGAAGAGCCTAAATCACAGAGCTTGGACGATGAAGACGCTAAGTCACAGAGCTTAAAAGAAGACCTTCAATCACTGAGCTTAGAAGGACGAGATGGTTATGCATTCCCTGGATTCAATGAAAATTCGTTGCAGTTCCTGGATTCAATAGACGGGTATTTAACCCTATTGGATTCACTGTCTTGGACACTCCGACAGGTAAAATTGGATTATATATTTCTTTTGGTTATGTTCTTACACTAACAGGGAATAGGATAACACTAAAACAGGGGTGGCTGCAATTAGCAAGTGCTCGACATTCAATGGGTGAGTCACGTGTGAGCAGTGCTGTGTTGGACCTGAAATCCCACCCTGCAAGCACATTTTTGGAAGTAACCCAGCAATCCAATCCAGGAGTTGGGCAAATTCATCATTTTACGTTGCACAAATGGGCATCCTTTGACAATGACAATGGAGCTCCACATATGGATACGAGTCCACAGATACGACAACGAAAGGAAAAGGATGGAGCTCCACCTCCAGTTAAAGCCGAAGCTGACCACCAACATCAGCTTCAAAAGGAGCGGTCTAAGTCACTGTTGGTGTTTGGCGGTTTGGTTTCACCAAAGCTACGGGCAGCACAACTCTCATTCGAATCTGCACTTGACGCCCTTGTAGAGATTGCCAACATGCGTTCTTTGATGCTTTCCACTTTCCATAAGGTCAGGGAAGAAGTGGAGGCTGCCAAAGCCAAATGATGGATGCTATTTCCATGGCACGATAGACGACGTATTTTTACACCCATAGAGTATGAGCACCACCTGCGTGTATTTCAGTCCATCGAATTTTATTTCCATTCTATTTTTCTATAATTGCCTGATTTTGATCTTTACTACAGTTTAAGTGTATTCTATCATGGTTATCCAGTTAAGTGTGTGTCGGATTTGGAGGTAGTTAACTAAAGCCCTTAATTTTCTTTCATTCATGAACTTGAAATTTTCCCCTTTATACAAAATTAAATAAAATTCGGTTTGGTCAGGTACTGGCCGAATTATTGTGTGTGGATGATTTTGGTTTCACCAACGTGACCACAACCATGTTCAAAGCTTGGATGCTTAGCTACCTTTCTGTGTTTCTAAATCCAACGGCTCTAATTTGTATTTAAATTTTAATGGCTTTATTAAATGGACGGCCGCGATTAATTATCAAACAACTCAATTCAAATCAAATGCGACCTAAACAATGAAGTATAAACGAGGCACACCTACCGTTGGATCAAATAACGTATAGTTTGAACGGTTGGGTGGAATTTTGAAATTTTAAGTTGATTTGCTTGTATAAAATTGGGCTAATTGGACTGGTTCTGTAGTGCAATTCCAAATTGGGCTCCTCTTATACATGGGCTGGTTTCTTCTTTCTTGCTTTCTTGGTTCGCCCCAATTCCTACTTCAATTCCATTCAGAAAAGAAAATATTCATAGCTAAAAGAATTGAAAGCGCCAATCTTTAATTGTTATAAACATTTGAGCTTTTATCCATTATTAATTGAATAAAATATTAAATAATGATTCACTGGAAATGAAGAGAAAATCACTAATCTGCACCAATCTTTAGAATTAACATGTTTTACATTTCAACTCATGAGATTGAGATGATGTTAACTCATGAGATTGAGATTATGTTAACTCATGATTCTTGTTTTACCCACTCCCTGTCCATTTTTTTGTTGAAGGTAACATCTCTCATTTGAATTACATGTTAAAGAAGTCATCCAATCTTTCCAGGTTTTACAATTTAAATGGCTGCTAGTCTCCATTAACATATATAAGTTTGTTATGTTTTACAGTTTTATTTCATCATTTCCTTGATTTTATTTGTGGGATATTGGGGTAAACTAATCATGATTTGCTTAATGATGGTCTTGGTGGTAGTGGATGGTATTAAATTAATCCGGTCTTAAAATTTTGTATTGTTTCTCTGTGTAGAATCTTATGTTTTTTTTTGGGTCAATATAATTAGTCTGGTATAAATACCGGTATTCATTTTAGTGGCAAGTAATGCGATTCATTTCAATAAATAACAAATCTTTTTTTATCTTCCTTAGCTCGTGTTTTCTTGCCTATGTCTGTATGAATTAGATCACTTTTATTGTCATATGCATGTTTATAACAAAGTGGTAATAATTCAACCCCACATCATCTTTAATTCAATTGAGTGGAAATCGAGGGGAATTATTGTCTAAGTGTGGGGCTCGATTGGCTCCGAGAGAAGGCGGATATTCCCAAGCTGACCTGCTCTAGTAGTTAGGAGCCACGCCATCAGGTCTCCCAAGGACTAATCAGGATGTTAATACACCTATAGCATTTGATCGCTTTTAAATTTCCACCAGCATGTAGTATTTTCTATTACAAACATTTGATTTATTGGTAAGGAAATATAAGAGAAATATTTGTAAATGATTTATCTCAAAATATTTGCAATTTTCAATAATATGATGGATTAGATTTGTAAATCGTTGTGGAGAATACGCCATACAAATGTTCCAAACTTTTCATGCTCTTGTTTTGATTGCTTGTTGCTCAATTCCTTATAATTAGTTTTTTTTTATTTTTTTTAAATTATAAAAAGAAAAAAACAAACAATAATTGCGAATGGATGTGTTCTCCATTTAGTTCGGTATGCATTTACATCTGAAGTGTCCCATATTTGTTTCTTTCCTAGTTTGTTCTCAATCTGTCGATTTCTTCCTTTCCCATTCTTACTTCAATTCATTGAGAAAAGAAAATATAAATATGTTGGCTGGAGAAAAGGAAAAACCACCGAAAGAACAAATTCGTATGATGACGAAACTCTGAGCTTTGATCATGGATTGGAAAAAAAAAATTTAATGAATTCACTGTGCAAAGAAAATTAAGCATGCTATATATTGAATTTGAACGTGAATGTGATCATTCATTTCCAGTAATATGATGAATTTGTTCTGTAAATTGTTACGCATAGGATGTCGATGAGTCTTGTACAAATAAATGGATTTGAAAATTTTGTGATAAAATAACATTTATAATTACGATCACAAATCCAACGAATATAACAGAAATAAAAATTTGAGTAGGAGATAGAAATTATGTATAATTTAGTGATGAACATGACAATACGTATAAAATAAAAAATCCTAACAAGCTAGGCAGCAGTAGGAGAACCCATGCATCGCCCAAAGAAAGAAGAAAGAAAACACCTTTGAGCCACCTTATTTTCTTGCTTAGAAGGCGAAGGTGAACCTCGTGCGTAATTTGAATCAACAAACTCTCGTTCCTGAAATTTTTCGTCAAAATTTGGATGGTGTTCGAAACTTTTGACACCAGAGAAGGGAGGGCGAATTGGACCAGAGAAGGTAGGGCAAATGGGACCGGAGAAGGAAGTCGGCTTTTGATCGAATACTGGAACCCTATCCTCCCAAATGCGGCCGGAGGAGCCTTGCCTCCTAAATGACATAGATGATCTTTGCAATGAACCCATGGTTCATCAATTTCTTATTTTCTGTCTGTCTTTGTCTTTGTCTTTGTCTCTCCCTCACGTTTAGTATGATAGGTCAAAAGCCTTTCCCTTCAACTAACATAACCGTTTTTGGTTTTTTTGGGTTATTTTGATATTTTAGGTTGTGGTAATTTCCTTATCAATTATGCCACGACTTTGTTGGGGAGCTATTGTTAAATCCCATCTAGGCCATATAAATTTAGGGTCATTTGACAGATAATGGTTTCTCAAGTGGTTCAAATGATTCTAGAAAAAGTTCTCGTTACAAATAAGTCAATACATTCATTTTGAGCGTTTATCGGTTACATAGCATCGAAGCCTACAAAGATACTAGTCGGATGTTGGTAAAATTAATTATCCATAAAAAAAATTTGACTTGTTTTAGAGTACAGCTTAAGATGACAACAAATATTATGGTATACTTTTATAAAAGAAATGGGAGACTTTGGAAAAACCCAAAGGAGAGAAAATTTTTGTAAAAGAAGCCAAAATGGACAAATTTGCCCTTATTTATTTTTGGATTTGCTAAGAAATCATTTACACTTGCATGTCTTTGATTTGAAAGTTGAGAGGTTTTTCTGTCTTTTTTGAAAAAGCTTTGGCTTTTTCCAAAAGTGAAAATTTTTTTATGGCTAAAACCTAAATTTACTTATTAGGTAAATGTCATTCTATTGAGTTATAAAATTCACACACACCAGTTGACCAGAACAGTGAGTGCGCCTCATCAAGTTCGAGTCCCACAAAGACAATTCACCATGCCATTAGTCCAGCAAATCCGATACATATTCATGATCTTTCTCAACTACAACAAAATGGGATACAGAGCAACATGGACTGGAACCTTGAAGGTGCCTTGCCTGCATTCAAGTGCTTCATAGACCTTTTTGAGCTTCTGTGTGGCATATACTAAATCCACAATAATAAAAATGAAGTACAAATGTACTGGCCATATAGCAAATTGGAATAAAAAGACCAATGTGTGGTGGTGGAGCTGCGGGAGGTGGGAAACTGCCTCCATCAATTGATTCTAATTTCATCAGATTCCCCACTATGTCACTAGTGCCATGCTTGAGTACGACACGTCTATGGTGTCAAACAAAGATAATTTTTTCTTCAAGAAAACGTGGTGCTGAGACCGACCAAAAAACTTTTTAGGGGAAATTGGATTCTCTAACATTTTCCAATTAAATTGGACATTAATAATTAATTAATTAAGCAAAACCTGTAATATATGGAAGTGGATTGAGAAAATTGGACAATTCCCTAAGCATAAAATCTCACAACTAATCTTCAAACATTAGTTCTATTAGCTTTAGCTTAACCACTTGTTGGTGGCTATTATTATTGAAAATCTTATAAAAAGCGTTCTCTGGATAAGTACTTGCTAAAAATACTCGACCGTTTGATATAAAAAATTCGAGCATTAATACCAAGTCAACCTCATCAATTGCCCCTCAACAAGACATTTCCCCCAACTTTCTTACTTTTCCAATTAGGAACCAATAACAACAACAACAACAAAAGAAACAAAAAAGAAACTCCCCACAACAATATATTGAAGTAGTCAAAGTCTTGACATCATTATGATTTTTATCACCATTTGATGCATTCACATCAAAACCCAAGAAATAATCACTGTCATTATCACCTCATGATCATTATCATCCACATTAAATCCCCACTTGCAAGAATTAAAAGAGAAAAAATTCATCATATTCTTTGTATAAATATACATCTAAAAAGCTACCACACATGTACCAAAAAGTACAAAAAGAAAATTCCAAAAATTTAAAAAGGGTAAAAAAGTAAAAAACGAAGTGAGACCACTAAACTACACAAAGATTTCTAACGACATCACTATCAATTTGGAATATTATCGTCATCATCATCATCATCATCCTTCATTGTCGCGCCTTAATGGGAGGCGCTGCGCTTCCACGTCAGCCTGCGCTGAGTCGACCCGGCGGCGATCCGGGTCTTGACGCTCTCGAAGTCCGAGATCGGGCAGGGTATGGTGATCCCTCCCTCGTGCTGAAACCCGTACTCTTTTTCGGCCTCTCTCAGAAGCCGGCTGAAGAGGGGATGGTTAAAGTAAATGACGGGCACCAAAACTCGGTGAAAGTCGCCGTCTTTTTGACCCACGTACACAGCCAGGTGTCCTTTTGGAACGGTCACAGGCTTGCTTGACTCAACCGGGTTCTGACCCAACTGTTTGTAGCCCGACCCAGGTTTGCGGCAGCACAGAGATTTGGCTCCGGCGGACAACTTCCGGCCCCAAGTGAGCAGCTTGGACATGGGTTTGTTGCTGCAAGTCAGGGGAGAATCCGGGTTGAGCATGGAGTATCCAGTTCGGGTTCGGGTATTACGGAATAAGAACCACCGGGTGACCCGGCAAAGGCGCTTTCCGAGCTTGAATCCTCTGATCTTTGCCATTGATTGGTAAAAAAAAGAGGGAAATTGGCTTGTGGGTTTCGAAGTTTGGGTCGAGATTTGATTTGGGTTTTTTGCTAGAGAGAGAGAGAGAGCTGGATTCAGGAAAAAGGCCAAGGGTCTGCCTCAGACATGGTGAGCCGAGAAAGAGTTAAGCAGATTTCAGAGAGAGAGGTGGGTATATTGGACATGGCCTGGATTTGAAGTCCGAGAATAGCAGTGAGGGTATTTCATCAAAGATCTGAAATACCCAAAGTGCTACTTTAGCTAAATTTTCAGTCTTTGGTGTTGAATTGAATTCGATATGGGTTTTGTTGATGGGTTCAAGACTTTCAGGCGGTGGTAGAGGGAGGTGGGTGATGAAAAAGTATTAAGAGTGTTTGAGAGGTGAAGAGAGGGTTATATATAAAGGGGAAAATGAGGACAAATGTGTTTTTTTTATAAATAAAAATAAAAAAAAGTCAAAATTGGACGAAGGGAAGGGAGAGCGCAAGTGCAAGTGGAGAAAGGAGTTTGATTTTTATTTTTAGAAATGGTCGGCACGCGAATATGGGAAGAATAAAATTAGTTTAAATGGGGGCAGTGGGATGAGATGGCAAGTCAAAAGTCAGACAAAAGAAGGGTCCGATGAGAAGCGGCTGCGGCGAAAGTTGCACGGGGATTGTCATTAAAATGGGGGCGTACAAGTCAGCGAATTTTTATCAAGTATTTACGGTTAGTGTACAGCCTCATATCTTCTTACACGAGATGTTTGAAAATGGAAAAAGAAACGAAGAAAAGAAATAAGAATATAATCAATGATATACATCATCAGAGGGGAGGAGATGTAAATGCAATTTTTTTTTGCATAACTCTAATCTGTCAATGTCTCGCAAAGTAAAATACTCATACATATACAAACAACTTTAAATGTAACGAGTAAAAAAAACTGAAAATGATCACATTGTTAAATTATACCTCACGAGAAATATTAAGGGTGCATTAACAGAATATAGTCTTCGTAATAGACTTGGATGTTTCCTGTGAAATTGGTGTTTTAAGTGAAGCACGTGTAATCTCCCATAATTTACGTAGGGCTCACTTTGATGAAGGATTGTCAATCATACGCTACGCTACGCGTGAGTAGAGTAGTACAATACGAAGACTTGACCCTGAAGGGTCGCGTTTGGAATGGGCAGCTACACAAGACATTTACGAAGTTGAGTAAAAATAAAAAGAATTTAAGATTAGAACAAAAAGCCCAGCTCCCAATTCAACACGCTGGTTTCCAAGAAACTGTTGTATTTGACACGTGGCTCCCTTGACAAAACGGCACGCTCCTAGAAAAGCAGACCAAGTCAATCCCGTAGTACCTTAAGGTACAGCCTGCACTGCGCGGTTTCAAATTTCAATTTAATATTCGGTGCCCTCTTGGTATGAGCCTAAACCAAACTAAATCAAAATATATAGTTTGGTGTAGGATTTGTAATATTCAAAACTACGATTTAACGAAATCAAATTGATTGTATTAAAAAAATATTATATATATAATACATAGTTTCAATATTTTCTTTTTCTTCTTTTTCTATCTTTTCGTTTATCTTGTCTACATCAGTCCTTATCTCTCTATTTTTTTTTCTTCTTCTTACATATGTCTTAACACACACTCTCTCTCTCTCTCTCTCCAAACCAACCCACTAAGTCCAATTAACCGAAGTGGTTATTTTTCATCAATTATAATTTGGTTTCGATTTCCAAAATAGCCAAACTGAGGCATACAGTTCGGTGTTCGGGTTGAGCTCCAAATCGAACCAACCCAGACCAAGCCCATCCCTACTAGCAATAAATTAAGGCACTTTACCAATAATATGTGAGACCACACCATAAGCCTCCTCTAGCGCACCACCACAATGGTATCAGAATATGCAATTTATGTGTCAAGTTCAACAATCACACATGCTCTGAAGACAAAGTAATCGACAGTTTTTGCTCATGGTGTATGGCTTGAGGAAATACAAATCACTTTTTTAAAACTTAAAAAACCCTTAGCATTATGTAGCTCCCGAAACATTGTTTTCGATACATAGTAATTTTGTTTTTCTTTAATGAGTTATGTTCTAAATCTTTGTATATAAGTATGTGTGTGTTTGACATGTGAGCATAAATTTTCTTTTTAACTTTGTAATAATCTATTACTCTGTATAGCAATCTTATAATAATAATAATAATAAGGCTTAAGTGCTACAGTTACGCCTGAAACATTGGTCAATTTCCACTAAACCCTTTTTAAGTTAAAGTGACCCACTTTGCCTATTTGACCAATGTTTTGTGTCTTCTTTGCCCCTCACCTTCAAGTCTATTAAAAACTCCGTTAAAAATGCTGATGTGGCACTATGCGCGGGTGTGGTCCGATTCGGGCCGATTTTTGCCTCAAATTGAAACTGAAATCGATACTATTTACCAAATTTGGTTAAGTCATATTTAAATAAGTTTTTTTTTATAAAATTGTCCAGTTCAAGTTGAATTGCCTTCGATTTGATTCCTGTTCGATTTTGAACCAGATTATTAATTTTTTATATATATACAAATTTCAACTATTTTTTTTTGGGCTTGAAAATGAACAAATTATCCAATTTAATAAAAAAAAGAAATATTGGGGCTAAAAAAGAGAGATATTTTGAAATTGAGCTTGGGTAAATATTAATTATGAGATTAAAAATATAGCATTGGATATAAATAAATATTTTTAAAAAATAAAAAATGTGGCCCGTCTGGTTCAGTTTGTTAGGGTATAGAATCGGAACAAGAACATATTAGAATCAATTTGGTTCAGTTTTTTGAATTGAGTTTAACTTTTTGGTCAACACAGTTTTTTTCAGTCTGGTTTGGTTCAGATGATCGGTTCTTCAGTTCCGATACCCACCCCTAAGTGGCATCAATAGAATCCACTATTTTGCTAAACTAAGTACCATGTGTGAAGAAAAAAATTAAAAATGAAAAATTGTCTTTTACAAAACTTTAAAACCACTAATTTAAGTATCAAAATAAAAATAATACTTTAAAACCAAAAAATCCCCAATTCCCCTCCTCTAACACCATTATCCCTTCCCACTCCTCTCTCTTCCTCTCTCGCAGACCCAAAACGCAGGTCCCTCCCTAAGCCAAAACCACAGCCCTCATCTCCTAACCCAAATCATCATCACCCTTCTCCAACCCTCGGTCGTCTCCTTCATGAAGCTTATATTTTTTTTTGGTTTAGCTCTCTGCTTATATTATATATATAGATAAACAACCCAGCTCTGTTTTTCTGAGAGAATTGAAGATCGATCAATTGCACCCCAAGAAAAATGAAGAGGCAAAGACGCGTGGATGTTGGTGGTGCCACCATGGATCAAGGATCAAGGTTTGAGGGTACAGCAGCAGCAAAAACAACAACAACAATGACAATGGCAAGCAAAAAGGCTAGGAAAACGATTGACAAGGCTGCAGGGAAAGAAGATGTGAGGATCGACGGTGGAGATCATCAGTTGGGTTTGGTGGCTGCTGAGAATTTGATGGCTGCGGAGGAGAATTACTGGGGTTGTTTGAGTGGTGCTGTGGTGGATGAGCAAATGTCATGGGGTTCAATTTGGATGCCATTTTGGGATGTGGAGTTCATGGGCGAAGCTCATTATGGCTTGTTCAGTGATGTGATTTGGGATGATGACATTTGGGGGTTAAGAACAACCAAAGAGGAACCGAATTCGTGAGAGAGACACAGAAATTTGTATTTATCTTGTTCAGCTTTCGTATAAGAAATTTATGCAAGAAATTAGTTTTGGCTTAGGGTTGGAGAAGGGTGATGATGATTTGGGTTAGGAGATGAAGACTCTGGTTTTGGCTTAGGAAGGGGGCTGGGTTTTGGGTCTGCGAGAGAGTAAAATAGAGGAGTGGGAAAGGGATAATGGGGTTGGAGGAGGGGAATTGGGGATTTTTTGGTTTTAAAGTATTATTTTTATTTTTAATAGTTAAATTAAGTTTTTTAAAAGACTATTTTTTATTTTTTATTTTTTTTCTTCACACATGGCTTAGTTTAGCAAAATAGTGGGCTGTATTAGTGTCGCATCAGTATTTTTGAAAAAGTTTTTACCAAACTTGATTGTGATGGGCAAATTGAGACACAAAATATCGGTTAAGGGAGTAAAGTGCGTCATTTTAACTTTAAGAGGATTCAGTGATAATTCACTAATATTTCAAAAGATACTGTAGCACTTAATCCTAATAATAATATGTTTATAGCCATCTACTTTTTGTCTGTTTGTGTGTTTTTAAATTGTTTGGTCAGTTTTGTTTGATTGTTCATTTGTTGGCCATAAAATAATGAGAGTCCCACCCATTTAATTAACTGGTTAACTTTAATCCGTGTGTTTATTAACGACAATCTACTCCCAAGTACGATGTAACCAATGCACAACCACAGAGCAGGAAGCTGCCCTTGTCAGACGACCGTACAGTACGTGGTACCTTATCGTATTCACGTCTGCTGCTTATTCAAATCAAGCAGGGCCCCACCTCGGTGCCAATCGGATTTGACCCCTCCTGCCACGCGTCCTCATGAAGCCTAGGACGTGGACTTTTCCATTGTCGTGGGCCGGGGTTGGGGAAAAAATCCAATACAGCCGAATAGGCGGAATAGTGGGCCGGTCCCTTTCTCTATCCTTAAATCAGGCTCCCCCATATAATCGTGATCGAGAAAATCTCTGATTTTTTAATAGATTTTGGCTACCTTCTAGAGAATTCCACTTCAATTTTCCCCAAAGCCTTCTTCACCTTCTCATGCCTCAAAAAATCCTCAGCCAAACTGGTTTTGTAAGGAACGTTCTTTGTGTAATCAACAGAGCCCAAATCGTAGAATTGTTGATTCATCCCCAAGTTTTTAGATTTTTAATTTGTTTAAGAAAAAAATTCAGAGTCCAATAAATACTCATCTCCCAATGCTTTAAGTAATCGTAAAGATCTTAGAAATTCTATTCAAATAGGATTTCCTTACTTTTTTGCCAAAATCGTTCTTTTCAACCATTTGATTGAATGAATAGAAAAGAGAAGAAAATTATTTGAGAATTAAGTTATGAGCATTGAAAAGTCATAAGAGAATAATGAGCAAGGAGTCGTAGCTTTCTTGTGTTTTTTTCCTTTCTGTCAAACGATAGGTTCGTGAGAACTTGAGAAGTCTACGTCCTTTTTTATTTTTTTCTTCTTCTCTTTCTTTTTATTTAAGTCCTTTTAAGTCATTTTACAATATGGGTACATTTTTCTTTAAAAATATAAAGATAAGGTGGGTGGAAATAACAGTACTCTTACTTTATAATTCAAGATGTATCTTTATCATTCTTTTCAATACTTGACAATTGTCTATGGATTTAACCATAGTTAACTTTTTACTTGGTATTTATGGAACTATCATTATACTCATGGATACGTGTCAAATGTTGAGAAAGGTAGTGAAGGTACACATTGAGTTATAATTGTACTTGTAGTGTACATATACAAGGAGAGCATTTTTGCTCACCACTTTCTTGTGTTTTTTTTTCTTCTTTCTGTTAAACGATAGGGTTCATGAGAACTTGAGAAGTCTACAAAGAGAGCATTTTACAATTGTACTTGTAGTGTACGTATACAAGGAGAGCATTTTTGCTCACCACTTTAACTCAATGTGTACTTTCACCATATTTATCAATATTTGACACGTGTCCATAAGCATTTTTGCTCTCCTTGTATACGTACACTATAAGTACATTCTACCTTCACTTTCTTCATTCTCATCTCACACTGCGATATCACGATCATAACCATCTAGTTTGAAGCTATACTTACTTGCATAAAAAATCAACTTAATGCCATTACTATAATTTTGCCTAAAAAATAATGTCAAATCAAGAAAATAGATTTACAATGTATATCAATCAAGTTAACACTATCCTTTCTCACATGCGTAAAATGCTAAATAATTATGCAAAGAGGACAAAGAAATTTTTTGAATTCAAGATCTTCGAGAACTGTGACACATATATTGTGTTAAAAAAACCATTAAAGATTAAGCTTAAGCAAACAAAATGCATGGATTGGCTGAGATCAATTATCTGAAACAATCATTTTGATCATATGTTCTTGTATAAATCATCAACCTCTTTTCACAAAACAACTTGGCTTGGCATGAAAACACCATATAGATATTGTTGTCGGGCATGCCGACTGTTCATCATCAAATGAAAACTACGGTTCTGCTGCGTGCAGCTCTCTTCTGTGTGTCTCTAATGCCTGTTTTGAGACGCATAAGACAATGTTAAAGCACATGAATTGAATCTAATGCAATTTGCAGGTTTCTTGTCTTATTAATGTAAACAAAACAAGTCAGTTGAAACCGAAACAAATGTTGGATCTCACAAGTTCATTTGTCGTCATTTAAATTTAATAATGCCAAGGTCTCTTAGAACAATAAGGCAAAGCCATTAGCTAACTCTTTTGCTTACAGACTTTAGTCAATTGTTTAATCCATGTCTGTTTTTGCATACAGTATGAGAAATAAATTAATCTTGATTATTCGACAACATTAATCTATTTTTACCTAAGGGTGGTAATTGAAAATAATGTACGGATTCAGGTCTAAAATGAAAATTTAATCACAAGAGATTTGTAGCTCAAGCGGTTAAAAGTGATTACCCTGCTCGATGTCCAATATTTGAATAGGCCAACCACATTGTTCTATGAAAACTACATTCCAAAAAATCTTTGCAGTGAATCTAGTCCTTGGTGGAAGATTGAAATTAACAAATGATCTTTAATTAGCTTCAAATTTAATGATTGTCAAGCTCTCTAGAAGACTTGTTAGTCTCACTTGTTCTGTCAAGATAGACTTGTCCACCCCATACGAAAAATTATCTAGTATATGATTACTTGGTTGATTGAATGGGTCATTATATTTATGAATTTATATAAAAAAAACAAATACAATGAATGGGTTTACATTATTTGAAAACAAGATTTTCTATTCGACTTCATTTTTCTACGTCAAAGACAAAGACACAATTGCAAAGTTTAAATGTTTCTGCTATAAAATATAAGTTGGCCCACCAACTCGTACAAGAAGCCCTTCCAAGCCCAAATCTGAACACGACTTTTAAAAATTGGTGCATTACTAGTCATATGGACCTTTCACATGACTTGTCAAGAATTCTATGGTGAGGACTATATATATGAACCTATGACTTCTTGTGCATAATTGATATTTTAAAATTGAGACATTTTAGTGTAGTTCACACTCTTTGCCGATCATAAATGATGAGTCATTCTATAGTGAGGGTCTTATCTAAGGCCATGAGATGAGGTCCTATCTTTTAAGTAACCATTAGATTAAACTAACAAATTTGATATAATGGCTAATCAATTTGATCTAACTGTTAAGAGATAAGACATCATCTACAACCCTTAGATAAGGCCCTCACTATAGAATTCTTGCATAAAATGATATAGTAATTGAACTCCATTCGCTTATTCAATCTGCTTGAAGATTGCAAGATGTTTCCCCAAAAACTTTTATCATTGAATGTCTAAGATTCTATGCAAGCACCGGTTCCATCTTATTGAGGATCATGATTAACAATCTTGAGAAGAAGACAATATATATATATATATTTAAATTTATTTAAATAAGGGATATTAGGGCGAGGTGGAATCGAATCTAAAACCTCATGTGTATGGCTAAATACTCTTACCCACTTAAACTATAAGGACATGTTTACGTATCAGTAATGGGTATGAGAGGAAAGAAAATGATTTCCATTCTGACTTCCCTTGCATTTACTTGAAATCATGAATGAAAAAATAAGTGGGCCCTACCTCAAAATCCATAATTGACTCTGGACAAAGGTGTTATTAACATTATCATTGAATTGGGCACTTGCTGTTCACCTTGTTCAGTGTATTGATTCCTCATGTTTACACTGCCTTACTAGTTTGGTCTTCTTAGTCAATTTGAGAATTATATATGTGCTGTGGTGAAAATGTGCAAGGCATTTTAGCAATCAAATTAATTTGGATTCTGATTCATGAAAATTAGTAAATAATAACAATGGGAATCAACATCATTCATTTGCTAATTCTATATGTTTAGTAAACAGCTTAATGTGAATGATTTTTTCCATACGGATTCAATACTTCCCCGATTCCTAAGTTCTCTAATTCCTTACTTTCTCTATTACTGATACATAAACATGCCCTAAGTCTCTTGCGAAAACATTACCCATAACTATATCGTTGGTGATGAGTCAAAATTGTACCAAACCCTAACTCTCCCCGAATCCAACTCCACTAGGTTAGCCCACCAATGTTTCGAAACCTAAGAGAAACGACGCATCATCAGCCTATAGTCTGTTAAGAAGCCCAACTTGAGGCCCATTAACGTGGGTCCCACAACATATCATGTTTACCAACTGCCACGTTACGCCAGTCTATTCGACATGGACCCCACGTCATCAATTCAATGTGGGACAGTGCATAGAACTCTACGACATAGACGACCCAGATTCAACCGATTTCGAGCAAAGCACTGAACGTACGACATCTATCTCCCGGGAAGAAAAAAGAGAATGCAAAGCTGAGTGTGAAGAACTGAAAACCTGAAAATGGTTTTTAACTGTAAATAACGGAACCTGTACTAACAATTGGATCAACAGTCACAGAAGATAAATTAGTAAAAAGGGTTGTTGTTGAATCCGGATCAGGAATTGGGAGATCCAATGACGACAGATTCGAATCTGGAGTTGCAGGAATCGGGTTGGGAGGAGCTGAGGAGAGAGGCCAGGAAGATCGAGGGAGATCTTGATGTGAAGCTCTCTTCTTATGCTAAGCTCGGTGCTAGGTTCACACAAGGAGGTTCGTTTTCTTTTAACTTTTCTTCAATGAAAGTTCTTAATTGCTTAATTATGTTTTGTGGGTTTCGTTAATTCTGTGATTTGGGCATTGCATTTTGGTTATAGAAGGTGTAGGATTGGGATTGGTGGGTTGTGATAGTGTAGGACTGGGAAAGAGGTAGAGTTGATAGGAAGCTCTGTTTGTTGTGCCATTGAGGATAAAATGGGGTTGCCCAGATGCTAAAATTTGGAGGAAAGGGAGATAATGTATGATTTTCATTTTCTTTTGTGCTGAAGAGATAAAACTTGTGTAACCAGTTTCTTAATTGTGAGGTTGAGTATAGAGAATGCAGAGGTTCTTGACTTTTTTGTGTGAAAGAGATTTCTTCAGTTTCCCTTTTGAGCAAACTGGGATCTTTTGTTTTAGATTTAACTATTTTAGAGGGTAAGTATTGTGGTAATTATTTGAGGGTGTCCGAGTTTCAATTGTGTTGACATGTGTTCTTCTTCAGAAGATTTTCTGATCTTACTTGAAGTTACATATATATTTGCTTCATTTTTGTTTCCTCTTATGAATTAAATGGCATTGCATTATTGTTTCCAATGCTGTTTCTTTGGTATTTTGTTAACGACAAATGAATCGTATGACAAATGGGATTTTTGAAGACCAAATAGATATACTTTTTATACGAGAGGGATTGTATTATTTGGTTAATATTAAGGATGTTAAGCTTTAAGGTAGGTTACTGTTTGCGTCTGTGGCCTTCATTAATTTATATATCAAAGGCCATCTACTTTTGAGCTTACAGTTTCAGTTTTGTTATCAAAGGACCCTTCTCAAAGGTTTTCTCTGTTTAACCTTCTGGCTTTGAAAAATTAAATAAACTAATACTAAAGGAAATATTTGGATTTCCTTCTAGTTGCATGATGTGAAAGTAAGTTGTGCAAGATGCAGACGAGCGCAAAAATGAGGACATGCACCCAATAAAGTTTCCTTCCACTGTTATAACTTTTATCTTCTGCTAAATAATATGGAATTTTTATGTGTTTTTGTAGTTGAAACTATACTATTATTGATGGACTAATTTAACATTAATATGCTTGATAGATTTGTCAGGATGTCTACCTTTATGATGATATAAATTTTGGAATTAGGTTACGTGGAATCTGGGTCACCTTCTGTCGGGACCAGTAGGTCATGGAAGTCCATGGAAATGGAAATCCAATCTTTGCTTGAGAAGCTCTTGGACATAATGATTCAATGAGTCGATGTGCTGCTTCTGCTACACCAGCTACGTCTGTGACTCAGAAGCTAGCAAGGCACAGAGACATACTTCACGAGTTTACCCAGGTTTCCTTTCCTTTACTTATGAGTTTCATATTTCTATAATTTCATCGTTCTTTTTCGCCCCTGCTGCATCTTATAGCTAGCTTTGCACAGTTCATGCTATTTGGTGCACAATTATTGATGGAGATTAGTAATCTTTGCTTTACTCTGGATAGGATATACAAGATCGTTTATAACTATTATATATAACTACATGAATTTGATAAACTAGGGAAGAAGTATACATGACCAAAATCACTCAAGTCCTTGAACACAGAAGATTAGAAAAATGAAAAGACTGGTGTTAAATATCACCATATTCTAAATGATTTTGCATGTCATCCATGGGCCCCAACCTACCTGAGGTTGGTATTTGATTATTAAAAGAAAAATAGCAGAGCCTGTGAACTGGTGGTTTGATATGCTACTTGAAGCAGAGATGGTTTTGAAGTTTATATCCTTAATCTTGCTTGACCTGGATTGTGTAACTCCTGTACCAATATCATTTTGAATGGACAAGGTATCTCCTTGGAGCATACCTTCTTAATCCCAAAGTTATCTTAGGCTCATCCTAAATATTATCAAGCTGTGAAACCTAGTCCTAAGCTTCACCAGGTCCAGACCCCAGACTTTAGACATCTAAAGAAAATCTTACTTTTGGACTAGATGAGCTCTCTGTGAGTTGAGCTAGCCCCATTTGCAACTGAGAATTGTACACATCATCTGATCTCTGGGGAGTGAAGTGATAATGACTGCCATTTACATGGAAGTCTAGCTCAGAGGATGTTCTTGAGGGCTTGGTTTGGTTGAATCTTATGTTTAGCCATAACTAAACTAGGTTTGACAAGTTGGCAGTGTGGATGGGGATTTAATACCCCAGCTTTGGGAAGACATTTGAGTTGATATTCTCATCACTCATTTGGATTCCTTTTTCTATGACATGTGGCATAATGTAAGTCTTTTTCCTACTACTGTGTGACAATAACAATAACCTTGCGGTCTAGAAGTAAGAAATGTAGAATGCACAGAAACAATATTAGATCTTTACCAAAAAAGAACAATATTAGATGTGTTGCTCAAGCGTTCTACCCCCTTTATATTTGTTGCATCACTGAGATGCGACTCAAAACAGATTTGGATCTGTGGAAGGATGCTACATTTACATAATTTTTCTGAAACGTACATGCAACATTTTTTAATTATTACAGAATACCAGTTATCTTATGTATTTTGTTTTTTGGCCTTGTTTTTTGTGTGTGTTTTTTTTTGCACCAGAGCGCACACACGCACATATGCAGGTCAGGTTGTAATATGGTATTTATTTTCTTAGAATCGGCTGGTGCATTTTTTATAAGATTTGCCTAGTCTGGTGCTTTCTACTTACACTTTAATCTGTTACTGCTGTCATGAGTGTTTTACCCTTTGAGTGATAAATGATTATTGAATTTTTTGCATTGTGCAATGATGCATGTCTCTTTAGGAGTTCAGAAGAATCAAGGGGAACATAAATTCATTGAGGGAACATGCGGAGCTTCTGACTTCAGTCAGAGATGATATCAGTGAGTACAAGGTGAGCATGGTTCAAACTCTGATTTATCATAGTTTTTTTTCTCATTCTTCTTTTGTCTTGTGTGTGTTCTTTCTAAAATAATGTTTGTTTTACCTGTCTTCATGCAGGCATCTGGGAGTATGTCACCAAGAATGCAGATACTACGGGAGAGAGCTGCGATCCATGGAAGCGTATCTCATGTAAGTCTAAGTGCTATTTGGTTATTATCACATGTCAGATTATGAATCAAGGAATTTCCATTTTGCATTTTTCATGGAAAATTTGGTTAATTTTTTAATTTTTTGAATTTGGGTTCAATTGAGGCTTATACAATCTATGGGCTGCACATTTTGGGGTAGTTCACTGACGTTTGGTTCATAAGCCCTCCCAAACGTCAGTGAAGACTGCATGGTTCAGGCCTGAAAAAGATAAAAAGAAAGAAAAGACCACATGGTTCAGTAGCCATCTTTTATATTTAAATTGTAATGATATAAAAAGATGAACTTTCCCGTCCATCCAGTTTTGGTTTAGGACATTATGATTTGCTAGCTAGTCATCAACCGTTGTAGGTCCTTATTAACTCTTAAGAAGGTGGAAGTTTATTTTTAGTATTAGCTCATGTTAGACTATACATGGTGGAGGATTGTACCACATACCATAAAAGTGATTCTTTAAGCTCGCCCGGGTTCGGCTTGATGCTTTCCTTGCCTCAGAGCCACGCACAGCACAGAATTCTTGAAGCACTCTGTATTTCTATGTTTTGATTTGTTGAACTTTGGTTTTAATATTTCAATGTGGCGAATAATGAGCTCATATTTTTCCTTTAACTAGAAGTCGGTCGTGGGAAATCTAGTTTTAGTTTCTTTTTTCCAACCCTTAATAATAAAATCTTCTGTGATCCATATGTTCACGTCCTTGCAGATAGATGAGGTGATTAGTCAGGCTCAAACAACAAGGGCAGTGTTGGGCTCTCAAAGGGCTTTGTTTGGAGATGTTCAAGGGAAAGTGAAAAATCTAAGTGACAAGTTCCCTATTATCCGTGGCCTACTTGGTAGGAAACAATCTATGCTGTTCATTTTCATTTTCTGATGTGACCTATTATTCATCTTCTATTCACTTTTTTTTTGCAGGTTCAATTAGAAGGCGGCGATCAAGAGACACCCTTATTCTCGCTGCGGTCATTGCAGCTTGTACCTTGTTTCTTATTATCTATTGGCTTTCAAAATAAGTATACAAATGAGTTGTTGAATTGATACAAGAAAGTTATAAATTATGATGCCTCTTTAGGGAATTTTGATTATGTAATTTCTTGGGACAAATAGTTATATGTTTCAATAGTTTTTGTGGTACTTTTCTTGTGGCGTCATTCCAGTGAATTGTCTTTCGGGTCTCAAAATCTTGAGTAAATCAAATCCATAGCCGCAAGTGCACTGGCTTTTTGTTTCTTCTCCTGCCTAATTTTTATGTCCTAACATGAGACTTGTGGTGCAAATGAGTGATGAGGCACTGTACTTACTTTTACGAATGGTCCAAAGTGGTGGGAAACAATCCAAATCAAAACTGATCCACTGTCAAATCTTCTTTTCATGAAGCAATTTACAACATGCAAAACATGCGAGAATATATTCGAAATGTTGAAATGGCTCTGGCACATGTTTTTGTTGAGAGAGTTGGTCAATAATATAATTTTGAAACACTGATTGTGATAAGGCGTGGTATTAATTTGTGTGGGAATTGATTGGCTTTTGTGAAGGGAGAAATCATGAAAACAAAATTAATCCTCCAAACCCCACCTGCAAAAACCTGTTTGGATGCTGGGCAGGTAATTTGGTCGAGTTTGAATTTTAGTCACCAAGATGAGGAACAATGGTAGCCCATGTGTTCATCTACAACAATGTTGGAGTCTGGTGGTAAAGGTATTATGACCAACCAACAAATCGAATTTAGGGCAAATTGAAGGGACGTGGGTCATTTAGGCCAACACTTCCAACAGGCCAAACTCTGTCAACATACATACTGTATCTCCACGGACGTAGGTCATTTACGGATAATTTTGCAACGTTATTAAAGTCGTCCCTTGTAGAATATGACTCGATGTGACATATTATGTTATCAGAATTTCAATTAACATCGTACATTTTAAAACACGATTCTTACTTGCACTCCTTAAACCACTTCTAAGATTTCATCTCATTGCCTTACGAACTGCACTGGAAAATGATGGACTGCAATTGTTTTTCCAGAAATTAACTAGAACTCGGCTTTTTGTACTTTCTTTGTTTTTCTTCTCAAAGAACAGTAGAGAGCGATTGTACAAAATTATAGAAGAAAAAAAGTTTTCCATTGCTTTCGAGAATATTGAGATTTGATAATTATTATTAAATTGAGGATGCAGTCAGAGATGTAATTAAATTAAACCTAAAACTTGGACAATTAAACCAACAGAAGAATCCTGGTAACCCTAAAAACAAATTAACTAAGGGCCAACCCTTTCAATTTTAGTTTTTAGTTTTCATTTTTGTGCTAGAGTACAGAGGAAAAAGAGGGAGAATGGAAGTGAGAATGATGGTGAAGATGAGATTGAGAGGGAAGATAAGAGAGGAGGATAGAGGAAGGACTAACAAAGTGAAAACAAAAACTAAAAACTGAAATCTATTTGAAATTGTTTTCACTTTTGTTACTCTTCCCTCACACCCTCTCCTCTCATCCTCTTATCCTCTCATTCTCTCTCTCTCTCTCTCTCAATCTCATCCTCACTCCCGTTCTCACTCTCATACTCCTCTATACTCTACCATAAAAAATGAAAACTAAAACCTAAAATTAAATTTATTATCAAACGGGACCTGAAAAACTGGTTTAGGCTCATTGATGTCTCAGGAAAGATGGGTATAGGGTAGAAAGAAGAATTAATAAAGAAAGAGCCAAAACTGGTAAAAGATATTAATTAAGTTATATTATTTGTTCATATATTGTTGTTTTGATGCGTGCTAGCTAAAAGCACTTGGGGGCTATAGGCTATAGCTTAGCTCTCTGGAACCTGGATGGAAATGAACCCAACAAGAGGCTAGAGCTCGATACCATTTTAGGTGGGTAGAGAGTACACGTGGCAGAGAACTGTGCACAAGCCAACAAGATAAGGATCTTATTTTCATGTCTTTTGCAGCAAGCCTAGAGGTCACAGCAAGCAGTAGGAGAGAGGGAGAGAGAGAGAGAGTATTGAAAAGAGTGGGATTTATGGCTTATTATTTAAATCCTCCTCCTCCTTCACAGATCAAAGTCAAGTACGGAGTTTATATGTAAAGTTTCAACTGTGCTGTGCACACCTATAGCTGCCACAAACTGCTCTCTCTGCCTTGCCTCAGAGTCTCTGCTAATTGACATGCCAAAATATAACTACAGCTGTACATAAATATCATCTTTATTGGATTTCTACACCATCTCACCACACACAAAGCTGAGAGAGAATTGAATTCTTCTGGATTTTAATTGAAAGGAGCCACTTACTTGCATTGTGTGCGACAGTGTGCATGTACTTGTGCTGTTGGGCTTGTTTTTCTGACCTCAAAAAAAGAAAATAAATAAATAAATAAATGGAATGACCCCAAGATTGTGACTATTTGAAATGTGGAGGTGGTGTATGAGTTTTGCTTGATATAATTATGGAAAAGTACCATGAGATGAGATTGATTATTTCTTATATACGCAAGAGGTTCGAATTCTTACCACAATACTTAAAATTAGGGTTAACTGGTGATTTGCACCCTAAACTTATACATAACTTTCGATTTACCCTATATCATTTTAATAGAAAATTAAGGATATGAACTCTTTATTTTCACCAATTTCCCCCCCTGCTGTCTACATCCTCAACATTTCATTTAATTTTCTGTTAAATCATTTATAAAAAATTGGTTAAATCATTAATTTTTTTTTTTGGAAAAAAGAAGAAAAAGATAACACAAAATAAAAACCTCATCTCCTTTGTGTTTTTTTTCTTCCCCCTGCCCTCTTGTTTTTTTATCGCCATCCTCCTCTGCCCGATGCTTCTCCCAAGGCCAAATAGCCCCACCCCCAACGCATCTCCTCCGGCCTCCTCTCTCTTGTCGCCGCATTCCCTTAGGCTTTAGGGTTTTGATCTTTTTTTTTCTTTCTTTCCTTTTGTTCTCTACAGAGTGTGTCTCCCTCTCTCTCTTCTCTCTTCCCCATTCTCCCTTTTCACATATATCATAACCGCCCACCCTTCACCCACCCCCTCCTCCTTTTGTCTCCCTCTTTCTTCGACATCCACAACCTCACCTCCTAGAAAACCCAAACAACCACAAAAAATATATATATATATATATTCAAGATCAAAACCCTAAATAGCCTCCCAAAAAATTTCAAGATCTTTATTATTAACCTCACCTTACTCCCCAGGAAACCCAAACAGCCAAAAAAAAAAAAAAAAAAAAAAAAAATCAAAATCCTAAACAGCGACTCAAAAAATGTCAAGATATTTATTTATTATTAATTTTGTTTTCCTCTATGCAACCTTGGCAGGGGGAGAGAGAGAGAGATGCTAAAAGAGAGAAAGTGGGAGGGAGAAGGAGGAGGGGGTGGGCACATGGGGGGAGAAGGGACAGAGGGTGGAAGATGGTGATGTTGGTGGATGTTGAAGAGAAGGAGGGGGAAAGAGATCAAGGAGAGGGTGGTGATGTTGGTGGCTGTCAAACATATGGTGAATTTATCATTATTATTTCACTTTTTAATTTTTTTAATTTTTATTTCTATATTTATTATTTTTAATGTTTGAAATGATCAATATGCCCTCATATTTAACGGCAAATTGGATGAAATGTTGAGGATTTAGACGGTATGGGGGAAATTGGCCAAAAAAAGTTCATATTCTTAATTTTCTAAAAAAAAGATAGGGGATAAATTGAAAGCTAGGTATAAGTTTAGGGGCCAAATCACGAGTTAACCCTTAAAATTACAACAATATCTTCATGCTTTACCATACGAAATTTAATTTGTGTACAAAAATATAAATGTCTAAACTTGGCAAATGAATTGTAAACACTCTATGATAAGAATATCAACCAATTGATCTTCAGTCGTCTTCACAAATGGGAAATCAACTATTTCAGCCTTTAGCTTATTCTCGATGAAATGTGTTAGTACCGTAACTGACCGAGCAACTAGCTAGGCTAGATCATCCACGTGTCATGTTTTGAGAGGTCATCACCTTAGCCAAAGAGGCATTACCACAAGTCACAACTCTAACAAGGCAAGAGGAGTCCCACAACGGAAAACTACAAGAGATGGAGACTCCCCCTCACCTATAAAAGAAGACTTCTCTCCACTTAGAAGAGGATCCGGGTCTTGAATCTTGACCCTTGGGCCTTGGACTCTCTTCTGGATCCCTGGGCTGGGCTTTATCTTTAATCATGAGCTTCCCCATTCTTATCTTTATATTTGGGTCTAATTCCATGTATAAATGTAATCATCCATTATTATAATGAGAATATACTTCTTCGTGGACGTAGTCCATTCATTAAGGGTGAACCACGTATATCTCGTCTTCTTTATATTTATCGTTTGCCCAAACCTTTACACACATGCTGAAGGTCCTCACCTTCACCCATCATCCACCATTCCACATCTATCTAAGTTGACCTCCCAAAAGGAGTATCAACAAAATGTCGATCAATCTTCACATGTTTAATATGGTCATGGCCACAATGCCTCTACATTCAGCCTCAGCACTCAGCACTGGATGTTGCAAGAACCTTTTATTTAGTTACTGAGCCTCAATATTATTAACATTGGGAACTCAAATTGCAAGAGCTGGTGGCTTTCTACGATTTTGGGTATAGTAGCATACTAGCATAAGCTGGTGATAGTCCAATGCATCACAATGAGTAAACGAAGAAGGAAACAAATTTGGGTGTCATAGGTGGCGGTCCCATAACCAAATATATTGCTTCAGATTCTCACTCTAAACTTGACAATTAACTCGCTTGTGCATCAGTTGTAGGAGATGTCAAGTAGTACAGTCCCCTCTTCTATTTGTCATTTTCAATTATCTCTTGAGATCCCAAAAAACATTGTGTAACAGAGAAACAAATTATTTACCAGTAACCGGTAATCGTATACTATTTCTAGGAAACAAAACTCCTAAATAATATACACAACTCACATCACCATTACTTAGATATATCACGATCTACATACCCAAAATTTAAAACCAAAAAAATATTCCATTAAATTCAAGTATTATTACCTTCAGTTACATATTCCATTAACAATGGGGGCTCAAATTACAACAGCTAGTGACTTAATTTCTATAATTTTTGTTGATCAAGGTCATCTTAATATGCATGAAACAAAAGGATCTGGATCCTCTACGCATTCCGCTCGACATTATTTAACTATTAACTTGAATTCGCATTTTAAACCAATAATTATCTTGTATATTTGAGTATGGTGTAAACCATATCACGACTGTCGATTACATGTCAATTGAAGCTCCCTTATAGATGTTGATGTTTATGTTTAGAAGATGGTATGTAAATTTATGGGAAAAAATAGTTCTGAAGAAATAAAACATGCCTTCTACATTCAAATTGAATAGGTTTGTAAGCTAATGTCTCCTACTCTAGAAACCTAGTTAATTAGATGTAAAGCTGCCAAGGAATTTGGTGGAACCACTGGCATCTAAAGCAATCCTGAACACTTTAGCCAGTCTTGATTCTTGAAATGAGCAAACCACATTGATGCTATTTGTGGTGGCCAAAAGCCATTTTCTTGATTGCGCGTGGTTACCAAACAGTGTCTTAATTAATCCCTAGTACTATGTACATAGCCTTGAGGACAGACAGAGATGTATGGGAGGTTGGTTGGTGGTAAAAGTCCTAGAGGTGATTTGTAAGTTAACTATATGCCCAGAGATTTTACCCTTTTAAGTGCAAATTTCGAAATGAAGGTGGATAGTGATATATTTCAAACATGTAAAAGAAATGACAGCCATCTTTTTCAGCAACGTTAAGTTTTTTTTTAAATTTATATATATATATATATATTTACACTTTTTCTGAAAAGGTAAACCCTCAGCTGAGGGGCTACAATGTAGGAAAAGGCCTAACTAAATTGTCAAACAATGCCCCCCCCAAAAACATTTTTTATTTTATTTTTCAGTTCTTTTGATGTAAAAAAGGTCCTACAGAAAAGGAGAAATTAAGTGGTTTAAAATAAAAAGGGTTAATATGAAATGGGGAGCTCTCTGTGTTCTGTGACCTTGTCACTGACAACTACGTATCCCTGTGCACATATATGAGAGAGAAACAGATGGGACTGAGTGGTCAAATCGGAAATGTAAAGGCTTTAATGCCTTTTGTGTGATTGTGTTATTATTGCGATAATAATTTGGTGGTGAATTTCCGTCCAAGGATTGGAGACAAAGTCACAGAGGTGGATATGTGTTCCTATCTATCCTATGGATGTGTGTTTGTTTTAGTTCCCCTTATTACCAGGTCATCTTGTAACCCACCTACCAGGTCATCTTCAATTAATTTGTTCCAGTTTTGCTTGAGGGATTAATTAAGTCACCCTAATAGAGCAGGCTAGTGTGTGTTTTTGAGATTAGAAGAGAAGATCTGTTAATTTATTTTATTTTATATTTTATTTTTTTTATAGTCATTTCCATATGTTCACCAAAAAGGGACTATTCTAGATTTCCATAAGGGGGTTAATTAACTTTAATGAAACTAACAAGCTATTAATTATATTTCCGGATATGAGTGCTTCTTATAACTAGTGGCGGAGCTCGGAATTTTCAAGGAAGGGGCACTATTTATAATGTTAAAAGCTAAAAAAACACAATTTAGACAACCAAATACCCTTAGAAAGGATTTAAGATTGATTTTGAAAGGATTACCTAGTTTTGGACTCAAATTAAATTACTTGACTTCACCACTTGAGACAAAACCCATGGCTTTCTTACATTGTTTAAGTAAGCTCATGAGCTTTAACTCAAGCGACATACATGGGTGAGATAATAGATTTGATTCCTCTTATGGAGAAAGAAATTTGAGCAACTCATTATAATTTCTAAAATTTTAATCTACCCGTCACTCCTAATTAAATGTACCATCGGTTTTTGCAATACGCGGCCGATCATATTCTTTTGAAAACTAATTAAACGAATGATGACTTTTTTTATTTCTTTGATTAAAAAAAAAGAAGTTAATTACTTACAACTTTCTCAATAATTTCCTCAAACACGTTCTTATATGCCACTTGAATTAAAGTTTTTGAACTTTTATTATGTACAGCATTAATTTGGTAATTAAAAAGAGATGCTACACACACAAGTTTAATTTGTAAGTCTTGAAATTGACATAATTATATACATGGGATATATTTATATAGATTGAAGAAAAGGGACGCGGTTTCTTAGTAAGAAATTCTTATACAGAATAGAATTCGACCCAGTGGACCAAATAAAATTCCATCATTATCAAAGACAAGACAGCAATCCCAAAGAAGTCTGATGTGGCAAATTGAGATTGGACCTTCAATGGGAAACCAAGAAACACAGCCAATGAAAATAGGTGCCTGGCTAACTAAAGACTTAACACAACATGCACACTTTTATCAGCAAAATATATGAGATTTGATTTGATAGATAGAATGGAAATGCAATATGGAATTGTGGAGAACCAAGGAGTATGAGAGAAAACGAAAGGCTCTCTCTCTCTCTCTTAAATATTTACGACTAAATATTTAAGTGTGAAAACAACAGGTGAATGAGCCAAAGCTAATCACTCCCATGCACACGTCCCTTTCCCTCTTCCTCTCCCCCACCTCTGCCGCTTCTGCACACCTCTCTCTCTCTCTCTTACACATCCTTTGGGAATTATAACCATACATTTCTCTTCTCTTTTTTATTTTAAAATTTGATTATGAAAAAGAAAAAGAACTTGGTACAGCGGCCTACTTGCTTATGATACATCACCAACTTGTACGAACCAAATACTTGCTATATCTATATCTGTATCTATCTAGCCAAAATATATATAAATAATATGGCAAAGTTTAACAAGAATTCCCCTATAATTCATTGAATTGAAGAGAGCAAGAAATTAAAAAGAAAAAAGAAACACTTTCTGGTCTGAACATGTTCCATCATATCCGATCCCCAACCCAACTATATAATTAGTGCCATCTCTCTTTTTATTTTCTCTCTCTTTAACACACACACACACACACACACACACACACTCTCTCTCTCTCTCTCTCTCTCTCTCTCCTCTCTCTCTCTCCTCTCTCTCTCTCTCTCTCTCCTTGTTTCATAATAGTAACTCATCATCAACAACAACAATACTCAAGCAGAGAGATCAGATCCAAAATCTGTCCACTACCCATCATCAAAATCCGACTCTGATAGATCGATCAGTCAAAATCCCATCAATCAAATCACCAAATCAATATCATCATCACTAGAAATTAGAAAGAAAGAATGTCTTCAGCTGCAGCCTCATCCACTGCCTTTAATTCACCGGACCAGCAACAACAACAACAACAACACCTCCTCTCTCCCTCCGATCAGCTCTGTTATGTCCATTGCAACTTCTGTGACACTGTCCTCGCTGTACTTATCTCACTACTCTTGCCTTACATTAAAATTTATAATTAATTTTTGGTTTTTAATTTTTATTAATTTATGTGCAGATATATATATGTATAAGTTGCTTGGTTAACTTATATTAGTGTTGCTATTATTAGGTAAGTGTTCCTTGCAGCAGTTTGTTCAAGACTGTGACTGTTCGATGTGGCCACTGCAGCAACCTTCTCTCAGTCAACATGCGTGCCCTTCTTCTTCCTCCCCCAAATAACCAACACCTTCCACATCCTTTCGTCAATACTCCTCACAATCTCCTAGTAGGTTTTCTTTTCTGGGTGATTAAATGTATGTAAAAATAGTGTATTATCCATGCTCACATTTAGTTTGTATGAATTTGTTTGGAATCTGCTATTCAAACTCTCAAGTGCAGTCATTCTGCACTTCAAAATCAATGTACTAACTAAATAAGTACATAAATGATGAACTGAGAGTGTGAATAACCTTGCGCATTTATTATCTATTGATGATCTGATGGGATCGTGTGTAATTATACATAGCAGGAGGACATGAGAAATGCCCCGTCATCAAACACGTTGATGAATCACCAGCCTAATTACACAAATGAATCAATCATGGCAATTCGGGGAGGAGGCCTTGATCACCAGGAGATACCTAAGCCTCCTGCTGCTGTCAATAGACGTGAGTCTTTTTCTTTTGTACTATAAGCACACCACAACCCAGCTGAGGAAATGGCTTTCTTGGTTCACACTACTTTTTTCATGTTTGCCTTAGTTTATATCTCTTTTGGCGTAGTGGATTCTTTTTTTTTCTTCTGAATCCGATCACTTTATTTAGCCTTTTTGGTAAACAGCAGTCTCTTTGCCAATCCAGAAAAAAGTTTGAAAAGAGAAGCCATGCTAACTTTTGAATATTTGAGCTTACTCTTGAACAGTTCCCAAGGTTTCTAGCTATAGATTGGTGTTTATAAGATCGAGAGAGAGAGAGAGAGAGAGAGAGAGGCAGAAATCTTTAGCACACATTTATTTCATGTGCAGCTTTCTTCTTTCATGTTCTTCCAGATTTAGTTCTCAGTCCAATGGCAAGAATTGAAGCCCACTTTAGATCTACAACCATACATTTCTCTTCTTTCCGCTATTCTTCAACAGTGGTATTCAAATCTATCCCATGGTTCTGATCAAGAAAAGATAAACTAATAAAGAACTTTACCACACAAACACATTAATATTTTTGACAAGGAAAAAAAAAGCCAGCGAATTGATTATAATGTATATCTGTCTGTTTTTGTCTGTCTGTGAAATGTCTATGTCCGATGGCCAGCTCCGGAGAAGAGACAGAGAGTGCCATCTGCCTACAACCGATTTATCAAGTAAGTGACAAATTAAACTAATTAACATGATTAAATTTACCTTTATACTTTCTTAATTCTCTACAAATATGCATGACCGTGAGATTATAAACATAATTAACCTGCAGGGATGAGATTCAACGTATTAAAGCTGGAAATCCTGACATAAGCCACAGGGAGGCCTTTAGTGCTGCTGCAAAGAATGTAATCCCTTTTATAATTAAGCTTCCTTCTACTTTAGCTAGCTAGGGTTTCATTTCCGTACCAGTACATACATACATACATACAGATAACCAGCTAGATAGCTAGTTAGGGTACTGTTTAAAAAATTGGATTCATATGCATACATATTTATATGATTATTTTATGAGGAGCTATTGTTTGACTTTTATAGGTTTTGGATTTGTGTTTTTTTAAATTACTTGTTAATTTTGTGGGTGCGTTGCATTTGCTTTGTTTTCTCTCAGTGGGCCCACTTCCCTCACATCCACTTCGGCCTTATGCCTGATCAGCCCGTGAAGAAAACTAACATGCGGCAGCAGGTACTAAATCGATCTGTGTTTCTTAGATGGAAACCCTAGCTAGCTAGTTATATCTTTGATTAGCTTGTTTATGAATTTTTGTGATTGGATTTGTGCAGGAAGGAGAGGACATGCTCATGAAAGACGGATTTTTCAGCACTCCTGCAAATGTGGGTGTCTCCCCCTACTAAGGATTAGGGTTTCTCTTATTTCTCAACTTTAAGTAGTACAAGGGAATCCTATAATCTTATTACTATCCTTGGTTTTCTTAATTAATATTAGACTCTAAAAACTTTGGGTTGCATGGTTATTTACTAGATAGTCATTGTTTATTGAAGGGGAACATTTTGGAATCTAGAACATGCTAATGGTGAAGAACCCATATGAAAATGGACGGGTTTTAATTATGAAGATATATATATCTCAAGAATCAATCGTGTTCAAAGACCTATGGTAGCATTTTAACTTAATTAACATGCTAAACCATCTAACCAAAATCCCATAGTTAATAATAAAAGCTTCTGCATATTTTTAAGGGTTGTGTTTTTCGGGTACATATATGAAGTGTTGATCAATTTTCATCCAACAAGATTAGTAACTTATTAAGTATATGAATATCATTAGTTAACTCTTAGTCTAGTGATATTTCTTTTTGTGACAATCTTTCTGAGTGAAAAAATTGAACACTAACCAATACTTTCACCCGAGATCAGAGTTGGAATTAGGGACGAATTTATGTTGGGGGCTATATGGGTATTGCCCATATAGATTTTTTTTTAAAAAAATTTAAAAATATTATGTAGTATTTACAATCGATAAAAAAATTAGTTCCTTTTTTTTATAATTACATTGGAGGAAAGAAACCCACTGAGGTTCGATCCTGGGTGCCATGGGGAAAGGGGGAATCTACCACCTCTGTGGTGGGAACACATTGGCATAAAAAAATAATAATAATAAAAAGTTGATAATATCAATAATTAATTATTTTAAGGAAGTTTCACTAAAACACCCAAAATGGGAGTTGAAATTATAAAAAAACCCAACACCCAAACACTTTATAAACACACCCAAAACCCATCATTACACACACTCAAATCCATTGATAAACACACCTAAAAAATATACAATTGTTGATTTTGGGTGTGTTTCTATGTTTAAATAGTGTTTGGGTTTTTTTTTATAAATACATGTATAGGATTGGGTTTATTTATAAATTTGTATTATTTTAATTTAAAGACTCCGAAACTTAAATAGTTTTTATTTTTATTTTTATTTATTTATTTATTTTTGGTATTTGCATTGCATGTTTATATATTATTTTCTTTTTTTACTAGCTTCTATCTTATGTCCTCCCTAACTAGGTATATCATTTTTTTGTTATCAATAAAATTCGCTTCACTTGTACCATTGAATTTCTTTGTAAGGTAAATCCAGTTCAGTCCATTTTAAAATCCTGGATTTGCTCGCAAATGGAATCCCTTTTAAAAAAAAAAAAAAAAAAAAAAAAAAAAAATACCCTTGAAAGATTTGTCTTCGTAACTCAACTCCACCAGAAAAATTTAAGGGTGAGCATCGAGACTGGATAACCAGAATACCGAGCAGCACCGGATGAAAAAAATGGGAAAAAACCTTGTTGAACGAACTAGCACCGAACTGGATCAAACCACCAGTTTGACTTGGGGGGGGTGGTGATTTAGTGGCAGTGGGCGGCAAAGTTGCTTTGTTACCTATTCCATTAGGAACCGCAGATTTTTTGGTGCATCACATTCATGCATTTACAATTCATGTGATGGTATTAATACTCCTGAAAGGTGTTCTATTTGCTCGGAGTTCACGTTTGATACCATATAAAGCAAATCTTGGTTTTCATTTCCCTTGTGATGGGCCGGAAAGAGGAGGGACATGCCAAGTATCCGCTTGGGATCATGTCTTCTTAGGGCTATTCTGGATGTATAATGCAATTTCGGTAGTAATATTCAATTTCAGTTGGAAAATGCAATCAGATGTTTGGGGTAGTATCAGTGATCAAGGAGTGGTAACTCATATCACGGGAGGAAACTTTGCGCAGAGTTCCATTACTATTAATGGGTGGCTCCGCAATTTCTTCAAACCGATTTCGGTGTTGGTTTCATACCTTACAAAACCACACCAGATCGGCTACGTATTTTTAAAAAATAAAATAAAATTTAAGTCCAATGCTAAATTTATAATCATATAACTAATATTTCCTCAAGTCCAACTTCAAAACACCTTTCTTTTCCAAGCCCAATCATCTCTCTTTGCATGAAATTGGATTATTTGTAAATTTTTAAGCCCAAAAAATAAAATTTTAGTTGGAATTTGTTATAAAATTTTTTTTTGAAAAATAAAAAAATATATCCGGTCCAAAATGGGAAAAACCGAAAGCCGCATCGGAACTGGTTTAAATTAGACCGACTAGTTTCATAAATTTTTTTCACCAAAATCAGACCGAGTCACACCGGTTGTATATTACCGATTCCAATTTCAGTGTGAAATGAAAACCAGACTGAACCGGATTGCGCTCACCCGTAAAAAAACTTATGAAATTCAGCTTCTTCTTCTTTTTTTACATATGTCGTGAAGCTAGCTACAGCGGCCCCTCAGCCTGGGGAAGCATATGCATCGATCCAGCGCCCCAATGTTCTGAATTTCTTTGCAGTATTCTCTTTCAAGTTTTGATTTGAAGTCTGCTATATTAGGCCAAGACACTATATATCATCTATATTGTTGTACCTTCTACATAAATCTAGGCTTCTGTCCCAAGGGCATAGGGCCATGGGCGCGTAAACTGAGTGCTCAAACTCATAGAGCTTAGGCCTTGGGCATGCCAATTGCTAGCTGAAGATGCTATATAGGCTTCACCTACGTAGTCTGATCAATATAACAGCAGCAAAGCCCAGAACATCTTCTCACCAGTCACTACACATATATCACTAGTAATGATCAAGTACTTTCCAATTTCAATTTCCCAGTGAAATGTTCACATCTTGTATACCTACACATGGTTCCAAAAGATTAAAAGAAGGGCTTCTTAGATTTAGGTTCAAAATGATTAGCTGCCGTTGGGTTTATTCCACACATTTTTGGTTTTAGATGTTGATTTTTTGACATTTATTGCTTTTTGTGTTGTATCGATTTTACCTTTTGATGTAAATAAGGAAAGTACATTGAAAATATAAATTTAATGCATTATTTCCATTTTGAATTCTTTCCTTGATAAATCATGTTACCTATAAATTAAGAACATAAATTACAAGACTACCTATAAATTAGGAACATAAATTAGAATACTTCCCATAAGTTAGATACAAAAATAGACAAATAAAATTTTATGTTATTATAAAACATAAAATACTATTACACATTGCCGACTCTCCTTGTTTACTTTTTCTTAGATGAAGAAATCTGGAGATATGTTCTAAGATGAGGAAAAAGCTGACTTGATGATTGGTACGATTGCTGGGGATGCCTTGGATCTGCCTCTTCCTCTTATTGTACTCCCTGTTTTCATTATCTACAGATTTCAATTGAAATTATTATCGGGCCCCAATTCTTTTCTTGTGTACTTCAGTAAAGAAAACCATGGATTAATTTTCTTATTCGTTTCGGAGAGGGGGGGTTAATTTGAGGACGTGAAATTAGGAGACCTTTGCAAAAAGAAAATTAATGTTTTTTTAATCTGAGAAGCCATGATCTTCTTATTTTGATATCATGTTCCCATGGCTACGCATATAAAAAAAAAAAGCCACACCCATGGCTACGCATAGAAAAGACGATCATGGCTTCTCAGATTTTTTTTTCTGCGGAAGGTACTTTAACGTTCATTACGATAACGTTAGTTCTTCCCTTCTCATTAATTGATGTCCATGTGTCGTTTTATTATTCATCCGTACTACCACATGGCAAATGCCACGTGGTAAGACGGTACTACCTAATAATTTCTCAAAAGTCACCAAATTCGAGAATTAAACTCAACTGCTTAATGGGAATTTGAATATATATCAACTTTTTTATTAAAACAAAACCTATTTAGATAATTTATATTTCCTCTCTCTCTCAATTCTTTTTTCTTCTTTCACCATGATCAAAGGTTAATATTTGGGTTGTCTACTTTTTTATTAGCGATTAAGGTCAATATTACAGTGTTATGTTTGACTGAAAAAAATTCAAAACTTTTGCACCATGACCGCTCATGGTAAAAATCCTGGATCCATCATTGGCAAACACGTATGTTACCAATAGGGAACTGATTTTCCTACTCCCCTTTTCTCTTCTTATGCTTCCTTTTGCTTTTTAATGCTTTTTAATCAATTTTGTTCTTCTTCTTTCCTATTCTACCTTTATCTTATACTCTCATGAAATCTCTCTTGCCTCGTATCTCTCTTTGAATTACCCAAAGAAACAAATTAATAACCATGAACAACAAGAGCAATCATTCAATGATGCTGATACAAGTGATCACATAGCCAAGGCAGAAGAAGTTGAAAGCCTAAGCAAGCCCAGATAATGAAAATTCAATTAAGTTTAAATCATCAACCTCAAATGTTGAGAATTTCCCCCTTCTCCCCCCATTTTCTTCTTTCCCACTAATGTATTCATGAAGGTTATATAATAACCCAGAAAACTAGAAAACATATTATTCAATCTCGTGGACGCCGACAAGATTAGAACCCAGAAAACCCACAACCCCATGGACTATCAGAAGGCGAGATTGGACGGTGGGTTGATTACGTTTTCGATTTCATGGATGTATTTATGGGAGAAGAGGTGGAGTGAAACGATGTCGCATTCAAAGTGTGACATTTTTTTGTTCTGTTGTCGGATTTGGGAAATCGACAAAACAACCCACCAGTTATGAAGGAAAGCCTAGGGTTCAGGAAATCAAAGCTGCCTTTGGCCCATGATGCCGGCAGCAGCAAGGGTGGTAATTCCGAGAATTATGGGGGTTGGGACGATGCTTTGAAATCGTCGAACGATTTGAGGAGGAACCGGTGACTTTAGAGGTGGAGGTGGGTGGTGCTGGATGGAGGAGGCATGTCGGCCAAGATCCACATATTCAAATATGATGGAGAATGAGGCTCGTGGCTCACTATCGAAACAGATATAGTGGGGAAGAGAGAGAAACAAAGAATAAGGTAAGGGTAGAATAAGAAGGAGAAATAACAAAAAATAATATAAATTAATTAAAAATTATTAAAAACAAAAGGGAGTGTAAATGAAGAAAAGGGAAGTGGAAAAATCAGCTCCCTATCAATGTTATATACTATTTTCTCAATCTACAAATAAATCACATCATATCGTGATACCGTGAATAATAAATATTATACTTATAATAGATACCATAGAAGAAGCTTAATAAGGCCCAAGCAGTATAAGGACTGGGCTGATACCTTTGCTCTTCTTTGATTCATGACCCGCCATGCGAAATTTTATAATGAGGGTGACATATCTTTGATTTGGAGTTGAAGTCTTGGTGGCCTTGTGTATGCATTTATTTTTTTTATCATGTAGTTTGCACTTCTTAATTAGAAAGTATATGAACTTCTTAAAACATGCATTGTTCACTGTTCAAATTTTCTTTTACTTAAAATCCCACATTCCCGAATGAGAATTGGTGATTTCAAATCATGAGATTTATATGACATTATAAGGTTAAATCGTTTATTTAAACTACTTCAATCAATACAAGCTAAAATTTGAATAAGAATGAAATGAAGAAAATAAATTAATTTCAAATGACTCATTACAAGGAGTCATTTGGAATTTGAAATTTATTCCACATGTACTATGTCCAGTTTCCGCCGTAGCCCATAAATAAATTTTATAAAATAAAATAAATTATGTCCAGTTATTTCAAATTCATACAATCTAATGTTTTTCGGTTTTCTTTAACAAATTCAGCTTCGATGTCAAATCCAAATCTTTTCTTTTAGATATCTTTGGCTAGAGAGGAATTATTCTTTTCTCTATTATTTTTTTTTTTTTTGGTGGTTTTTTTTTTTTTTTTTTTTTTTTTTTTTTTTTTTGGTTTTTGTTTGGAAATTAATCTAACTTTGGAAAATCCTCCTAATATTAATTTTATTATACTTGCACAAGTTTTGTTCTATACATTCAAGCATTTGTATGACTAATCTCTCGTGACTTCAGCATGGTTGAAAGGATTGTATTTATTAATATATGAAACTGAAACATTGTTGAGGTGTTTTGGACCATCTCCAACGCTAAGACCCAAAGTACTAGAGAAATTCACTATTCAACACTATCTCTAACACTATTCTTGAGCTTGCCCATCAAAATCCCTAATTATCTAAATCCCGATTGAATTGTTTCACTTTCTTTATATTTCATTTTTTCCATTTTTTAAATATAATTTTCTCACATTCCTCACTAACTAAACAAATCTCAGGAACCAAATACCAACAAGGGATTTTCTTGAGACAAGATTTCCATCATGCACAAGGCTGAAATGCCACTGCATTAAGATTTCAGAGATTCTCTATTGTGATCGTTCAAATTCTCCCCGATTGCATGCTATAATAATTGAATAAATTGATGAATCATATTTCTTTCTGTTTGAAAAATAGGGTCTAATTGCTATATTTAATGCATACAAAATTCAGAAATAATTTTTACAAATTCTTGCTAAAAAATCATGCATACTTACAAGCATACAAATTGCTAACTTAACATGACATGCATTAGAAAAATCTGGAAATAATGGTTGAGGCAAGTGCTAAACACTCTGTCCTTAAGATAATTTACGCCTCATTAGGGTGCTCATGGTTGATCGGCGCTTGTCTCCCTAGATACAATGACCCTGTCCTTACGATAGTAGCACTCCCAATCATAAGGCCCTAGCGAACTACGATGGTGTTGAACTCACTCATATGAACTCATATATGAGACTCTACAAAGATCTCTATACTGCACTATGTAATGAATATATATATGTATATGTAAAAGTTATATCTTAGTCTATCTAACACGTGTAAGTCTTGCCTACTATATATGTTGAGGAGTCATTTCCCAAAATATGTTACTTTATTTGAAAAGTCAAGTGATGCATCTGTTAACTTAGAAGATGCATTACTTCAAACTTGAAGAGGTACATATCTCTTCAATTTTATTTTCATTTAATGTCAGAAAATTCTAATAAATTTTCTAACACTTTCTCAATCACGTTTGATTCTTTCACAAAAGAAGAAACCCAAGCTTGGGTCTCTGCTTCTCCAAATTAGGAAGAAAACTTAATAATGAATGAATTGAAGGAGAACATGCTTTATATGTGTGTGTGTGTGTGAGAGAGAGAGAGAGAGAGCACGCCCATGCCCATGCCCATCGGATTCACATGGGAGTAAATGAGGTAAGTAGAAGGAGAACAGGCTTTATACGATTTTCAAGTACAATAATTGCCCCTAACTTCATCTGCATCTGCCTTGTTTATTTATTTCTTTAGCTAGGAGCCTAGAGTTTTAAGATTTCTTTGTTGGGGTGGGGGTTCTCTGCCACAAGAGTTATGATCCATCAAATAAAAATGTTATTCGAAGAGGACAATTGCAAGAGCACAAATATTTTGTCATTCCGAACCGAAGTTGTCAAAATTAACATAAGAATTATTCATGCCAAAATGAAGGGGTTTTATTTTTTATTTTTTTAAAATTTTTATAAAGGTAAATACTACGAGGTGTCCCCACACTCGAAGGGTGAGATTAAACCCTGCTCGGAGTTCGGCTCGACCTTAGTCACAAAATGCTTCCAACGGGTTTTGAACCCCTACCATTGAGGCACCAGGTAGCTCGTCAGCTAAATGAAGGATTTCATTACATAAAAAAAAAATGACTTCAATATAAGACTGACCAAAAAATAATGACTTTCGAACATGATCGATCCAAACATGGATCCACTATAAGCTCAAAACTAAAAACACAAGTTCTTGTGCTTTTACTTTTTATTTTTTTTATTTTTTTATGAGGAAAAATGAAAATTACACAAATTTAGACCCACGAGGGAACGTAGGTCCGAAAGGTCAAGGTAAAAGGAATTAACAACAGAAAGAGGGAGACTATCGACCCAAAGCTTGGAAGGGGTCATAGAGTGACTCAAGGAAGCTAAAGCATCAGCAACTGAGTTAGCCTCTCTAAAAGCATGCTGGAATTTAATCAAATTACAAAAGGAGGCTAAGTGTGAGACATCTTGGAGAAGTTGCAGAATACTCCAGGGGTAGAGCATTTCTTGTTCACAACATCAATGACCACTTTAGAGTCACCTTCAATTATGATATTACCCCAGCCATATGATGAACTACATGAGCTAGACCATCTCTCAGAGTAAGGCATTCAACCACAGTAATGGAATTGACTCCAATATTTTTAGCTCCAGCGAGAAGGGTGTGGGTGTTGTCATTTCTAATGACAAATGATTGCAACTCCATTTTTGACTAATCCATCGAAGTTGAGCTTGATCCAACCAAAGGGAGGAGGCTTCCATTTGATGTAGGGAACAACCTGTTTGGGTTTCTTGAGCTTGTGATTCGCCTTCCAGTAGTCTAGGTGAATGAGATTGGCAATCGAGAGAACTCGCGCAGGATAGGGTGCCATATCCTTAAAAATGAGGTTGTTGCAAGCTTCCCATATCTGCCAGCAAATAAGGAGACCTTTGCAAAAATCATTAAGACCATGTTGGTTATCAATAGTATTTAAAGAAGACAACCAAGCAATGTGAGCAATAAATAAGATAATTAGTCCTAGACCCAAGGTCAGATTTGGACTCTCATCCTCCCTTTTTCCAGGCCTTACCTCCTTTTTCAACAAATTTCACAAAAGCAAGTTCATCCTTTTTGTTTTCCCTATTAAGAATGTAAGATGCATCAATTGGCGAGTTTACATAAATTGTCAAAATATTGTCTTATATTTAGGATTTTAACTTAAGATAATGCTCTATAGTTAAATAATTGTTTCATAAAGTAGGAAGCACTCACTCACAAAGTGCTTCTCATCTCCAACAGTCACAATCACTCTACAAAAAATCACTTGAATATGATATCATTTAACCACTCAATTGAATTATTGAAATTTTAGTACTTTCTTGAAGCACCTTATTCATTGATTTTGTAGAACACAATTAGACATCGAAACGGTTTCCGATTTGTCTAATTTTTGGAAGAATGATCTATGAATGAAGACTTAAAAAATAGATGGTTTGGATTGTTGAAAAAAAAATTTGTAGGGTACCTTAAAGGGTGTCCCTCGAATCGGAAACCGTTTAGACATCCAATTGCATCCTACAAAATCAATGAACACGATGCTTTAAAAGTACAAAAATTTCAATATTTTAATGAGTGCTCAAATGATATCTGATTCAAGTATTTTTTGTAGAGGTTATCTTTGAATGAATATTTACAAAATAGATTATTTGGATTAGTGAAATAAAATACATAGTGGGCCCTACAAAGGTGTCCCTCGAATATGAGGAATCCCTCAACTGAACCTTCCTATAGTCCCCTTGTATTAAGGGATCCCTAAAATAATTTATTTGAGGGACACCATTTAGGGTCCCTTATGAATTTTTTTTAACGATCCAAACCATCTATTTTTAAGTATACAATCATAGATCATCCTAGGAAAAAATTAGATAAATTGGAAATCGTTTCAACATCCAATGTGTCATACAAAATCAATGAACACGGTACTTCAAGAAAGTACTAAAATTTCAATATTTTAATTGAGTGGTCAAATGATATCGGATTCAAAAGGTTTTTTTTGTAGAGATGATGTTTGAATATCTACAAAATAGACGATTTGGATTAGTGAAATACATATTGTGGGCCCTACAAGGGTGTCCCTCAAATATTATTTGAGGAATTCCTCAACTGAAACTTCCTATATATATATATATATATATATATAGTCCCCTTCATTGAGGGATCTCTCAAATGAAATTGGACACCATTTAGGAGTCCCCTATGAATTTTTTTTCAACGATCCAAACCATCTATTTTTAATTCTGCATTCATAGATCATCCTAGCAAAAAATTAGACAAATTGGAAACCGTTTCGACATCTAATTGTGTCCTACAAAATCAATGAACACGGTGTTTCAAGAAAGTACTAAAATTCAAATATTTCAATTAAGTGGTCAAATGATATTGGATTCAAGTTTTTTTTATTTTGTAGAGATGATGTTTAAATGAATATCTACAAAATAAGCCATTTGGATTAGTGAAATACAATATATAGTGGGCCCTATAGGGGTGTCTCTCAAATAAACTTATTTGAGGGATTCCTCAACTGAAGTTCCCTGTATATATATATATATATATATATATTAAAAAGAATTTTAATAAATTTAAAATGTTAAGAAAAAAATTAAGGGTTTTTCGTAGCAATGATTCCTCAACTATACCTGTATTTGCATTGGGTCACTGAACTCAATTATTAGTTGCAGAGGTCACCCAACTGTGTGTTCCGTCAAACTCTGTTAAATTTTCTGTCAAAACTAAGGGTAAATTTGGAAATTCATCCACAACCCTCCTCTTCATCCACAACTCTCCATTATCACAACTCAATCCTTGCTTCTCCTCCCTTGTACCAAAATCTAGACAGAAAAAGGAAAAGAGAAAGACAACTCAATTGCTTCTCCTCCATTGTACCAAACTCACCACCCAATCCTTCCTCCCACCCTAACCCATCACTCACTGTAAACCATCAACCATAAACATCCACAAATCTAAAACAGGTTGGGATTTTATTTTACGATTTAAGATTGAAAAATCTAAGCTCGAAAGCTCAAATTTCAAGCTTGAAATTGTTATTAAAACTGAAGAAAGCTCGGGTTTTCCATTATTAGAAGCCCAAATCAAAATCCTAATCTCACTGTTTCTGGGCCATGAAGAACTTATGACTGTTTCAGAGGAACAACACAAAAAGCTTTCAACTTTTGCTGAACTGTCTGTGGAGAGGTCATTCGAAGCTTGGGAGGAGGTTTAATGCCATGGCCAGGACTTAGCGGACCACCTCGTGCAGGGCTTCACGAGTTTGATTCAGTCCCACATCAGTATGCCGTCATTCGCTTGGCCTAACCCTAACACGTTGAAGCTCTTCGATCTCGAGTTCCAGAACCAGAGTTTCGGCAAGAGAGACTTTGTTGGGTTAGTGGCCGAGAACTCCGGGATTAATGGGGTTTCTGTGATTCCCAATATCGGTAACATGATCGGGCAAGTCGGGGCGGATTTCGGGGCGTGCTTGAATGGGATGGTTCAACAGTTCTTTAGGACCTTACCGGCACCATTTAGGCATGATGAAAAATACTGCTATAGTGGCTGTTCAAGTTCACTCAGAGAGAGAGAGAGAGAGAAAGGGAGGGTTGTGGAGGAAGGGAAGGGTTGTGGAGGAGAGGGAGGGTTGTGGATGAATTTCCAAACTTACCCTCACTTTTGACTGAAAATTTACCAGAGTTTGACGGAAGGACTACTGGTGCAACGAAACACACAGTTGAGTGACCTCTGCAACTAATAATTGAGTTCAATGACCCAAATGCAAATACGAGTATAGTTGAAGGACCATTGCTGCGAAAAACCCAAAAAATAATAACCGCTAGCTGACGTCAGCACACCTTTAATAGCAGCCCTTGAATCTGTCCGTTAGTTTCCAGTTGCACGAAATGATCCACAAATCACACCCACAGTCTTTCTCCTGTTGGGCAGCACATGTATTGAGCCCAAAAAAAATAATTTGAACCTGAGCTACAATTAGGCTACATGTGGCCCTGAATGACTAAAGAGCTAAATGTTTCCTAATTTTTTGGCCCATGCTGGTGATAGCCTAATACAAAATAACCATGCAGTCTAATGACATGGGTTTTGGACCAAACTTGAGAAGTTCCCGGCTGGTGCAGCAGCTTTTGTCGACTGAAAAGAAAAAGTTGAGAAGTGCTTGAAAAAAGTTGCATCCTGGACCCAAGTGTATTTTATTTTGTTATTTTATCTCTGCAAAATGGTTTCTCAAGAGTCAGTGGACCGGACAATGGAGGCATAAAAGCCCAAAGCCTAGCATTCTCTTTCAGAACAAAAAAATTCGAATGGTTCTAATGGAGATTCTCTATTTAGGTAGCAACTTTCTCAGGCCTGACCAGAATTTAAATCAATCAAAAGACACTTTCTTTGCAACACCCATTTGGTGGCTGATATACAAACTTGATCACATAAAAACTCTTACCTGAGAGCCAAACCTAGACTGTTTGGGACAAGTACCTCACCAGTTGTACATAAGGGCATGTTTTTACTACCCAACAGAACTGACAACACAAGGTATAGAGTTTAACATCTATTTACTAGCAAAACCACTAAAAGATAGATCTGTTGGGCTTTGTTACTACGTGAAGAGTGGATCTACAACATTCATTAGACCATGTACAAGAAAAGAAAAAAATGTCAATTGTTAGTATCCATTAGTGGCTTTTTCAAAGTCCATACAAACAAACTAGGCTACACAACTTGGCAGTGTATTGTGTCAGATAAAAACCAAAAAATAGAAGAGAAAGGGTTCTATACAGTTCAGTCTAGATAGGTCTCAACAGAAAAACCATATACAAAGAAAAACCAAAGTCACAAACCAGGTAGCATGTATCTGTCAAAAGAGGTTCAGCAGCATCTTCTTTGAGTGCATATTACAGAGCTTCCTTCTTGAGCATGGTAACTGATGCATCCTTTAACTTACATATTCCAACTCACATACGCTGAATTCCATCTGGCATTGAACAAGAAACCATGCATGTAAGATCAAAAGATCAACAGCCTCATCTGATCACCTCCTGCCTTTGCCTATGTCATTGCCACTAACATGTTAACCAGCAGAATATGACTTGCCACTACTCTGTACATTTCAGGCCACTTAAATAAACCTGGGATTGAATTACTGTCCTTCCAATCTTAAAACCCGGAACCACTGTAAACCCAACTTTCATCCTGGTTGTACCTGGCAACAACAATCTCCTAGTGACATCTTCCATATACACCATAGAAAAATCTATGCCTCTTTCCACTTGGAATATCTGAACCGCTGGATCAAAAGAGTAGGCCAACTTTTGGAGCATCCATATCGAGCTAGCCATGCTAACGAATGAATCATAGAATACACTCAAAGACCTCCATGAACTCAACACAACTTGGTTTCTATCCAAATTACTAAAAATTGAAGATTCCACGGTGGGGTGGATAATCTCTTGATACTTGCTCTCACAAAATCTTGAAAATTCACAGTTTTGATTCCTACTTAACAACTCCATTGGATTGCTTGACGCATGCTCAAGTAATTGCTTCAAAGAAGCCTTATTCTTATCCAACTCCGGACCATGCCCATTACACAACATTTCACTCTCATCTAAACCAAAACCTTTTGAATCAAAACCTTTGAACATTCCCAAACAAACATATGACAAGAAAGCATACCGGTTATGCGCTTTTTTAACATACTCAATATCAGGATGAACTAAATTAGCAGCCAAATCTAAATCCCACCCAGCTTTCTCCATCAAAGTTATCAAAATTTTAGTAAATCTGTGTGTTAATCTAAAAGCATCATGTAGAACCGAATCAAAGACTCTAACGGACAACAAAACTTCACAAGGAGAATTTAAAGTAGCAGATAACCTCTTAGATAGTTTCAAATTAGACTTTTGAATCTCACCCAATTTTTTCCTCAGAGCCATAACTTCATTGTCTTTTTGATCAATCTCTGTCTGTAACCTGTTGGACATGGTTCCCAAAGTCCTAAGCTTGCTCTGATTCTCTTGCACCTGAGCTTCCAAGCAAGACCCAATTGGAATATCAGAACCAAAATTAGAACTTGTACAAAAATCTCTATAAAAATGCTTGAATTCTGAGAGCCTCTGAAGGTGAGAGATCAGAGCTCGATCAGCTGCCTTGAGATTTTCTTCAACGAAAGGCACATGGGCAGTCTGTAATTGAAGGTACGAAGCTTCGAACGACGAAACCGTAGCAAAAATCGACGAAAGCAGAGTCTGGGTCATCTGGGTATTGATAGGTCTGATCTGGGTTCTGCTCAAAGACCTTGTAACCGCCGAAAGCTCTGGTTTCTTCACTTGGGTTTCGCTCAAATTAGGCTTCGTCGGTGTAATTTGTAGCTGTGAGTCTTTGTGGTCCGCCGCTGCTCCGTCTGGTTTGATGACGACGACCTTCTGGTCTGTGATGACCTCTTCAGCAGAGTCGAGAGTGCTAAGCTATCGGAGTCCTCAGCTTCCTCTTCCGCGAAGAACTCGAAAGTTTTGGTCTTGAAAGCGAGAGCGAATTTCTGAAACATTTCAGAGATTTGTGGAGGTCTCGAAGAGCCATCATCCATTTCTGTCATTTTCTTTTCTTTCTCACCTTCAGCCTTGAGTTTGCTTTGAAATGGAATTGAATTGAAAGTTTCAATCCTTTTTTTACTTTCTCTCCGTACAAAGAAGCGAGAATTCTTGAGCTCTACTCTTTTTCTCGCGGAGGTGCTTTGAATGTCTTGGAAGGAAGGTATTATTTGTGTGTGGGTTTGGCTTGCTGGTGCTGGAAGCCTGCGCTTCTCTTTTTCTTTCTTTGTATTTTTATTTTCATTTTTCTATTCAATTTATCTCTATATCAATCACATTTTTTATTTTTTATTTTCATTTCCTCACTAGAAGAACAAATTTCTCTCCTCCCTAGACTCCTAATTATGCTGACTTTTTCCAGATTTGGGTAACGGTAATAAGTATGACGACTAGAATAATATGATGGGTACCTTTGGTCAGTGACAGACCAATTGTTAATTTGTTTAGATGGAAATGTTGGAGACTACAGGCTCTTTGGTGAGATGCATTATCTGTAGGTGTTTTTTTCGTTTTTATGCAAGCCAAAGATTAAGAGGAGGTATACGAACACAGAATCTCGAATATAAGAATAACTGTTTTTAGCCATTGAACAACATATCACTTACTTTCTTTATGTTTTATCACCATGAAACAGAATGATGAATATTTACGTTTGATTTTGTAACCATCACTAACAATGAGGGCTACAGTTGAACCCAAGAGGACGCAGTGTTTATTATTTTTCTATTGGATTTTTGAGAGATTGAAATAAAGATATTGAACCCCAAGTATTGAATGGTGCATTTAATTTCTGCGCGGTCAGTTGACACAGTTTGACGTATAGCAGGAATTTATGAATGTTATGTGAGCTATTTGCTGCCTCTCCCTCACTGTCGCCAGTATTAGTACATGAAGTAAATGAAAACTAAACTGAAAGAATATCAAATTCTGAGCAAAGTAAAATTACTGTATGAAAAATCATCTGATTCACAGCATGTGTTGATAGGGTTCGAAAGAGAAGACTGAGTTAATAGATTAGTGTGGAGTGAGTTGGAAATTTATTTCTTACCTGTCTTAAATATAAAGAGAAAAGAAAATGAAACGAAATGCAATCTCGGATCTTCCTTGCTCTGCGACATGAACCAGTGCTTTTTTCCAACTTTTCAACAAGGGGTTTGGAGTTGAATATGAATTAAGCATGACCCCATCATTGATAAAGATTAGGCAGCAGAAATTCTGGCTTCCATGTTTTGGGTCTTTCACTTTACTCTCTCAGCATCTAGGTGAATGCTTTATTATATTAAAAGAAGAAAGAAAGAAAAAAAGAAAAAAAAAAGTAGTGTTCTGGCTTTAGTCTTGCTGTCATTGTGATGGTATCTTGTACAATGTAGAGGATCAAAACTTTCACTGGTGTGATGATGAACAAGAGTGAACTAAACTACAAAAGTGGCTTTGCATGTCTTGCAAGTTTCCCTCTCCTCTGAGTCTCTGTTCGGGAATGCAATCATTATAGCTTTATGGACCCTTAATGTGTCTGCTGTTCTTTAGGCGGACACTTTGTAGTGGGCTTCACCTTCCCCAAACTCAGGTACAAAATGGATTATAGTATAGATTTGGAATATATAGATTCATAATTCAGTTGTCAAAAAGAAAAAGAAAATCCCCCATAAACCCTAATTCAAGTAGAAGTTGGATTTGGTCCTACCCAATTAGCCTAACTAATGAATGAGTGGAAGCTCAAGGTTATAGAAGAAGCATAAATATATATATATATATATATTTTTAGTACAAGCAATAGTCTGAACTAAAGATGAAGGGAATTTCTCACGCACACACATTGCTATAATGTCATGAAGGTTTGAATCTAAGACCACTAGACTATACCCGATTGACATAAATATAGAATTTCTCAATGTGTATGAGATGTGAGTTTGATCAATTTTGTGCAACCTTGCAAATACCATCCAAGAGATCCCTTTAGTAGAGTAGTAGGTCGAAAAGCCTTTGACTTAACCAAAATGGGATCCCTTTTGTTTGGTGAAAACTTGGGCAATGTATTGTAGGGTAGGTAATGGGTTGTTAAACTTTGGTCAAAGTGAGCCCTAATTAAAAACCTCAGAAATAGCAAAGCACTAAAGACTTGCTTTTCCACTACAATGATTAGCATCCTTGATCTTCTTTCTCTGTCGGCCTTGCTTTGAAAAGAAAAACAAAAACAAAAAACAAAAAACAAAATTTAGTTCTTATATATTAAGAAAAAGAAAATCAACATATATGCAAAGTGATGGAAATCATTAAGCATCCAAATCCACCACTAGACTTTAGTAATATTACAGAAAATGACAACCATATTCAAACAAAATAAATAGGATTATTTTGTTCTTTTCCTAATTGTCATGTTTTATAGTTGATGGATTCCTTAAATTCTATCTAAAACATGATTAACAAGACAATTAGAAAAGAATAAGCGGTTCCTGCTGGCTCCTACATGACCCATAAAACAGTTAGCTGGTGCTAAAGATTCCACCACTTCAGGTCAAACAGACAAGAACCAAGATTTTTATGTTTTTTTTAATCTATAATTTGTGATTATGACACTCATTGCATTAAGTCAATGTCAAAGGAAAAAAAAATTACTTATCACCCACTCTAACAAGGGTTTCTAATTATTTTACCAATTTTCTCACATTTAATAATAAAAAATTATCTTAATCCTGTCTAAATCCATGCAGTTAGAAAGTAGTAGTGTTTGACATTTTGGTATTAATACAAAACTTAGCTTAAAGTTTTATTAAACTAAAAGTCGTGATTAATATTAGCAGCACTTAGCATGCGACCGAGATTTTGGTCAACTTGTCTCAACAGATAATGATGCTCTCTCTCTCCCTCTCCACTTGTTTGTTTGCATGCGGAGCAGTCTGCCTGTCTCTGTCTGTCCTAATATTATAATGGCCAAATGGTGTGCAAGGACTCTCATCTCATGCTTTTTCATATAATAATAACAATTTGACCATTATAATATTTTGACAATTTTATTAATAATGGCGAAATCGAAGAGAAAAACTCAAAATAGCCGATGGTTATTTTTTTAATTGGTTCTTAGTGTTCGTTTGACATTGTTTATTTGGGGTGAATAATGAGTTTTTTTTTTTTTTTTTTTTTTTTTTTTTTTTTTTTTGGAAACCCAGCTCGTTTAGTAAACTATGAGAAAATCACTTATTATTAAAAAATTGTCGTGAGAGAAAGCTATAAGGGAATGAGGTGTTTTCATTTTTGATTATGTGAGAATCAGTTTTGAAGAGGTATTGGGTTTAATGATATTTACAAACTTCTAAAAATACCCCAATCTATTTCACGCAATCTCTTCTCTTCGCACATTTTCTCCTTCGCATCCATTTGTCTCTTCATGCCATCTCTTTCACAAAGTTCTTCTTCTCTTGAATTTCTTCTATTCTTCCTATTATTTTTTCTTGTTGAATCAATTGAAGCACACTCTTGAGAAGCCACAAGACTCAAGTAAGAGGCATATTATGTTTATTTCTTCTCAATTTCATTCTTTCCTCTTTCTCTTTAATTTATAGGATTAACTTCAATAGTTGTTGTTGTTGGTTATTATTATTATTATTATTATTATTTTCTGTTCTTGTATTTGTTTCTTTGTTACTTTGACATAATATTTATTTTTAATGGAATATATTGGATTTAACTTGGAACATTAGTTTAGAGCGTTTTGATACAAATATTTAATTTTCAACATAATACTTTATTTATTTTATAATTAAAATAGTTTTTAGGGTGTGATGGAAACATATTTAATACAATATATATATATATATAAGTGAATGTGTTTTCCCTTTTATCAAACACTTTAACAAAAAAGTCATTTCAACATAATGTCATTTTTAGTCATTATACACAACATAGCACTTTCACAAAAAAAATTTACCAAACACTTAGAAACTGATTATTGTACCAACAACACTTTTAACAAAAAGTTTACAAAACGCCCAACTACTTTCTCTCACAGTTGATTTCTTTCACATCAAATCTAAGAAAGATTATTTTCACAGCACAACAATGTCAAACTGGGTGTGTTAAAATTTTCTAAGAACCAATTAGAAAATCATAAGTGGCTAGTTTTGGGTTTCTTTCCAAATAGGTTTTATATGAGTATTTGTATAATATGTCATGTTAGAATGACCTATTAATGAAAAGCCCAATAATAATAACTATTTATTATTTTTATTTTTATTATTTTATTTTATTTATAATTTTAGTGATCTTGCTTTTTCATATTGGAAACAAAAGGAGTACGACTCGAACCTGTTTCATTTGGACATTTTTATAAATAAAAAAATATATATGTATACTGGACTCTCTCGTTTTTGTTGGTCCTCTGTTGTATTTCGCGTGTGTGGGTATTTTTTTGGGCCCTTTCTGAGCCCAGAGAAGTGTGTATTCTGAAATTAGATTGTGTATCTAGCAGCTACAACCCCTCATTACAGTCTCTCCGTGCAACCGACCCTAGCTTGCTAGACTTTTTCTATTGTAATTTTTCTCCATCTAATGAATTCTTGATTGGTAAAAAGGAAAAAACACAGTTATTTTTTTTGGCACAAAGCCACTCAAGAAAGTGGACTTTGGGCACGGAGTAGTGCAAATTCTTATAAGATTATAAGATGGGATTTATCCCACAAAAATGGTGGAAATTTTGAACAAACTGGACTTGGATCCAATACAAATATTGGAGAGGTTGGATCCATACTATTTCTGTTCTCAATCTGTCCATATTGTGGTCGAGAGGGTTCAGTATGGGTACTTCTATGGCCCAACTTGTGCCTTGCCCACAATTTGGGCTCAAACAAAACTTTTATTTAAAAAAATTATTGAGAGATTGCATCAAAAGTAACCTAAAAAAAACTAGATTGCGTTTGATTTAGAAAATGAACGGTTCCGATTATAGTATATATGGTGAAGATTCGTTAATCATAATATGCTGGATAAGAAGGTATATGCCAAAAAGTATTTCTATGGAAAATCACTTCTTCATATAAAGTGATTATATGGAAAATCACTCCAAAACGAGCCCTAAGTTTGTTCATTTAGGAATCTCAAATTTCAAGAATTTGTACACGCAAAAATCATAGAGGTATTTGCTCCTTAACCCATAGGCAACTTACCTGCTTTTCTTCTTTCTTTCTTTTTTTTGGGTCAAACCGCAGGAATAACATACCTGCTTTTCTTTTTCTTTCTTGTTTTTTGGTCAAACCGCAGGAATAGCATACCTGTTTTTTTTCTGATGCGAACATACCTGTTTTTTTTATTTTATTACAAGGCTTTTTCGTACGCTTTTACTTGTAGCCCTAATTTTATAGTAGTATATATAAAGGGGACAGCAGCCATCATTGAGTTGGAGGCTTGTGATCTTCTGGACTCTGAGTCATCTTTCCAAAATCACCTTCCTGCACGTCGATTTTACAACTCAGGTATTCTCGTTTTGTTGGTTCTTGATTCTTTATTTTCATTTGTGAAACTATGTCGATAACAACTCCAATTTAATCATGGCATGATTTAGACAAACCAACGAAAAAAAGAAAAGAAAAAAAAAGCAGAACGAACAACTTATCAAGTAATTTGTACCTTTTTATTTAAGGGAATTGAAGGATGAGAGAGTTTAGTGAATCCCTCTTGTTCCTGTTTATCCCCTTTCGTTTTCGGAAGTTGTTTCTATTGAGGGTGGAAGATAACTTCGGTGTCACGGGTGACATGCACTCTTGTGCCTATTTAGTTCACAATCACTGTAGCTACAAGGCGTCTTTGTACTTGAACACAACATCTAGCTAGGCACACTAAATTTTGTGATCAAGATATTGGATTTTTCATGTTCGGTCATTTTAATTTGTGTGATTTGGTTTATTCTTTTTTCTTAATGCAGGTTTGCAGTTGTGCAGTTTGTTGACTGATTGATAGCATGAAGCCACAATCTAAAGGACGACTAAATTCTAATAATATTGATCAATCCTTTAGGCAGCATGCTTCTGGTTCCTGTTACGACTTCACCAAGATATCAGAGGCACTACCTTCAGCCCAAAACTCCCTAAATCATGAGGCAGTTGATCATTGCAGAGGCTCCATTGTTATGCAGGACGAGAGTGCCTCATGTGCTTATGACTTTGGCGAGATGTCCGAGGCACTGTCGATCTGCCAGGACGAGGACAGAGAATCCCTTGCATTCCGTCAAACGCTCATCATAAAGCTCGGAAGGCAAGCCTTCTTGACAACAAAGGAAAAGAGAGAGCCTCTCAAGGTAAAGAAGCCCCCGGCAAAGCTTTTCAATTTTAAGAGGACGCAACCAATGTCCGTGAGAAAGTGCAGCTAATCAAGCTAGTTCTGTGTAGAATTTTGCCTACAAAATATTGATGTAGCAAGCATTTATGTTCATTATTGCTTTTTCTAGAAGTGCTTATATTAGAAGAATGTCAAAAAATTATTGAAAATCAAAGTGCTTTGTGGAACCTGCCAAATGTTATGAAAATCGCTTTTAGTTGTAAGAATTTACGTTAGTTTATCTAGAAGCAATCCCAAATAAGCTCTAAACAGTTTGACATGTCTTAAAATGTAACGTTTCAAACTCAAATTGACAATCCAATAACGTAACACATGCGAAACTCTCCAATTATCTCTGTCAGCTGTCACAGTCCTAGCTATTAATTAGATTATACTTCAAATTTGCAATGGGACGACATAAATTTGATAAGGGCACATGCGTTTGTGGTACATATATTGCCACATGAGAGAGACAATTTGAGTGCAATATGAGTAGGCTGCAGGCATGAAGTAATTATTGGTCTTGAACAAGAAACTAGGATTGGCTTGAGATCTTGTGGACTGCCGGAGATTGGGGGGTTAAAATTGTCTGGTATCCCCAAAACATTTATGAACCTAAACACAGCATTCAGGTTGATGTTTACTTTTGCATGAGATAACAACATTTGAATATCTTTCCTGGGCAATATCTTTTTGTCTTTATTTGTCTCCGTGATGACACTTGAAAAAATTAGATATATCCTGAGGCACCTGCTGTATGCAATTGGGATTTGGTTTTGGCTCTGCAACTTGGGACTTTTGTGTTGTCTGTTGTTGCTTGTGCTTGCAGCTGTTGTGTGTTTTTGATGTCCTATTGTCCTTCTATTTGTTTTGCTTCTAGGACGATCTAAATCTTGCAAATGCAATTATGCAATGATTTGTTTGTATTTTTCCTCTCTCGCTTGATTTGTCCAAGTCCAAGTGAGGGGGCTAAGTACTGGTAGTAACTGGTCCCAGGCAGGGTGTCTAAAATTACAACTCACCTTTGGGGTGAATGTTAAATGGTCCTCATTTGGGTTCAGGTAAAATTTTCTTTTTCTTCCTTGGGTGGATGGTTTAGGTTTAGGGTGATGTAAATTACAAAAATTGCATAAAAATCATTTGTAAACAGTGGTGGTGAATCCATGAATTTTTCTCTCCTATCTTGTTGGACATTGCTGCAATACCAACATATCATCTCAGTTCATTATAATCTTGTTTGTACACGACAGACAAGGAATGGAATTTGCGACAGATATTTTGCTTGGTCGGTTTGCCATGAACAGCTGGAATGTATATGGTGAATATATATATATATATACATATATGATAAAAGGAGAGAAGATAATAAAATGAAGATGAAAACGTCTAAAGAAACTTTATTTATTTCCTTAATTCCAATGGCTAGAGACCAGATCTCTCTCCTTTTTACACCCTCACATGGTATTTGATATTCTTCTTTTGAACTTGGAATCTCTTTAAATATTAAGACGGTGGATGTCGCTAGATCAAGAGTTAGTTGATTATGATTGTTAAAGTCATACATGAAACAAACATAATAAGTACTAGCATAAAAATTCAAAAAGCCAATTGACCCACGTAAATTATACACATCATGTATTTGAAATAGTTTCATTATTCAACGTTGACAAGAGAAATACAACTAAATTAATGATGATTTTACTTAACTAGAATCATACATAAATCAAATTGTATTAAATACTCGCATATATGTAAATTCTAAAAGTCAATATATTAATTTTTTTAATACCAAGCGATACTGGTGGATGGAAAAATCGAACCTAAGACCTTTGGTATGAGGATAAATTCTGTTAAGGACTTGAACTATAAGTCCTTTTCATCAGTATATGAATTGATCTTAAAAGCAATGTAGGAATTGATCAACATATTTCATAAGCTACTCATAAGGAGGGATGAACCCAACATCAAGTACCTACTTGAATCAATTAGATAGAGAAAATCCGGCCCCTACTCAATTAGACTAATGGGTATGCATACAACACTTACTTGGCAAAGGACAATGCTTTTCTTCTTCCTCGGAAGTAGGCTACTTTCTACAAATCACATCTTAACACTTACACAAAAATAATTTATAAAAAAACACAACAAAAAAATCTCAACACACGTATCAACCAATGATTTGTAAGAAAGTAGAAGTTTCTCCGTATAACTAGCCTTTCATATATGGTAGGTGATCATAAGGGGTATCTTTGACCTTTCACTATCTCTGAAATACCCTTTTGGCCCTTTTCTGTCCTAAACACAAGGCCCTTTCCGAATTAGACACTGTGTAGTCACCAATCCAAGTAATCACAGTTTGACCACGCCTGGGATGATATCCCAAATTTCAAATCAAAATCAATAAAGCTTGATCCCAAAATCTTTTTTCTTCTTTCTTGTCAAAGCCAAAATCTTTCATTTAAATATTAAAAGATGGCACAATAAACAGTTATATCAAAATACATATCATATTAGATACACATATAAAATTGTATACATAGAAAATCACTATTGATTGCAAATCAAACTTAACAAACTACGGTCGTGTAGTATAACTTATTCGCATGTTATTGATATTGTATCTTATAAAATAGAAAATATCAATCGTATCGTCTATTTATATTATAACATACAAACAAATTATACTACAGGACCGTGCTTCAATACCGTACAATAATTTTTCGTTAGCTAGACATAGTAAAAGGGAAGTCACTTCAGTCAACTAAGTAATAAAGTAGGAGATCTTGATGTGCCTGTTGTTGGGGGATACGATATCAATCAATCAATCAATCAATGTGCGCTGCTCATTGCTCACGCATGGCTAATGGCTATGGTGCTGTTATATATGCTATGTTATTAAATGCTGCTATATGTATGTATCTGAAGCTGCTGTGCCGTGTGTGGTTTGGCCATAGCAGTGGCGTAGAGCCTAAAGGCTGCTGATGACATTGCGTACGGTTGTTTGTGGCATTGCCTAATCCCTCTTTGTCTGCAGCTCAGAACCGCAGCGGCAGCTGCCCAGCATGTCCATGTAACTTTGGAGCCTGTTCTCTTGTCTTTTTCCTTATCTCTCGTCAATATTTCACAAAAAAATGAAAAAAAAATTCAATTTCCCTTCACTCTTCAAAGCCTTTTTATTTGACTATATAATAAAGAGCAAGTTAGGCAAAATCTGGAAAAGCATAATTTAACAAAAAACTATATGATAATAATGTCAATAGCATCTTTATAAAGTTATGGCACCATGTGTGATTTGACAACCTATGTGACACTTTGCTTTTAATAATAATTTATAAGTGTAAATGAATTTCCAAAGTCATAGAAAGCATAAATGTCGAGTTGTTATATAAATTTATAGCGTAATCATAAGTGTCACGTGCATGTGAGTGGATGACAGAATTTATATGTCATCGATTTAGAGTATAGTAGTAAATACACGTGTGAATCGTGACAAATAGATCTATATTTTTAACCTCATATATCGAAGCCCGAAAATACTAACGTGGAATGTTCACTTGGAACCATTTTTAGGGTTTATATTATATGATCTTTACTAATTTTATTCTTATGTTATCGTTTTCACAATTTTAATTTTGCTTTCACTCTAAATTAGGAAATTATATCCCAATAACAACTACACAATTCAGAGTGTTACCTTAACTTACATGGAAGTTCAACATAATAATCAAGTAATGAAGCTAGCTACCCTATCCATATCAGACATGATAATGCAATGCAATATTATTTCCTTATGGAAACAGAAACTGTAGTGATGTGATCATAAATTTGTCTGACAGTAATAAAAGCACTTTCACAAAGTGCATACATAATGGTAATTGTATGGGTGAACAAATAAAACTCTTCACCTAAAGTCAGTACAGCATAATAATATAGACAGCATGTCTATTGCACAACAACTGTGAAGCGCTAATCAGTCGGCTAATATAATACTAATCACTCGTTTTAGCTTATGCGTTAACATAATTTCACGAGCGGTTTCTTCTTGTTTGAAAACTAGTTAGCATTTTAGCGCTCCCTCGGTTATTGTATATTCCATCCAAATAATGTTGTTGTATATTTAATTTGTTGTCACATTTTGATTTTATTAATGCAGAATCAATTGTATGGCTAGATTAATACTCGAAACCTTTCTTTGTGCATAAAACATTATTCCCATTCTTATACAAAACATGACTTGCTTCAACTAACATTGGACAAATATAATTTGGGGGACCTGCATCCATTTTTACAAAGCATATCATATTCTTAGACAGCTTTTGCTGCCAACAAAAGGGAAAAAGAATTATGGGTTATTGCTGTCGACACATGAAAAAAATGCACTCAGCTTTGCCCAAAGATTGCAAAATTAACAGAGTCCACAAAACAAAGCAAGGTGGGTAAAACTGTCATATTGAAATTTGTGATTTTTATAAAGGCCCTAATCCCACTTGCACCTTTGTTTTTTTACCGTTTTCCACCGAGAACTGAGAAAAGTCACTGTTTCTTGTCTTGTCAATTAGCACTTAGCAGCAGTGACTCAGTGAGAGAGAGAGAGAGAGAGAGAGAGAGAGAGAGAGAGAGAGCACCAACAATCCGACCATTAGTAAAGAACCATTTGGTTAGGGTTTTAGGGTTTTCGGGACATGGGCTCCTAGTAAACAGCAATAGAAAGGGAAAGATTTTGATTTGTGATATCCCAGTTTCATCAAAATATTTTTCTTTACATTTTTGTTTTGCTTCAAAGAGCTTATTTTAGCTATTATATTTCCTAAACCTTTTTTTTTTTAAAATTTCCCAACCCTTTGCTTACAACTTACAAGAACACGCAAACAACTACACCAGAAAATAAAAATAAAAATAGCGTACCACCTCAATAAATGAGGCCAGCCCTTCTCCCTCTCATTTTTCTTTGTTCTCTCATTGGTAAGGGTGATACTAGTGTATCAGTTTTAGCCAGGCGCCGTTTCTCTCTCTCTCTCTCTCTCTCTCTCTCTCCAAAGTCCAAGTTTTCTCTCTCTATGATAATGGCTACTCCACCAATATCTTCTTAAGCCCTGACCACAATACTCTCACCCATACCACTGTCTCTTTCTCTTTTAAGAAAAACAAAATGGTGGGTTTTCTTTAATTTTCCTCTCTGATTCTTGTTCTCCAAGCTCTTCTCTTTCTTTCCATCCCATTTTTTGATGAAAACTAATTGAATTTTGTTCATGTTCTGTTTTTGTTTTTGTTTTTTATTTTAATTTTTCAAATTCATGTGTTTATTATAGTTTGTTCCTTCAAATCTTCTACCCCACTGGCTTGACGTCCTGCTGTCTGAAAAGTTCTACAACGCTTGCATAATTCATGAGGAGGCAAAGAAGAACGAGAAGAACATCTACTGTTTGGACTGTTGCATGAGTCTCTGCCCTCACTGCTTGAACCCTCATCGCCCTCACCGACTTTTGCAGGTAATTAACTAATTTCCCTTCAAAATTCTAAAGTTTCCCAGAAGAGCTCATCTTTTCTTTGGAAAATTCAATCAAAGTTTTGATCTTTTTATTATTATTTATCATGCTTGTTTTCTCTGAAATGTTTCAGATAAGGAGGTATGTTTACCACGACGTTGTAAGACTGGATGATGCTGCCAAGCTAATTGACTGTTCTTCTGTTCAAGTAAGTGAAATTTCCCAGCTTTCTAAGCTTAATTATACTTTCTGGGTTCTTTTTTCCTAATAAAACAAATTCTACATGCATATCATCATGTAGTGTATATATGCCCTTGATTGGTTTACAAGCACCTAAAAAAGTCATCTTGAGAAAGAGAGGTGAAAAAGTTTTTCATGACCAAAAAGTAAAGCTGTTAATTTCTTCCTGTATCTGCTTTTCTTTCGTTCTCACCTCTCTCTCTCGCTCTCTTGCTTGCTGAAAAATGGATGGACTATGCCTTTGCTCAAAAGGTCTCGAAACAATAGCATGAAATGAACCCATATTTGAATTCAATTCTTTGATTCTAAATCCCTGTTCTGATATTCTTTGTGTGAGCATATTCTCAAGAACTTTCTCTCTCTACTTTCTCTCTCTACAGTCATACATAAGCAACAGTGCAAAAGTGGTGTTTTTAAACCAAAGGCCACAAACAAGGAATTGCAGGGGCTCCGGCAACATCTGCAGCACCTGTGACAGGAGCCTGCAAGACCCATATCTGTTTTGCTCCCTCTACTGCAAGGTTTGCTCGTGCCCATAGCCAAAACAAATTTCAATTCTTCTGCTTTCTCTCTCATTTCTCACTCTTTCTCAATTTTCCCAAATACCCTTTTCAATTCTCCACCTCGTCTCACTTGGGTCAGTCTCTCCCATTTTTGTTTCTCTGCAGATTGATTACGTTCTAAGAACAGAAGGTGGTCTGTCCAAGTACCTTCTAGAGTGCAAATTCATGTCCTTACCCGAATCCGGTTTAGACGACGGTCAGATGACTCCTGACTCGGTTCTTGAACCGGCCGGTTCAACCCGAACCTCGTCGGGGTCATGCGGGTTCGGTGAGGTGGGGTGTCTGGCCCTAGCCTGTACTGCCACGACCGAGATTGTGAGGAAAAAGAGGAGTAGCATGTCAACGTATCGGACAGCTTGTCGGCCGGTTTTTTCGCCAGTCTCCGAAATTTCGGCCGGGTTGATGAACCGGCGAAAGGGGACGCCACATCGGGCTCCGCTGTATTGAATATGTGCATGGATGGATTTAGTGATAATATTTTTAGTAAGTAAGATTAAATGCAGAGGGATTTTAGGGGGTATGAATTTGTAAAAGTTGGTAATTTTCGCACTTTTTGTCTTGGAGAGAGAGTCTTCCACACGACCGTCACCAATTTAATTATTAAGATGACACTTCAAATCGTATTTAGTGGGATCTAATTATTGTTATGGTTCCATTAAATTAGGTGTCGTTTATTTTGTTGTTGAAGATTTTCCTCCACTTGTAAGAGGATGAGACTCGAGAGCATTTACCTTTGTACTCGAGGTCTTATGTATTGATCTCCTAATATAACTTGTATTAAAAAAAAATATTTATTTTCCTACTCTTCTTAGAGCATCTACAATGAGCTCTCTAAATTACATTCTTAGACAAATTTTAGGGAGGAATCGTAAAAATGATAGGGAGTCCTCTAGGAGCTCTTAAATATGAGGAGAGGGAAATGACCAATCAAAAAAGAGTTATAACATTTATGACTCTCCAAATTATGGAGTATGGTTGGAGTTGAAATTTTTTAGAGAGTTTCTAAAGTAGCTTTCTTATATTTTTAGCCAAATTTTAACTAAGAAATAGAAAGCATCATTGTGAATGCTCTTACGGCAAAAGAAAAATATGTACCAATTCTGTGGAGGGGCGTTTGCTCTGTGTGTCTCTCTGTTGTATTGAGTAGGTCGGTTGGCTTAATTTAAATGGTTCAATTGCCTCGTTTTCTTCCTTACAGAGTAATGGAGAGTAATGATGAACAGTTACAGAGACTAATGGTGAACACTGACTAATGGTTGGAAAAAGTTCAGCATCAGTTAATACCTATCTCAGTGTTATTTCCTCCCATTTTGGGGGACTCAATTTGAATTTAAGCTTCTTAAATTCAGCGACAGAAAGTAGAAAAATCTTGATGTTGGACTTGTGCAAATACCTGCCGGAAATGAAAGATCACGTGTGATTAAATGCTTCCTTAGAATTTTTTTCTTTTTGGGTTTGATTGATTATGAATTTTGATATTTCCTTCCAAAAGAATTTGGGGGGAGTTATGAATGGCCGAAGTTAGAAATAGGGAAGAGTAAAAATAGCTATGAGATCAAGTACCTAATCAATCTAATTTCTGATTTTTTTTTTCAGATATTGAATTACGAATTGTAATACATAATTCACACAATATTTAATTATGTATGTGCTAGTTAACGCACGAGAAGTCAAAAATTTCTAATATCAACTGTATTAGTTATATCATTCCAAGTAAGTAAACATATCACTCTCTCTTTATTCCAGTGTAATAACAACTTAAACTAAAATTTTAACATGGTTCGGTTCGGTAACATCCATCATGCATTCACATTCATTATAAGAGAAAATAAGCTTGTACAAGATTACCATTGCATGGTTAGGTTACACAAATTGAAGCCATATATCAGAAATTGCACATCCTCTCTTACAAAAGGCATTGAGTGGCCAGTATACATGATATGAGCAAGCAAGTAGCCCTTGAGATGGTTTGAGTAGCTATAGAAGAAGCTATATGGAGCTAGAGCAATCACGTATTATAATGTGAGAAAGTTAAAATACGTGACAATGCATGATTGACTTAAAAGATACTATCAGAGTGACATCCCGATGTAAATAAGTTTCTCTCCATCTCACATGGGTGTGATTATTTGAAAGTATTATGGTCTCATTCAAAAAATTGGTCAAAGTTCTAAATTAAAAATAGTTATTTTTAATAAACAGTCGTATAAAGTGGCGATTTCATCTTTCCTTATAAAGAAACTATAGATAACACCACGACCCCATCAAGTATTTGATGGAGATCCCAGACTCGCAAGGCCCCATGGTCTCTTCTTTTCTGTTTCTTCATCCCCTTTATGTTTTCTTCCAATGACAGTAGTGACAAAAAATGTAACAAAAAAAAGTAAGCGACAATTTTCAAAACCCATCCTACTCAATTGTTTACTCATTTAGATCTCCATCCCCAATGCCTCTTAACTTGAGAAGAGAAACTATTTCTTTTGGGAACCATGCATGGAGATGGAGGATCCTTAATATATTACATGTATCCATGAACTGGCGCAATATTTAGAGGTAGGCTAGGCTTCATCTGTGTTTCCATATGTCTGAAAATAAAAGCCTCCCTCCCTCCTCTCCAAGACTCTACAGTCTATATAGTGACAGGCTTCTTGACCTAGCACTAGCTTTTGTCAAGGTTTTGTGTGACTTGTAGCACGTGACAATTAACATAGTAAAGTATTGAATTATTGTGCTACAGGGATATGTACATGTCAAATTGTTTGTACCGGTACATCTAGGTCGAGTGATTTCAAATTTAGGAATTTAGATGACTGTCCGTTTGGTGAGTTGTATAGGATTCATAATCCTGGTTAAATTTTTGGTGGCCTAAAAATAACATGGATTGGTTGTCTTATCCTATTAGGGCCAAGTATAATAGGGTTATGAGTCCTACCAAAATGTTGAGATATATATATTTTTTTTTGAAAAAACTTTTAATTAACTATATTATTCTTATTTAATGAAAAGTTTCATTTCTTAATAAATTCATTAACCAAAGATAATTTCTGGTATTTTGAATATTTCATCGTTCTCTCCCTCTGCCTCTGTCTTTTTTTGGTTGAGAAATTATAGGATTGCATTCTCTACCTCTGCATTTATATAATGTTTTCTTTAAATTAATTTAAAGCTTTTATTTTTATTTTATTTGTTCAAATTAGCGATAGATACATTGCATTGGGGAGGGAAACATTTGTCCTGGGATTCGAACGGGTGACAAGAGGGGAAGGGGGAGGCACCTCACCACTGAGGTAATCCCCTCGGTCAAATTAATTTAAAGCTTGCCAATTCAATAATTTTACAAAAAAGGAAAAAATATCGTATGTTTTCTTTTTTTACATGGAGGTAGGTGGCTGCAAATTTTCCTTTTTTTTTGGGTGAGAAATGGCAGAGTTGGTGTAAATACGTTACTCTTTCTGTTTCACAAAATCCTACAATTTTCCAACATGCCATAAACACCCTTGTGAAATAAATTCATACTACCGTCAAACCATGTAATGAGCTAGAAATTACATGGGCATTTTAGTCATACTGCATTTCATCGACGCTCACTAACATTAAAAACCTCTGAATCAGGCCATGAAAGAAAACATTAAAACCAGAAAAGGATGGAACGAAAAAAGCAGAAATAAAATTAATTCCAGTACCTAACGTATCTGCCATTCACTTATTGAACATCACAGGCGACTTTCTTACCGTTGGATTGAGATTAACTCAATTCAGATCCACGGTTGAAACTAGTCACCGTAAATTGAACACTCGGTGAGTTTATCTCTCTCCATATTTTTTGAATCACGGAAACTGTTTCTTCTGCTATTTCTTCTTCCCGTCTCTCTTTTCTCCTTCTCGCTCGGATCATATGTTTTCTCACAAACCCTAAATTTTTATTCCAATTTTTTGTTTGAAAAGATTTAGGAGATAAAAAAAAAGAAGAATTAATTTGATTCGTGGTCATGAGTACTGGAGATCTTCTTAGCATTCAGCCCACAGAGCTCAAATTCCCATGTAAGTCTGTTGCTTTTGTCTTTCTTTAAATTTAAATTTCCTTCGTTTATATGTCAGATGATTTTCCGTTTGGTTGGTGAGAAAATTAAAGAAAAATATCCATTTTGAATGCCATGTTGGGTTTTACTGGACTTACGATGACACATTTTAATTCTGCAAATAAGTATGGGCCTGGGTAGAATTGGATTGAATTTCTTCTGTCAATTATGGTTCTAAACTTTGAATGCTTGCACTAAAACGTTCTGTTTGAAAATGAATTACCTTTCTTTCATTGCCTTTAAATTTTTGTAGTTAGGTACATTATGAATTTGTGTGTGGTCTAGTATGATTAAATGGTATGGTAATTTTGATTTTGCCATTGGGAAAATTGTCCAAGTGTTTGATTTAATTTTTGGGTTCCTTTTTTTTTGGTGGAAAAGTTGAAGTGAAGAAGCAGAGCTCATGTTCCTTGCAATTGACCAACAAAACTGATAAATATGTGGCGTTCAAGGTAATTTTTTTGTTTTCCCATTACAATTGTTAATTGACTTGGTCTAAACATTTAAGCTATGGATTCATAATGCGTACTGTTTGGATGATGTGATTGAATAGGTTAAAACAACCAATCCAAAAAAATACTGTGTCCGGCCCAATGCCGGAATTGTTTTGCCTGGAACAACATGTGATGTTACAGGTGAATATTCAATCACTTTAAATAATAAATGGTTCATATTAATTTCTAAGTTATCACATCTTTTTTTCCATTTTCAAGTTTTTGAAATCTGAATTTTCTTTCATGAGCTTAATGATGTCATAGTGTTCACAGCTTTAGCTGATAATGTGTTTAATTGTTTTTCTCTATTTTCTTTAGGCTATACTGGTTGCTTCCATTAGTTTTTTGCCTTTTTTTTTTGGGAGAAAGCATTGATATAATTGTTTAACCTATTAATTTGTTTATCTTAATGGTTTCCTGATTTAAAGTTGATTTTTGTAGTTACAATGCAAGCACAAAAAGAGGCACCCCCAGATATGCAGTGCAAGGACAAATTTCTCCTTCAAAGTGTTGTTGCACCAGATGGTGTAACTCCGAAAGACATAACGCCTGAAATGGTTGGATGATGCTGCCAGCAAATTTTCTTTTTGGTGTAGAGGTTCTGTTTTGGGGTTTATTTTTGTTGATTTGATTTTTGTGTTACCTTGTTTATAGTTCAACAAGGAGGATGGTAAAGTTGTGGGAGAGTTCAAATTGCGGGTAGTCTACTTTCCTGCGAATCCCCCATCACCTGTCCCTGAAGGATCTGACGAAGGCTCTTCTCCCAGGGCTTCAGTGCTTGATAATGGGAATCAAAACACTTCCTTGTTTGATGCTGTAAGGGTTTTTATTTTTTATTTTTTTTAATGCAAGCTTTCAGGAAAGTTTGAAAATGAATTGAATCTGTGGAATAGTTATTCATTTTCATTTTATATGGAAAGCTCAGGTATCAAGATCTCTTGAGGAACCGAAAGAGAAGTCATCAGAGGTGAGACTTCCTTTCTATTCTCCTTAACAAATATACTTTCTTTTAAATTTCATAGGAATTTACCTTGAGTTGACAGATCTAGTTTCATTTTCTTGCATTTTATCTTCGTGAATTCTGTAGAGTGCTTAAACTTTGAATATATGGTGAAGGGACAACTTTATCTTTTATAACGTTTTCTTTTTCTCTGTAGAAAGCATCTAGACTAAGTAAGTATGTCATTGCTAAAAGGTATTCTCCAATAGTGCCTATTTGGAGGTTTCTTATCTTAGTGCTTGATTTGCTTCTAGAATGTTATAAACAAGCATAATGTACTAAGTTCATGAATGTATTGAACGATAGTAACCATAGGGGTCAGTACCAGTCATTAGAGATTGTTGATACCTAAGTTTTTAGTCATTTTATGTGGTTTCTACGACTTAGTTCTTAAGAGGCCTTTGGTGGTAGCTACAATTCCATAATATTTTAGGAACTTCTAGGTTGTTCGAACAGTAATTTTTTGACTTTCTTTCCCAGGAGGCATGCTTAGTTTTCTTTAGTGTAAAGTTCACTTTTGTTTAGGTGGAACCACTTTTATAAATTTCAATTTTTAGATTTATCATCAGCATGATGTGAAATTTTTTACTGAGTGCATGAAACAAAAGAATTTTTCAAAATAATAGGAGGAAGGAAATGGAAGTATTGTGGGATAGAGTTCATTTTGGGGATTCTTTGTGGGCTGCAATTTCCTTGTAGTTTCAGGATATAGCATTTTTCCTCATTCATGTGGATTGGAAGGTGGAGGTTTCTTGAACTCTTGTATGGTTAGCTTAGCTGTTTTATAATAATTGTACAATCCAGTGGATAACTTGTGTCAATTATGTCTTGTACCTCCAATTACAGCCTATTATTAAAATCCGTGTTTCTCGTAAAAAAGGCATAGCACGTGGGCTGTTTATCGGTACAATTTAATTGCCACATAAGTTTTTAGTCCATGCCTCACTACCATGCTACTTCATCTACTGTCTGCACGATTCTCTAGGGGGAGCTTATTCGTGTTTAATTTTTTGCTTAACAAGCCCAGAGCAGTTAACAAATTCCTTAACTTTCCCATTGTACTAATTAATTTTAATTTTTTATTTATAATTCTTTCATACTTCTGTTTCTTATTTATTTTGCTATCCATTTTATCTTAATTATTGTTGTCTTTGCATTTGATGTGATCACTTGAGTTAGATTACCTTATTTTCAATATTGCAATTTCTTATGTACATCCATTCCTCAGGCATGGTCCATGATTTCCAAGTTGACTGAGGAGAAGACCTCTGCTTTGCAACAAAGTCAGAAACTACATCGTGAACTGGTATTGTTTATGATATATGCATTGTTGGAATTTGTCATTCTACTTTTGTGTTGTTTCTGGTAAACATCATGCCAATCATACTTTTGATTATCGATTTAGGCTGCCAATAGCATTACCACCCTTTGAACTTGGTTAGCTGTCAATAGTTGTAGCAGAAACAGAAGAAAAGAGAGAAAAAGTTTTGTTCTTTTGTTAATGGTTGTATTGTTTTATTCTTTGAATAGATGGGCGCTTGATGTATTTACTTTTTTCTATTTTTTTTTCTCTATTCCTTTTTGGCATAACGCAAAATTTCATTGATCAGGACCTGTTGAGAAAAGAACTAAGCAAAAACGGCGGGGGTGGATTTTCATTATTGTTTGTGGTGCTCTTTGGTCTTTTGGGCATCTTGGTTGGTTACTTCATCAGGAAAACATAGAAGCTGAAGTGAAGGCTGTTTGTCAAATAATTAGTTGGATTCCGGCATAATTCTGTGGTGCTCCACAATTTTCAACATTTTAGGGACTCTCTTACTCTTATTGTAAAAAATTTAGTCTTTGATTAATTGACACTCTGTTTTGAGCAAATATTTTTTTGTAAACATAACATATGTTATTGGACAGATGGGCTCAACGAACCCATGTAAACATAACATATGTTATTGGATTGGTTTAGCAGCATCAAGTCTTTTTCTCCAATGCTTGTTAGTGTTTGGGTGTTCATTGGTTTGAATTATTTTAATTCTAGTGGAAATTTATTGACAAAATGATCTTATGGGCTGCCTTGGGCCATAAGTCTTGAGGTGTTTTGATAATCACGAGTCAAAGTTATTTGTTTGGTACTTTTGACAGTCATAAGTCCTTAGGCAGATGCAAATGTTGATGTAACATCAATAATACTATAATACTATTATCAGAATAACCAAATCCATGCTCCCCAAGTCACCAAAAAGCCCTGCTGATAATGATTATCAATCAAATTACTAATGGTTCATAATCTTACTAATGGTTGAACAAAGTGGAGAATAAATGTCACTAGATGGACTAAACTGCGGATTTATAAGAGATTATTTATTAGAAATTGCGGCTAATCTTCCTTAACATGATACTATACATGATCTTCTTAATTTCAGATATGCATCTTTTCTTACTGTAATTAATACAACAACAAACATAAAATATACATACGTAATAATAAAAATCATAGATGAAGCAAAAGCAGTGATGGTTTTTAGGACTAGTTTGCCAGGTTGGGAGTTGTTGCTGTGGTTGCAGTTTCCACTGTCCCCGGGCTTGAAGTTGACTCAATTTTCTTGTCATGGGCTTGTCGAGGACAAGACCAAGGCTTGCGACCTTCGTGATCATGATGATGATGATGATGACAACGTCTAGTAATAAAAGCTCCAGCCATGGCCCCCAACACAAACGTTACGCCAGGTTTTAGAACACCCATTTGGCTCATCTTTTTTCTCGGATTTATGTTGGTCTCAAAGCTAGACGTGATAGAACAGTATAGCGAGAAAGTATTGAGATTGGAAGTGTGAGGAAATATGAAGAGTTTGATGGGTTTTATATGGAGTATAGAGTGGAACTTGAGTGCTGGGCAAGGCTTTGTTTGGGTCATGGTTCACATTTGGGATATGGCTATTGGCTTGACCCTTCTAGCCCCTTCTTCAAGGGTCAACAAGTCAAAACAATTATATAATGGAAACAAGATAAGGGCCATGGTGGGCCAGCACAGCACTCATTGACTGTTCTTCAGGAAAATCGTGTCCCTTGGCGCATACGGCCGCTCATTCAATTCCGTTATGCATCTGGAGTTCTTTCTGTGGCAAGGTCTAATTCCAGTAGGCCAGCACTGATTGACTGCGTTCTTCACGAAAACCGTGTCCCTTGGTGCATACGGCTGCTCATTCAAGTCCATTATGCATTTGCGTTCTTTCTCTGGCAAGGTCCAATTCCATCATAGGCCAACACTCATTGACTGCGTTCTTCATTGGTAATGAACTATAGCACAATTACAAAAGACTTGCTGAATATCACTAGTGCTGAGCATTACAAAGGATTGGTTAAAAACCACAAGTGCAGCGCATTACAAAGATTTACCAAAACAAACAAGTTCATAATTATAAAATTCTTGCCAAAACAAATAAGTTCACAATTACAAGGCAGTTGCATTATCAAACAGTTTCACTATTACAAGGTTACTGTCATGGCCTCTAAGGCTTTGCCTTCTTTGCATGTGATTTGGACTTTGGGGATTAAGAGATAACCATTGACTCATCCTGTGTTCCACTTGCAAACACAAAGGTCGCACTTGGTTGGCGGTTTGTCCCATCCACTCGTACAGTTGGAACTGAGCTTCTCCCACCCATTCCTATAGTTGGAGCAATGCCTCTCCCTCCTAGTCCTGCATTTGGAGTAGTGCCTCTCCCTTCCATTCCTGCGGTTGAAGTGCATCTGTCTCTACATGCCTTATCCATATTCACCAACATCAAATAATACCAAGCATAAAACTATAAAGTAAAACCAAAATCAATACCAAACATCATAAAATAATATAAAGCAACATCAAATAATACCAAGCATAAAGGATTGGTTAAAAAATACAAAGCAACATCATACCCTTAGTTTTGCCCTTCTCATTGGATTGGAGTGAGGAGTTTGGCTAGCAACAGTTTGGGTTATTGTACGTTTGGTAGGTGCATCTGGTCTATTTGCAGCTTGCCTTGGCCTTTGTGAATTGCTAGCTTGCCCTTCTCCATCGTTTCAACCACAATTAGTTGCATTGTGCCCTTGGTCACATCTTCTGCAGTGTATTATGATATCATACCTTCTTAAATTTGTGGCACCTTTTGGAATCTCCTTTGTCCCTCTTACCTTAGATTTACTTGGCCTTTCAACTTGCATACACAGGAGGTTTGATGGGTGGATTGCCTGTTTTCACCCATAAGTCTTGACTAGGCATTGGGAAAATGAAATTCCCATATGCTCTATCATATGCATCTATAAAATAAGCAGGATTCACATATTGCATGAGACTCCTTTGTTTCCTTGAGATTGCAGCCAGTGCATGGCAACAAGGAAGACCACAGAGATCCGATTTCATGCATGAGCATGTATGCCTATTCAAATCCACAACATATTGGCCCTCCCAACATGTGCATAACTTGATACTTTCGTCCTCCAATATGCTGAGCAATGCATGACCCACTCTCATTCAAGGTTTTTAACATTATCTTTACAATCCTTGGTCGAACCTTCTGAGTCTACTGCATTTCTCTTTGCCTTGCCATTCTCAACATTAAATAACTTCTTAATCTTTTTAGCATTGTCAATATTGGTTTGTCCCTAGATTCTAAAATAGTAGAATTGAAACATTCACATAAATTATTGAGCAACATATCACACTTTGGCCAATTTTGAAATGTGATATGCTCCAATGACTTGCAGACCTATCTTTCAGCAATTTGTAAGCTTTTCTAGACAAATCCGTTATCTTCTCCATCTCTGCTTCCCACCATGAAACTGTAATGGCTCTTGCTGCAGCCCATAATCTCTGTTTCAAAGCCAAACTACTGTGACCAGCTGTCCTGAAGTTTGCATGGAGATGCTTGATACAATATCTGTGCTTAGCAGTTGGCAGTAAGTCTTCTATTGCTCTTCCTAGACCTTTTTGTTTATCTGTAATGATTATCCACCCATTTCCATATGTGATACCTATATCTCTAAAGAATATTTCTAACAACCAAGTCCAACACTCTTTGTTCTCAATCTCCACCACACCAAATGCTATTGGGAACATGCCATTGTAATCCCACTATTGTCCTACAACTTTCTAAGAATCCTCTCCATAAGGATTGTGCTACCTGTATTTTGTCTCTTAATCTATTCACAATAGTCCCATAGCTTTGTATATTGTTCTTCAATTGACCTTTGAATCTTCTCTTGAGCCATTTGCTTTGCTTTATAAATATGATCCTTAGTAACATCAATGAAATAATGCTTCCTTACCAATGCCATTAAATCTCCCATTAAAATATTAAGATTTGTCTTAAGCTCATCATCAAATCTTGCAGCTAACCAACTAGAAGTGGCAAATCTGCTTATTTCTTCTTTCCCACATGTGTGCTCTCCTACAAAACTCTTCACTTTAACAGTCGGACCTTTCCCAACATGAGATGCATATAGTACTTAAGGATTGATTTTCTGTTGCATTTAATTATGAGCCTACCAGGCTCATTATTCACAAAGTTCAGTAACTTGGCACAACTATTAACATAGTATCGAACAACTTCTTTGCACTCTGTCATGGTTGGGAATTCAAGCCCCAAATTAAATTTGGGAAACCTCAAGTCATGATATCTGTAATACTGCTTATATCTAAGGGCTCTTCTTCTTTTGGTCTTCCATCTCACTATAGTATTTCCCTCATTCTCAAAATCATGAACACTTCTCAAATCATCAGTGTCATATTCATAAGTATCTGCCTCACCTGGTTCTTTCTCATGGTCTTCTTTATCTTCATTTACAACAAATCTACCATAAACCCTCTCATCTTCTTCATCACTTTGCTCAAACTCAGTTTCTCTATACACATAATCTTTTACGTCAAGTTCTTCCTCATTTTCATTTTCATCTTCATCTTCTACTTGCACATCAACATATACAAACTCATCCACATTAACTGACTCACCATATCTGTTTATATCATCATTAAAGACATCATCCGCAAAACCTTCACCAAACTGAGCATCTAAAAAACCTTCACCAAATTGAGCATCTACAAAACCTTCATCAAATTGATCATATACAAAACCTTCCCCAACTGGTCATTATTGACAAACTCATCATCACCCTCATAACCATCTAGATTTTCATCATCATCTGTTTCTAAATCCACATCTACAAAACCCTCATCACCCACGTTAACATGCGGTAGGTTGTTTACCTTTGTTGCTATGCCGCACCACTTGGAATAGAAGCTTGGCTTTCTAATGTATGCCCTTGTTGTGAGATGTTAGTAATGTATATCACATTTAGTTGTCTTGAGGACTGGTGCTTCACGAACTCAAGATAATCTTTGTCTGTAATAATTGGAACCCAACCATTTTTTCATTGTAAAAGAACCTACTTGTCTGTTCTGTGTACCCAAGCTTTATTGCCGACTCATACAAATCCATCATGGACACATAATCTTTGCAATGGTTGTCACTCCAGTGCGCAGTGCCACCTAAATAGAACCCATCCGTAACATACCATCCATGGTGAATTGTCAAGATAAGCTCTATAGTTCAAAATGTAGAACAGTTAATGTCTATCTACCACATTTATCTACCATTCAACACCTATACCAACTTACTAAAGTACAAAAACAGCTGCAAAATTAAAAATCATCATAGAGAACGAATCTTTCACCACTGAACTGATAGAAAAAGGAAGGACCACGCATGAATAAAACGTATTATACAACTCCAGTTGAAGGAGTCTCATAACAAGACATAAAAAGGGACAACATGGAAGAAATCTTTTTCCAAACCAAAACTGACATAAAAGGGACCACTGAAAAAAAAAATATCTTTTTCATCGATTCATACAAACATGAGGGTATAATATTTGTCAAAACTCATGAGGTGGAGAGCAGTTAGGAAAAGTAGACACTTACAGTACTTCGGATGCTCTCCACCATATCTTAGGATAGCAAACATCTCCTCGAACAATCGCTTTCAAAGTCGATCAGAATCTCTCTGTATTACCCCTCAAATTTCAAACGAATCTTCACTCTGCCTAATTAGTTTCAGCAATCGCATCTCAAGTTCTCAAACCTAAAGTCGCATTACACACTCTTGAAACTCTAAAATACAATTTTGCCCAAATGATGTGATCTCAGTGGTTTTGTGTAATTTAGTTGAAGTGAAGGGTGAAGTGGCAATTTTGCCCCTTCTTAAAGGGGTCACGTAAGCATCATGTGGGAAGAGTAACGGAGAAATGGATGAAATTAGTCAAAGTTTGACGGTAGGGACCTAATTGGCTATTTTTAACAAATTCGTATCCTTAATTTACCGAAAAAATAATCGAGGGTGCAAATTGACAATTATGATATGGTTCAGGGAGCAAAACCACAATTTTCCCTCTAATAATATAAGCAAAAGGTGGGGTGGTTTTGGATCATATTGCTAAGTAGGAATGGGCACGGATCGGTTTGGAATGGTAGATGACTCTTCCGTTAACCAAACCAAAGACTTCAATAGACTTTGGATTGATTAACCTAATATTCGGTTCGGATTGGTTCGTACGCCAGTAGTACCGTAATAAAACATACTAATAAAAATACAATTTATACTACTTTCACATAACATAAGTTCTTGAATAAATACACCAAATTATCCTTGTAAAATATAAAAATCCAATAGTCTAATTCACCCAAGTATGAAATCAAATAACTTAGTCACTATATCATTCAATATGTACTCAAGATGTTCTGGGAGCCACTTGTGTTTGTTGTTTGAAACTTTGAGTGTTCTTTTTATTAAATTCTCTACATTATGTAAATGATTTTGACATTTGTTCCGCGATGAGTTCTTTAGATTTTAATGTGGAATCCAACCATATAAAGAACATAAAATTTGGATCAACGGTTGGAAAGTTACAGGTAAAAAACCGAACAAAGGTCGAAACTGGAAAACACAGGAAGTTCATAAATTCCTCTATGACCAAAAAGTGCTACAGTTTCCAGGTGATAAAGAAGTGATACAATGGTGATAAAGCAGTGATAGAGTGATACAAAATGCTGATTATATTTACCTTTGGTTTATTGTTTTTTATTTAAATAATAAAATAAGTATACATATCAGATCGGTACGGGTTTCTGTCGGGTTATGGATATTGTTTCCGTTAACCAAACCAAACATTTCGGTACGAATCGGATCGGAATAATTAAAATTAAAAAATAATTATTTAACCAAATAAAACCTAACCATCGGTGCGGTACGGCTAGTACGCGGATAATTCGGATGAGATGCCCATCCCTTGAGCTAAGCTAGTTTTCCATGCCTGGAGTTGCTGAGGGTATTGTTGTAACTTCGATTCCTTGGTTTGAACCAATCTTCTTGTTGTCAATGGCTTGGAGAAGCCCAGGCGGATGCTTGCGACCTTCATGGTCGTGATGACAATGGCAATTAGGTCTCTGTATTACCCCTCAAATTTCAAACGAATCTTCACTCTGCCCCATTAGTTTCAGCAATCGCATCTCAAGTTCTCAAACCTAAAGTCGCATTACACACTCTTGAAACTCTAAAATACAATTTTGCCCAAATGATGTGCTCTCAGTGGTTTTGTGTAATTTAGTTGAAGTGAAGGGTGAAGTGGCAATTTTGCCCCTTCTTAAAGGGGTCACGTAAGCATCACGTGGGAAGAGTAACGGAGAAATGGATGAAATTAGTCAAAGTTTGACGGTAGGGACCTAATTGGCTATTTTTAACAAATTCGTATCCTTAATTTACCGAAAAAATAATCGAGGGTGCAAATTGACAATTATGATATGGTTCAGGGAGCAAAACCACAATTTTCCCTCTAATAATATAAGCAAAAGGTGGGGTGGTTTTGGATCACATTGCTAAGTAGGAATGGGCACGGATCGGTTTGGAATGGTAGATGACTCTTCCGTTAACCAAACCAAAGACTTCAATAGACTTTGGATTGATTAACCTAATATTCGGTTCGGATTGGTTCGGTACGCCAGTAGTACCGTAATAAAACATACTAATAAAAATACAATTTATACTACTTTCACATAACATAAGTTCTTGAATAAATACACCAAATTATCCTTGTAAAATATAAAAATCCAATAGTCTAATTCACCCAAGTATGAAATCAAATAACTTAGTCACTATATCATTCAATATGTACTCAAGATGTTCTGGGAGCCACTTGTGTTTGTTGTTTGAAACTTTGAGTGTTCTTTTTATTAAATTCTCTACATTATGTAAATGATTTTGACATTTGTTCCGCGATGAGTTCTTTAGATTTTAATGTGGAATCCAACCATATAAAGAACATAAAATTTGGATCAACGGTTGGAAAGTTACAGGTAAAAAACCGAACAAAGGTCGAAACTGGAAAACACAGGAAGTTCATAAATTCCTCTATGACCAAAAAGTGCTACAGTTTCCAGGTGATAAAGAAGTGATACAATGGTGATAAAGCAGTGATAGAGTGATACAAAATGCTGATTATATTTACCTTTGGTTTATTGTTTTTTATTTAAATAATAAAATAAGTATACATATCAGATCGGTACGGGTTTCTGTCGGGTTATGGATATTGTTTCCGTTAACCAAACCAAACATTTCGGTACGAATCGGATCGGAATAATTAAAATTAAAAAATAATTATTTAACCAAATAAAACCTAACCATCGGTGCGGTACGGCTAGTACGCGGATAATTCGGATGAGATGCCCATCCCTTGAGCTAAGCTAGTTTTCCATGCCTGGAGTTGCTGAGGGTATTGTTGTAACTTCGATTCCTTGGTTTGAACCAATCTTCTTGTTGTCAATGGCTTGGAGAAGCCCAGGCGGATGCTTGCGACCTTCATGGTCGTGATGACAATGGCAATTAGGTCTCTGTATTACCCCTCAAATTTCAAACGAATCTTCACTCTGCCCCATTAGTTTCAGCAATCGCATCTCAAGTTCTCAAACCTAAAGTCGCATTACACACTCTTGAAACTCTAAAATACAATTTTGCCCAAATGATGTGCTCTCAGTGGTTTTGTGTAATTTAGTTGAAGTGAAGGGTGAAGTGGCAATTTTGCCCCTTCTTAAAGGGGTCACGTAAGCATCACGTGGGAAGAGTAACGGAGAAATGGATGAAATTAGTCAAAGTTTGACGGTAGGGACCTAATTGGCTATTTTTAACAAATTCGTATCCTTAATTTACCGAAAAAATAATCGAGGGTGCAAATTGACAATTATGATATGGTTCAGGGAGCAAAACCACAATTTTCCCTCTAATAATATAAGCAAAAGGTGGGGTGGTTTTGGATCACATTGCTAAGTAGGAATGGGCACGGATCGGTTTGGAATGGTAGATGACTCTTCCGTTAACCAAACCAAAGACTTCAATAGACTTTGGATTGATTAACCTAATATTCGGTTCGGATTGGTTCGGTACGCCAGTAGTACCGTAATAAAACATACTAATAAAAATACAATTTATACTACTTTCACATAACATAAGTTCTTGAATAAATACACCAAATTATCCTTGTAAAATATAAAAATCCAATAGTCTAATTCACCCAAGTATGAAATCAAATAACTTAGTCACTATATCATTCATATGTACTCAAGATGTTCTGGGAGCCACTTGTGTTTGTTGTTTGAAACTTTGAGTGTTCTTTTTATTAAATTCTCTACATTATGTAAATGATTTTGACATTTGTTCCGCGATGAGTTCTTTAGATTTTAATGTGGAATCCAACCATATAAAGAACATAAAATTTGGATCAACGGTTGGAAAGTTACAGGTAAAAAACCGAACAAAGGTCGAAACTGGAAAACACAGGAAGTTCATAAATTCCTCTATGACCAAAAAGTGCTACAGTTTCCAGGTGATAAAGAAGTGATACAATGGTGATAAAGCAGTGATAGAGTGATACAAAATGCTGATTATATTTACCTTTGGTTTATTGTTTTTTATTTAAATAATAAAATAAGTATACATATCAGATCGGTACGGGTTTCTGTCGGGTTATGGATATTGTTTCCGTTAACCAAACCAAACATTTCGGTACGAATCGGATCGGAATAATTAAAATTAAAAAATAATTATTTAACCAAATAAAACCAAACCATCGGTGCGGTACGGCTAGTACGCGGATAATTCGGATGAGATGCCCATCCCTTGAGCTAAGCTAGTTTTCCATGCCTGGAGTTGCTGAGGGTATTGTTGTAACTTCGACTCCTTGGTTTGAACCAATCTTCTTGTTGTCAATGGCTTGGAGAAGCCCAGGCGGATGCTTGCGACCTTCATGGTCGTGATGACAATGGCAATTAGGTCTCTGTATTACCCCTCAAATTTCAAACGAATCTTCATTCTGCCCCATTAGTTTCAGCAATCGCATCTCAAGTTCTCAAACCTAAAGTCGCATTACACACTCTTGAAACTCTAAAATACAATTTTGCCCAAATGATGTGATCTCAGTGGTTTTGTGTAATTTAGTTGAAGTGAAGGGTGAAGTGGCAATTTTGCCCCTTCTTAAAGGGGTCACGTAAGCATCACGTGGGAAGAGTAACAGAGAAATGGATGAATTAGTCAAAGTTTGACGGTAGGGACCTAATTGGCTATTTTTAACAAATTCGTATCCTTAATTTATTGAAAAAATAATCGAGGGTGCAAATTGACAATTATGATATAGTTCAGGGAGCAAAACCATAATTTTCCCTCTAATAATATAAGCAAAAGGTGGGGTGGTTTTGGATCATAGAGCTAAGTAGGAATGGGCACGGATCGGTTCGGAATGGTAGATGACTCTTCCGTTAACCAAACCAAAGACTTCAATAGACTTTGGATTGATTAACCTAATATTCGGTTCAGATTGGTTCAGTACGCCAATAGTACTGTAATAAAACATACTAATAAAAATACAATTTATACTACTTTCACAGAACATAAGTTCTTGAATAAATACACCAAATTATCCTTGTAAAATATAAAAATCCAATAGTCTAATTCATCCAAGTATGAAATCAAATAACTTAGTCACTATATCATTCAATATGTACTCAAGATGTTCTGGGAGCCACTTGTGTTTGTTGTTTGAAACTTTAAGTGTTCTTTTTATTAAATTCTCTACATTATGTAAATAATTTTGACATTTGTTCAACGATGAGTTCTTTAGATTTTAATGTGGAATCCAACCATATAAAGAACATAAAATTTGGATCAACGGTTGGAAAGTTACAGGTAAAAAACCGAACAAAGGTCGAAACTGGAAAACATAGGAAGTTCATAAATTCCTCTATGACCAAAAAGTGCTACAGTTTTCAGGTGATAAAGAAGTGATACAATGGTGATAAAGCAATGATACAATGGTGATAAAGCAGTGATAGAGTGATACAAAATGCTGATTGTATTTACCTTTGGTTTATTGTTTTTTATTTAAATAATAAAATAAGTATACATATAAGATCGGTACGGGTTTCCATCGGGTTAGAGATATTGTTTCCGTTAACCAAACCAAACATTTCGGTACGAATCGGATTAGAATAATTAAAATTAAAAAATAATTATTTAACCGAATAAAACCTAACCATCGGTGCGGTACGGCTAGTACGCGGATAATTCGGATGAGATGCCCATCCCTTGAGCTAAGCTAGTTTTCCATGCCTGGAGTTGCTGAGGGTATTGTTGTAACTTCGACTCCTTGGTTTGAACCAATCTTCTTGTTGTCAATGGCTTGGAGAAGCCCAGGCGGATGCTTGCGACCTTCATGGTCGTGATGACAATGGCAACATTGGGGGCTAGGTCTAGTGATGAAAGCTCCAAACATGGCCCCAAACACAAACGTTAGAACAGGCCTTTGCATATCCGCTTGGCTCATTTCGCTCAAATTTATTTTGATCCGGAAGAAAGCTAGATGATGGTTTGATATTACGGAGTGAAGTTTTTGAGATTGAAAGTGTGAGGAAAATGGAAGAGTTAAATGGGATTTATATGGATCACAGGAGGTTCACTGTTGGGGAGTTGGTTAGTTGGAGAATTCATTTAGTGCGTGTTCTCAATTCTCAAGGGAAAGCCTATTGCAAGTGGTTGTTTGCTATTGCAAGTTTATTTGATGGAAACCCAAACCAGTGGGTTTGAGTGTGCTGCTTAAAGCTTTTTAGGGTGGGGGGAGGGGGGAAGGAGAATTAAGTAATTATTCTTAAGAATACTAACAGATTGATTAGCCATGTCGTCACCTGGGTCCATCAAATGTTGTCTCTATATCTCATGTTTTCGTCCTACTTCTGGGATTTCTAAGGACTTGTTCATAATATGGAAAGACCACCACCAATTGCTAAGCTTAGTTTATTACGAGTCAAACGATAAGATAGTACTCTGACGCACACCAACCATTTTTTCAACATGTCCTATAAACAGACAGTTACCTTAAAAATTTAGAAATTATTGTGTGTGAACATATAAATAAACAAATGAAATGCTACCATCAGTTGAAATTTTAGAAATTGGGAGAATACTTTTTTTTTAGCTGGGACAAAAGAAAAATATAAAACAAAGCCCACGCGAACAGCCACCGGCAGAAAGGTCAAAACTAAGAACTTGAATGGCTTCAACATGAAGGGAATGAATCCATACATGAGGAGAAATGAATTTATGGCTTAAATCAGCTAGGATGTTAGCTTCTCTATAAACATGGCTGACAATGAAACTCTCAAAGGAGCGAGCAAGGGTTGGATATTCTGGATTAATGTACGTCTTTGCACACCAAGGAATTGAGCATTTCTTAAGAGGAAATTAGGATAAGACTTGGTGCCCTTAAAATTATTATATTTTCATAATGGAACTAGGACATATTTTAAATAAGTAATAATAGAGGGGGGACACGTTAATTAATTGCTACATCATGTGTGATCAATTATATATATTATGAGCAGAATTAGTCAAGTTCACTACAGCGGATGTGCTTCCTATTCTGCATCCGAGTTTGAATTCCCCTACCCGTAGTTTAGATTAGATTAAAGTATAGAATATCACTTGTATAAAAAAACTATATATATTATGATTTCTTTAGCATTTTCCTAGTTCAATATAAAAGATGTTGGTCAAAATATGGTTGTATCATAATTCTCCTAATTAATTTAAGGCCAACTTGTCATTACACTTTAGATTATGCTAAGAGCGAAAGAGTACAGATTAATACGTTCAAAAGCATTATAATATTATAAGAACCAATTATTACACCACGGGAGCTTGAATATTTCTCTTGAACGTTTTTGCCACGCAGGTAGAGCAGACAGGAGTACTAAATCTGATAGGCCAAAATGTGATCAGATTTTGCTCGCTGTCAACCACAAATGAAAAGGATGCTAGTGATACTAACCACCCAATTGATAAAAAAAATCTAACTCCTGCACCATTCATGGACCATATCCCAATTTCAGAAACCACCCTCACAATTTGATTATTATTCCATATTTCTATAAATATTTATCTATTGTCTAGTGGTTGCTATCTGCCAATTCTGATTTGTAGAGTGAAAATGGGCTTCAGGGGTTCCAAGGCAGTTGCTCTTTTCATTCTCTTTAACATCATATGTTTGTCTCTTGTTTCCTCTAACAAGGTTCCATGCCCTCCTACAAGTCCTTCCTCACCTGCCTCTGTCCCAAAGAAGCAAGACAAATGCCCTAGAGATACCCTTAAGTTTGGTGTTTGTGGCAGTTGGTTAGGGTTGGTGACCGAGGTTATTGGGACTAAACCTAGCAAGGAATGCTGTACCCTAATCAAGGGTCTTGCAGATCTTGAAGCTGCATTGTGTCTCTGCACTGCTATTAAGGCCAATGTCTTGGGAATTGTCAAGCCCGAAGTGCCTGTTGCTCTTAGTTTGCTTGTTAGTGCATGTGGAGGAAAGGTGCCACAAGGTTTTGTCTGTGCTTAATTAGAAACTGTCTACCTAGCTAGCTCTGAATTACTTCTTGATGTACTTATTGATATTTTCCATTTCTGCTATGTTGGAATAACCAGATTAATTTAATTATGCTGTGTGGACAAAGGAAGAACAATATTGGAAATGAATGATGTTGTATGTACGGTTCATGCGCTGGTTTTCCAAAGAAATAAAGTTAGCAATTCTAGCTATTTAATCATATCATCTTGCTATGTTGAATTAAAACCACACATATTTAAGGATGAATCTACTGATCTATAGGAATGAGTGACAATCAGGCAATGCTTTATTGCCAGGCTCATTTTGCCAAAGAGTATGATGTTGTCAAATGTGAATTTAGACCACACATTCAAGATATTAACATTCTTCGTTGATTTTTAGAAATGAGATATATACAACTGAATAATCATGACATGTAGGTTCATTTAATTTTAATTGTACAAAATCAATAATAAAAACCACCATTGCTCATAGATTGAATGGACAAAGGGTAACACAGTTTTCAATTCAAAGGGAAACGCAAGAATGTAGGGAACACACTACATATCAATTACATTTTGGAAGGAAACATGCACGATGTATTTCAGCCAAAGATTAACCTTTTTGTATTCACACAAAGATGTGGAAAGGGCAGTAGCGGATGAGAAGGTCATGGCAGCCCTAGGCGCATTGGAAGCCTGTTGGGACAGACTTACCACAGTAATTCAAAAGCAAGCTTAAGGAGACTGGCACATTAAGATTGATGCCCAAAACGTTGGCTTTAATGGCAGTGCAGAGGCATACAGCAGCTTCAACATCAGCAAGACCCCCAATAAGGCTACAACAAGGAGTCTTTGGTGGGGTCCCCACGACAAGGTGCACCAAACCATTCAACAAATCACCACATACCCCTAGCTTAAGGGTGTCCTTAGGGCAAGAGGCTTTAGCTGGAGGGATTGGGGTTGAGGGAGGAGGGTGTTTTGGGGTTTTTGGTGGTGGTGGACAATTAGGAACATGATGATTTGAACTCACTGTAGTGAAAAATACAAGGTTAAGGAAGAGAAGAAGAGCAATGGTTGCAATTGCCTTAGAAGAAGCCATTTTAGAACTAAATTCCCTTAGGCAATCAAGTGACTGATTGATATACTTGTCTTAACTTGTAGATGGATTTTTAGGTGGTGGATATAATGAACAGAATTAGGGTATTTATAGTCCTTTTTCTTTTGGAATCTAAATTTGTCAAAGGCACCCATGTGAGTACACAGTGAACACTATTTTGGATCTAACTGTGTCACTTGCTGGCCTGCGGTGCAACTTGAAGAATAGGCCAGATTTCAACTTCGGAGCTTTCTGAATTTTATGCTTTTCTTATATAAGGTACCAAAACAAAAGGACACCCTTGTTCTTACAGAGAGGTTTAAATCTATTAATTGATCGTGTCCGCATTTGGCCAAAATGTTTCCAAGAATCAAGATTCTCCATCCACTAGCTGGAGGGTTTCCTTTTGTATATTGAAGTCGAGGGAAAAAGAGAGGTACTAGCTAGCGAACATCGGTCTTTGTTGTGTAGATAAATACTCTGAAAATGAGTTCATAATGAAAAAGAGCATTGATTTCGGTATGTAAATAAATGCTCTCTACCACTGAGTCGGACACAAGAGATTTCACTTTTTTCAAAAAGAAGTAGTAGTGTAATGAAAAACTAGGTAAACTACCAAATGCCAACAATCAAAACTAGAACCTTCCATCCTAGTTGCCACGCCTTGGCTTCTCACCCATCAGATAAAGTGGCTCTACTAATTATATGGTATTGTAATTTCTCTTTTGCTTTTTGGGTCATAATAAGGTATTGTAATTTGGAAACTCCAAATCTCTATGCCTTAAATTAACATCAGAAATTTAGGGTCTTTTGTTGATGCCAATTTCGTTATCTTTCACAATGAGGAAATTGCGCAGATTATATGGGAAACCTTTATTAGTGAGTCAGGAAAAACTTCTCCATTTTCAATATTTTGTTAATCTGCGAGGACAAATTAAATGAATTTCTCTATATCAAAATTTAATTATTATGGTTCATAAGAAAGCAATCCATATCCACGAAATTTTATTCTTTTGGGAAGGAAGCTTTCATCCACAAGTCCAAGATTTCATGGATATCTTATGCATAAAGATAAAGGCGACTTCTCAGACAAAAACAAGAAAAAGACCTCAATTTCTGAAGGGTGCTGCTTAGCCAGACAATGATAGGTTGACCTATATCTTCATCATGCTCTATAATACAACAAAGACGAGACAGGATAATTTATTTAATGTCCCTGTTACTAAAAGTAGTTCGACATTACATTCAGTATATTTTGTATTGGAAAAAAGCTATATTGCATTGAAACAAACTTGTAACATATGACAAAAAACTTCTGAATCAAACAAGAGGTCCTCAAACCAAACCAAAATCATGATCAGTATCGAGATCAAAGCATACCGGACTGTGAGCTACACTATTGCAAGTACGGGGCACATGAGACAACGATGCACTTTGGAACCTTGAAAAGATCTCCATGCATGGCATGCAATTTTCATAGATTACACCAATGAAAATTGCCCCACCACTCAAACTAACCCTCCCATTTCTCGTTTAGAAAACACTAATTATGTGCTGACATAAGAGAATTGAAGTTAAAACGACATCTTTTTTTCCCTTATTGTAACAATGTTGAGAAGTTAGGATCACCTTGGTTCATTTGTTTATTAAGTACGCAGTGAATGATGTTGCACGTACGGTATGCTTTATGGTTTTCCCCAAAGAAATAAACTGAGTAATTCAAGCTATAGGCACGAGTGACATTCAGGCAAAATAATATTGTCATATGAATTTAGAGACCACGTGTTCAAGCAAGATATTAGCACTTTTTTTTTTCATTGTCAGGTTGTTGAAATGATGCGAATATACTAATAATCATGATAGTCGCGTTTAACTTTAATTGTCTAAAATCAATAACAAAAACCACCAATGCTCAAAGACTGAAAAGATAAGAAGTAGCAAAGTTTTCAATTCAAAGGGAAACATATGAGTATTGCTTGGAGAGAACATTGTCCATATCAGTTACATTTCGAAGGAAACATGCCTAATGCCAAACATTAATGGCCTGTCTTTTATTGAAACAAAGCTGTCGAAAGGGCAGCAGTAGGCGAGAAGGTCATGGCACCACTAGGCGCATTGGAAGTCTGTTGGGACAGATTTACCACAATAATTCAAAAGCAAACTTAAGGAGACTGGCACATTCAGATTGATGCCCAAAACGTTGGCCTTAATGGCAGTGCAAAGACACACAGCGGCATCAACATCAGTAAGACCCGCAATGAGGCTACAACAAGGAGTCTTTGATGGTGTTCCCACAACAAGGTGCACCAAGTCATTCAACAAATTTCCACATACCCCTAGCTTAAGGGTATCTTTAGGGCAAGAGGCTTTAGGAGGGCTGGGGGTTGGGGTTGGGGTTGGGGTTGGGGTTGGAGGAGGTTGTTTTGGGGTTGGGGTTGGAGTTGGGGGAGGTTGTTTGGGGGTTGGGGTTGTGGTTGGAGGAGGTTGTTTTGGGGTTGGAGTTGTGGTTGGGGGAGGGTATTTTGGGGTTGGGGTTGAGGGAGGAGGTTGTTTTGGGGTTGAGGGGGGAGGGTGTTTAGGTTTTGGGGTTGAGGGGGGAGGGTGTTTCGGTTTTGGGGTTGGGGTTGGGGTTGAGGGAGGAGGGTGTTTTGGGGATTTTGGTGGTGTTGGTGGACAATTAGGTATATGATTTGAACTCACTGCAGTGAAAAATACAAGTTAAGGGAGAGAAGAAGAGCAATTGTAAATGCATTATGAGAAGCCATTTAGAACTAAATTCCCTCAGGCAGTGAAGTGACTGATTGATATTCTTGGGTTAACTTGTAGATGGATTTTTAGGTGGTGGATATAGATACTAGTGAACACAATTAGGGTATTTATAGACTTTACTTTTATGAAAATAATCTAAATTTGTCAAAGACACCCATGTGAAAGCACAATTAGCATGCACTGTTTTGGATGTAACTCTCTCACTTGCTGGCCTGGGGCCAATGCCATACTCAATTTTGGAGCATTCTGACTTTTATGCTTTCTAATATATGGCACCAAAACAAAAGGACACCCTTTGTTCTTATTAGTCAAAATATATTTTGATCGTGTTCTCATTTGGCCAAAATATATCCTAAAATAATCAGGATTCTCCTTCTACTAAAGAGAGTTACCAGCCGACAGGGTGTGTAGATAAATGTTCTCTATCACTTAGTTTCTAGTAAGAGATATCACTTTGACAATGGGGAGCATCCGTAGGGTAGATAAATGCTTCTTACCTTTGAATCCATAATATTGAGAGATATCACTTCGACTACAAGGAGTAATGAACAATTAGAAACTAATGTCGACCTGATAAACAATCAAACTGGAACCTTCTAAACCCCACCAATGTCACCCAGCAGTTAAAATGACCCTACTAATTACAATTACAATAATGCTACGGATACCAACTTGTTATAATTATTCTAATTTTTTTTTGTTTTTTTGTTTTTTGTTACAATAAGGTATAGTAGTATGAAAACTCCGAATCACTATGCCTTCAATTAACATTAGAAATTTAGGATCTTTGTTGATGCCAATTTCATTAGGGTAAACTGCCGAAATACCCCATAAACTTGTACTTAATTATCAATTTACCCAATGACTTTTTTTTTTTAGCGAATTAAGGGTTCGAATTAAATTTTATAATCAATTCTTCACTTACCGTCTAAATCAACAACATGTCATTCAATAATCCGTCAAATCATTCAAAATATATATTTAAAAAAAAAAAGAAAAAAAAAAACAAAAAAAAAAAAAGTCAGAACACCACCGACACCCAAAGCAAGATCCAGAACCAGATCTGAGTCAGGGACAAAAAGCAACTCTCAATTCATAAAACAAGTAGTTGCTTTGCTGCTGTTAGCTTGTTTGTAATCTCATGAGCCTCCTCCTATTCCTATAAAGAAAAGGAAAATGTGGACTCAGTTTGGACTTTTTCTGCTGTATTATATTCACCCAATAATTCGATGGGTGACGGTGCATGTTTTATTTTCTCAATCACAGACAGATCACAGTCGCCCCCCCTTGCGGTCTTCTTCTCCACCCCCATTCCCCCATGACCACCAACCCTTCACTCCAGATCAATTCCCCCACCTCCCTTCAATTTTTGTTACCCCCAGACTATTCACCCCTTCCCATCCTAACCCGATTCCCCATGACTACCACCCCTCAACGAACCCAGAACCCACAGACCCCACACCCATCCCCCATCATAGACCCACCCACAACAACCAAGAACCCAAAGACAAAATCCCGCCCCACAACCCCACGAACACATAACCGCCGCAACCACCCATTTTCTTCTCCATCATTCCCCCATGACCACCACCATAAGCCACCCTCCCTTTTCTCTATCTCTTCCTCTCCCCCCACCCCCTCTCTTTCTCCCTTTCCCATTCGAGCTCCCCCCTCCCCTTTGTAATCTGTATTTTAATTACAACAAAGGAAAAAGATGAAGTGGGTGGGCCCCCTGTTTATTAAGCACACGTGCACATTATATAATCAAATTTCTTCTCTATTATCAAACCTTTATTATTATGAGTCTGGAAAAACTTCACCAGTGTCAATATTTTGTTATTCTTTAGTCACAGGACAAACTATGTGAATTTCTCTATTTCAAAATTTAATTATTATGGTTCATAAAAAACAATCCATCCATGAAATCCCAGATTTCATGGGTAGTGAAAATTATCTTATGCATAAAGATAAAATGCGGCTTATATGAGACAAAAACAAGAAAAAATACCTCAATTTCTGAAGGGCTGCTTGTCACGCAAGGTCCCTATTTAGCCAGACAATAATGTCGACTAGAGGTTGAGCTCATCTTCTTTTAATGTCCTTATCCTACGGTGAAACTTAAACTTCACTGATAAATTAATGTATTAAATTTTGTTGTTTGGATAACGAAAAAGAAAAAGAGTGCAGTAAAAGTTCACCTCACATGAACAAATTACATGGCAAGGGGCACACGTGGACATGATTCCAAGAAGAAGAAGAAGAATGACAACAGGGCAAAGGCTAAGAATACGCATCCAAGCGCTCATCTTGTTATCTTTCCTGTTAATGTTCGCTCACCTATTGGATGTGAAGGGAACGAAGGAAACAGAACGACTGGGTTCTGCCACTCGAGCGACAACAAGGCACGTTCAAACAACATTTTCTCAGACTCACGTGGAAAATAGGCCCGCTCAAGCATCACGTTTCAAACTCAAGCGTACACAAGAGCTCGAGCGGACCTAAGGAGCCCTCGAGTGGCAGTCGAGAATCCTGAAGTTTTTAGGATGTTTTTCCTAAGGTTTGAGGGTGTTTTAAGTTTCTTATTAGTTGTAAGATTGTACTAAAGTCGTATGAGTATAAATTGACATCTTAGTAATTTATTTTCTCTAAGTTGAGCATAAGAGAGAAAACAAGGTCATTCAAATCAGATTTGAGCAAGGTGAGAGAGAAAAGAGAGCGAGGGTTTAGTAAGGGCTAAGGGGGTTCTTCATTGTAACCAAATGTGTTCTTATTACTAGTGAATTTCTTGGGGTGATCACCAAAGAGGACGTAGGCGCAACACCAAACCTCTATAAATTCTTGTGTTATATGTTGTTTGCTTTATTGTTTAGGGGTGTGTGCTTCTACTTTGTGTGGTATGTGTGTGTGCTTATTTCTAGTCCATCGAAGACAAGGTCTTGGAGTGTTTTGCACAACAAGTGGTATTAGAGCCAAGGTTAGTGGCAGATATCGATGTATGTTGTGTTCTTACATGGCAGACGACAAGAAGACTGAAGGAGAAAGTAGCTCACAGTCACAACAACCACATACGGCTAGCATGAAGGTCGAGTTCAAGCCATTCACCAACAAGGAAAACTTCACGCTATGGCAAAGAAGAATGAAGCATGTTCTAGCGCATCAGAATCTCAGCGTAGTCTTGGCATGCAAAGAAAAGAAGCCAGAAACCATGATGGATAAGGAGTGAGACTCAATTGACGAGTTAGCTAGGAGGTCATTGAGAATTACCTTATGGATGAAGTGTTGTGTAATGCGATGGAAGACACCCACAAAGCATATATGGGAAAAACTCAAAACACATTTTTATGGAGAATCGTTGTTAAACAAACTCTTCTTGAAGGAAGAGCTCCTAAATCTTCAAATGGAGGAGAGTGCAAACATGATGGAGCATCTTAGCACATTTAATAGGTGTATTGCAGACTTGCAGAGAATTGATGAGACTTATAAGACAAAGGATAAGGTGATGATGTTGCTGAGAAAATGAGTGATGCAGCGCATACGAGTTCATGCTTTGGCTTTCCTAAAGAAATATAGTACTCTAGCTATTTAATCAAATCATAATGCCATGTTAACGAAAATCACACATAAGTATGATCTACTATCTATAGGCACGAGTGACAATCGGGCAAAACAACGTTTTTTTCATGAGACTTATCTTGCCGGATATAGTTTATAGAAAATTTGGGATAAGTTCAAAATTGAGAATATAAATTGGGTTTAATCCTCACATTTGTTGTCGTTGATATAAGTCCTTTGACTTTTATGCCAAATAGGATACATTCCTTTTTGTATTGTTTGATGTACATATATTATATTATTATTATTATTATTATTATTTAAATTATCTAGTTGATCCTATTATACCTGTGAAGTATAAATCGTGGAAAAAATAATTTATAAGACAATAATACGAGATCTACAATAATTATGTTAATATATTATTATTATTATATACTCTTGTAGATATATTATCCTATGGTGTAGGTATATTGTCCTATTGCCTATTGCATTAGGTATATATATTTTTGACAATGTGTAATAGTATTTTATGTACTTTTTTTTTTTTTTTTATGTTGTAACATAAAATTTTATTTGTCTATTTTTGTATCTGATTTATAAGTAGTCTTCTAATTTATGTTCTAACTTTAGGTAGTTTTCTAATTTATGTTCTTATAGGTAGTCTTCTAATTTATGTTCCTAACTTATATTTATTATAATAACACTATTTACTTCTATGTCAGGTACATAATTTCATGTGGGTGCTTTGTCTAATCGATTGGTATAATATGTGAGTATTTATTATCATTGATTAATTTTTACAAGGAAATATGCTTTAAATTTAGATTTTCAATGTATTTTCCTTATTGACCTCAAAGGGTAAATCGATACAACAAAAATGTAATAAATGTCAAAAGACCTACATGTCAAACCAAAAACGCATGGACTAAACCTAATGACAGCTAATCATTTATGATGTTGTCGTATATATGAATTTAGACTATATATGATATATATGTATATATATCATTAGTAATAAGACCCAATGCCATTCAATTAAGATATTACCATTCTTCACTTTTAGTTGTCGAAATGATATATATGTATATATAATTGAATAATCATTAGTAATAAAAACCATCAATGCTCAAAGGGAAACGTATGAACACTCTACATATCAGTTACATTTTGAAAGAAATTGCAAAATGTATTACATCCAAAGATTAATGGCCTTTTTTTTTTTTTTTTTTTATTATTACACAATGTGGAAGGGCATCAGTAGATGAGGAGATCAGGGCATCACTAGGTGCATTGGAAGTCTGTTGGGATAGACTTACCACAGTAATTCAAAAGCAAGCTTAAGGAGACTAGCACAATAAGATTGATGCCCAAAACGTTGGCCTTAATGGCAGTGCGAAGGCACACAACAACATCAACATCAGAAAGACCCACAATATATGAGGCTACAATAAGGGGTCTTTTGTGGGGTCCCCATGACAATCAGCACCAAGTCATTCAACAAATTGCCACATACCCCCATCTTAAGGGTGTCCTTAGGGCAAGAGGCTTTAGGAGGGTTGGGGTTGGGGGAGGGTGTTTTGGTGTGGGGTTGAGGGAGGAGGGTGTTTTGGGGTTTTTGGTGGTGTTGGTGAACATTGACAATTAGGAATGTGATCATTTGAACTCACTGTAGTGAAAAACACAAGGTTAAGGTAGTGAAGAATGTAAGATAGTTTACTATCTTAAACTCACGAAAGTGGTCTTCTAATCTATGTCAGATTGCAAGAACTCCAGATTAATCTAGGACTTAAATCTGTCTCATCCAGCAGCCCTTGTATCAGTGTTCTAAATGGATTACAAGGCTAAAGGGGTTTCTAGTTCTATTAGAATTAGGAGTCACTGTTCTATTGCAATAAGGAAAACTCAAGGAGTCTCTTGATGGGCAAGACTCCTTGAGTGATGCATATAAATAGGGCAGCTCCCTCTAAGAGCCGATAGACACAACTCATCAGGATATTCACCCCGTCAAGAATTCCAGAGCTAAGGCAATCGGTTATCTTAGAGAAGAGCTGCCTACCAGGTGTTCGACAAAAGACTTCAATGGCAGAACAAGGTTAGTGTTCAAGTTATAATGGCTTAGAAGACTTACATGTGGTATCAGAGCATAAGTTATTTTATCTTCTACCTAACCAATTTTGTTGCAGCATTTAGAACTTGAAAACTGAAGGATAATTAAGTTTTCAAGGTTAAAGAAACTTGACACAGTAAGAGTTAACACCTTGCTGTGACATACAGAAATTGATCAAAGTTTGTATGGTTCTTGCCGTGTTTTGAGCAAGCCAAAGCAACTTAGACACAGCAAGATCTGTACATTCAAGGTTTTATGATTAAACTTGTGTTGGAAATAAAGGCATAATGAACGATTCACTGTCCAAAGATGTGAATGATTTATCATGCAATTATTTTCAGCAGAACAGCATAAGAGATGAAATACGTAGGCTATCAAGGTTGTTCTTCTATCCAAAGATGTGGAACTTTTCTTGTACAGGAAGCTTATGTGATTTTCATGTCTTAGTGTTGATAAACATGTTTTGATTTCTTCACCTAAAGGTGAGAATTGATCATGTTTTAAGGATATGGGGTTTTCAGTTTTAAATATATTCATATTATGTGTTTTTTCAGTTAATCACAACTCGATTGAAACTCTCATTGGCTCCAACTACTCCAAATGGAGGGAAGATGTGGAAATTGCTCTAGGATTGCTGGACTATGAGATAGCTATTGAAGAAGATGCTCCTGCAGAACCTGATGCAAATGCATCTGCTGGAACAAAAGCAAAATATGCCAAGTGGATTAAGGCAAACAAAATGGCTATTTTGATAATGAGGAGGTCAATTTCACCATCTGTCAGGGGAAGCATTACATCCTGTGACAATGCCAAGAAGTTTATTGATTCCATTGGGGAAAAGTTTCGGGAATCAGAAAAGGCTGAGATTGGAACTCTAATGGGACAGCTTACTGATACAAAATACAATGGGGAGAGATGTGTGAGAACACACATACTAAACATGCTGGAAATTGGGAACAAACTGAAGGCACTCAAAGTCAATGTGGATGAAACTATGATGGTACACTTTGCTATAAATTCTCTGCCTAGTACTTTCAAGCATCTTAGAAGCACGTATGTGGCTCAAAAGGAGAAGTGGACAGTAACTGACCTCATAAGCATCTGTGTGCAGGAAGAACAAAATATGAAGAAGGATAAGGCTGAAGAAAAGATTAATATGGTTCAGAACAGTTTCAAAAGGGATTTTGGAAAAGGAAAAGACTTTGGGAAGAAAAACAAAGGAGAAAAGGAAACTAAAGGTCTGAAACCAGAAGGACTCAAATGCTATTTCTGCAAGAAGTTTGGACATATGAAGAGGAATTGTGACAGATACAAACGCTGGCTAGATAAACAGAAGGCTAAAGGTAAGTCTGATCAAATAAATGTTTGTTTTGAGTCTAATGCAATTGAGATTTCTTCAGATTCATGGTGGTTGGATAGTGGTGCAACAGTTCATGTGGCTAATTGTTTGCAGGGGTTCAAAACAAAGAGGCTGCCAAGCAAGGCTGAGATGAAGGTGTTCGTGGGAAATGGAGAAAGAGTCAAGGTGGAGTACATTGGATTAGCTAGGATTGAGTTAGAATCTGGTTTTGTTTTGGAATTAGTAGATGTAGTTTATATTCCTTCCATGAAAAGGAATCTTATTTCAGTTAGCAAGCTTGTAAAGTCAAACTTACAGTTTGAGTTTGATGTTTTTGGATTCTCCATTTTCAGAAATAAAGTTATGATTGGTAATGGTTTTCTAAATGATGGAATGTTTCGATTAAACTGCAAGAAACCAAATCCCAGCATTGGAAATCTAAGCATAAATGTGATAAGCACTAAAAGAAAAGCAGAAAAAGAAGAATCTTATAAACTTTGGCACAAGAGATTAGGACATATCTCAGCTGAAAGAATGAATTTGCTTAACAAAGAAAATCTGTTGCCAGCACTTAACCACCATGACAAAGACAGTGTTTGCATAGAATGTGTTAAAGGAAAATTGACAAATTTGAGGAAGAAAGGCGCTACAAGAAGTGAGAAACTGCTGGAAATTATACATACTGACATATGCGGTCCTTTTCCCACTCAAACACATGATGGTTTTAAGTATTTCATAACTTTTACAGATGACTTCTCAAGATATGGTTATGTATACTTAATATCTGAAAAATCCAATGCATTAGACATGTTTAAAGTTTACAAAGCAGAGGTAGAGAACCAGCTGGATTCCAAAATAAAAGTGGTAAGGTCAGACAGATGAGGTGAGTTTTATGGCAGATTGAATGAAAAAGGAAGAAATCCTGGACCTTTTGCAAAGTTCTTACAAGAAGAAGGAATTGTGGCTCAATATACTAATCCAGGTACACCACAACAAAATGGAGTGGCAGAGAGACGAAATAGAACATTGATTGAAATGATAAGAAGCCTAATGAGTTGTTCTAAGCTTCCAATTTTTCTTTGGGGGGAGGCCTTGAAGACAGCAAACTATTTGCTAAATAGAACTCCTACGAAAAGTGTGAACAAAATTTCTTATGAGGTATGGTGCAATAGAAAACCTAGTCTCTCACATCTCAAATTCTGGGGAAGCAAGGCAGAAGCAAAGTTCTATAATCCATCAGAAAAGAAGCTGGATTCCAAGACAGTAACATGTTATTTTGTGGGATATCCAGATAGAACAAAAGGGTATAGGTTCTACTGTCCCAACCACACCACAAGGTTCATGGAAACTCAAAGAGCTATTTTTATTGAAGATGAAAATGATTCAGACACTGAGGAAAATTTTGATTTTGATGAAATTTTGGAAAACAAGGAACCTGCTGAAAAGGAAAATATGCTGAGAGATACAACTATCTTACCATTCACTGACTTGAATGACAAGCAAGTCTCACCAAATCATGATCCAACAACTGAAGCTCCACAAATTGCACCAGAAAATATGCAGACAGATCAACAAGAACAGCAGCCTTCCAACCCAGAACTGAGAAGGTCACAAAGAACTAAGAGACCTGCTCTATCAAACGATTATTATGTCTACATGCAAGAATCAGAACATGACATCAATACCATAGAAGATCCTCTGTCTTATAAGCAGGCTATTCAAAGTGACAACTGTGATAAGTGGATAGAAGCAATGGAGTCTAAACTCCAATCAATGAGCAAGAATGGTGTATGGAAGCTTGTTGATTTACCTCAAGGATGTAAACCAATAGGATGCAAGTGGGTTTACAAGACTAAAAGAAACTCAAAGGGACAAATAGACAGATACAAGGCACGACTAGTAGCAAAAGGGTTCACACAACAAGAAGGAGTGGATTACAATGAAACTTTCTCACCTGTGTCAACCAAAGATTCCTTAAGAGTTATAATGGCATTAGTGGCACATTTTGATCTTCACCTTCATCAAATGGATGTTCAAACTGCATTTTTGAATGGAAACCTTATTGAAGAAATTTACATGAAACAACCGGATGGTTTCATTCAAAAAGGGGAAGAAGATTTGGTTTGCAAGTTACAAAAATCAATATACGGATTAAAACAGGCTTCTAGGCAGTGGTACTTGAAGTTTGATGAAGTAGTGAAGTCTCAAGGTTTCATTGACAATCCCTTAGATGAGTGCATTTACCAAAAATTTCAAGGGAGACATTATATTTTTATGCTGTTGTATGTTGATGATATTCTCTTAGCAAGCAGCAATCTGTCACTACTACATGACACTAAGAGAATGCTATCAAACCATTTTCAAATGACTGATTTGGGAGAGGCAAACTATGTGCTAGGAATTGAAATAAGCCGAGACAGAGAAAGGGGGCTACTTAGTCTATCACAGAAGGGATATATAGAAAGGATACTGAAAAGGTTCAACATGGAAAACTGCACAGGTTGTGATGTTCCATTCTCGAAGGGTGATAAATTGAGCAATGAACAATCTCCCAAAACTGAGCAAGAGAAGTTGGAGATGCAGGACAAGCCCTATGCCTCACTTGTTGGAAGCTTAATGTATGCTCAAGTTTGCACAAGGCCAGACCTTGCTTTCAGCATTAGTGTTCTTGGAAGGTTTCAATCCAATCCAGGCCAAGCACATTGGGTAGCAGGCAAGAAGGTCTTGAGGTATTTGCAAAGAACTAAAGAATACAAGCTGGTTTATCGAAGAGTTGAAGAATTGAAACTGGAAGGATATGCAGATGCGGACTTTGCTGGCTGTTTGGATACACAAAAGAGTACATCAGGTGTTGTGTTTTTGTTTGCAGGAGGAGCAGTGGCTTGGAGAAGTGTCAAACAACAATACATATCAACCTCAACCATGCAGGCTGAGTTTCTAGCAATTTATGAAGCAACTTCAATGGCTATGTGGCTCAAAAATTTTATGTCAACGTTAAAGGTCATGGATTCCATACAAAGGCCAATCCAATTATGGAATGACAACAGTGCTGTAGTTTATTTTGCAAAAGGAAATAAAAAGTCAGGAGGATTAAGACACCTGCAGTTAAAGTTTTTATCAGCTAAAGAAAAGATCCGAGATGGTCATACAGCTTTAGATCATATTGGAACAGATTTTATTATTGCAGATCCCCTGAACAAAGGCTTGCCTAATCATGTTTTTCATAGGCATGTTAAAAGCATGGGTTTGCAGATCAGTTTTGATTTTTAAGTCAGTGGGAGTCAGTGGGAGCCAGAGTTAAGTCTGTTTTCATTTAATTAGTTTCAATCGAAGTTGTTCTTACAGTTTACATTTTGATAATGTCATTCAAAGTTTTCTTAAATTGTGTTTTTCCAATTTATAAATGTTTTGGCATATGGATGAAGGAAGAATCTGCAAAATTTGCTAGCACTTATGTTTTGCATTTTCGTATCCATGAAGGAGCCATGATAGTTTTGCTAAGACCTTGGTAGTCTTGTAAGGGTGAGCTAAGAATTGTTTTGATCATCAAACACATCCTAAGGCAGATCTCAACAATTCTTTGATCCTAATTCAGTTGGCAGCCTCATGTGTTGTTATAGACTTATATGTGTGGTTGCAAAAGACTTGAATGTTATTTATTCAATGTGCTTTGACAGTTCCATATGAGTTCATACCAATGACAGTGGCTTGATAAGAAACTGAGAAATTTTAAAGTCCTAAATTGGCCATTAAGTGATTAATCTTGAGTCACAATGATTATTTGACCAAGTGGGAGAATGTAAGATAGTTTACTATCTTAAACTCACGAAAGTGGTCTTCTAATCTATGTCAGATTGCAAGAACTCCAGATTAATCTAGGACTTAAATCTGTCTCATCCAGCAGCCCTTGTATCAGTGTTCTAAATGGATTACAAGGCTAAAGGGGTTTCTAGTTCTATTAGAATTAGGAGTCACTGTTCTATTGCAATAAGGAAAACTCAAGGAGTCTCTTGATGGGCAAGACTCCTTGAGTGATGCATATAAATAGGGCAGCTCCCTCTAAGAGCCGATAGACACAACTCATCAGGATATTCACCCCGTCAAGAATTCCAGAGCTAAGGCAATCGGTTATCTTAGAGAAGAGCTGCCTACCAGGTGTTCGACAAAAGACTTCAATGGCAGAACAAGGTTAGTGTTCAAGTTATAATGGCTTAGAAGACTTACAAAGAAGAGCAATGGTTGCAAATGCAATAGGAGAAGCCATTTTAGAACTAGATTCCCGCAGGCAATGAAGTGACTGATTGATATACTTGTGTTAACTTGTAGATGGATTTTTAGGTGGTTGATATAGTGAACAGAATAGGGAATTTATGGACTTTCTTTTTCTGAAAAAAATTCTAAATTTGTCACGTGAACACCCAGCATACATTGTTTTGGATCTTTGTCACTTTCTGGCCTGGGGTGCAACTTGAAGAATAGGCCATAGTCAACTTTGTAGCATTCTGAATTTTATGCCTTCTAATACATGGCACCAAAACAAAAGGGCCTTGTTCTTGTTAGGCATAAAAGGTTCAAATATCTTGATCGTGTCCTCATTTGGCCAAAATAGTCAAGGATCTCCTTCTACTAGAGAGAGTTACCAGCCGACATCGATTTTGGGAGTGTGGATATATGCTCTCTTGGCGAGTCCCTATAGTAAGAGTTATCAATTTGACAACAGGGAGCGGTCATCTTGGTTGTGTAGATAAATGCATTTACCACTAAATCCATAATGAGAGATATCACTTTGACAATAAGGAGTAGTAATGTAATGAACAATCAAAGTAGTCAGTTTCATGATTTCATCCAGAGAGAGCAACACAGTCTGCAGCAATGGCGAGGATCAAGGTCCACGAGCTAAGAAACAAGACAAAGGCAGAGCTTTTGGGTCAACTGAAGGATCTGAAGGCAGAACTTGCCCTCCTCCGAGTCGCCAATGTCACCGGCAGAGCCCTCCAACAAGCTCTCCAAAATGAAGGTGGTGAGTTGAGGCTTTCAATAGCACAGGTGTTGACAGTGATTTCCCAGAAGCAAAAAGCTGCTCTAAGATAAGTCTACAAGAACAAGAAGTTTCTTCCTCTAGATTTGCGCCCAAAGAAGACCAGGGCCATCAGAAGGCGTCTGACCAAGCATCAGGCATCTTTAAAGACATAAAGGGAGAAGAAGAAGGATATGTACTTTCAATTGAGGAAGTTTGCAATCGAAGCATAATGTTGGATCCAATTATGAAGGAAAATCATGGCGTTTCGCCCATTATAAGATATTCCAAGGACACCAATTTCTTCATTGTAGACACTATCGATCCCAAATAAGATTTTAATGGTCCAGGATTTTAATGCTGATATTTTGGTTTCTATTAAAAAAAGAAAAAGAAAAGTAGAACCTTCCATTCTACTTGCCCACTGGCTTCACTCCCAGCAGATGAATGGCTCTGCTAATTATATGGTATTGCAATTTTTTATTTTACAATAAGGTATTGTAATATGAAAACTCAGAATCATTATGCCTTCGATTAACATTAGACATTTGTTGATGCCAAATTCATGCCAATTTAATTAGCTAAGGTAGTGTGCCCGACCCCTTGTACCTGAGTTCAAATTCCATTTCCCGTTAATTAGATTAGTTTAAATATCCCCGTGTGATGAAGGCTCTAACTCGATTGCATAGATCGATCCCTCTGGATTCCTAAGCTTCACCTTTTTTTCTTCTTATTGAATTAGTGGCAGTGCTAGGTGCACGCACAAACTTTGTTATGAAATCAAAGCACGAAACACTATTTGCACCTACAACTTTTGACTTTATTTTGGAATCTATATGGGACACCAAAAACACGTTTAGAACAAATTTATAGCTAGGTACGAAACATAGATTTATTTGGCTTACTAACAATTAAATTTATAGTTTGATTAGATTAATAAAGCGGAAAACAAATTGCAAAAAGGATTCCAGTCCTTGTGATTCAAGTATTAGCCAGCAAATCCTAATTTGATGAACTTAAAATTCTAAATTTCTAAAAGGATTCCAATGATCATAACCATATTCCTAGCTTATAACCTGAAATGAAACTGTATATAATCTTCTTATTTGCAGATATACCTCATTCTCCTACTGTAATTAATACAACAACAAACATAAACACACATATATTATATAGAAAATTATATACGTATCTAATAATCATAGATGAGGCAAAGCAGTGATTTGGGACTAGTTTGCCAGGTTGGGAGTTGTTGCTGTGGCTGCATTTTCCACTATCCTTGGGCTTCAAGTTGAATCAATTTTCTTGTCAAGGGCTTGTTGAGGACAAGACCAAGGCTTGCGACCTTCGTGATCATGATGATGATGATGATGGCAACGTCTAGCAATAAAAGCTCCAGCCATGGTCCCCAAACACAAACGTTAAACCAGAATTTACCATCCTTTTTTTTTTTTTCGAATTTAATTTGGTCTCAAAGCTAGATGGTGATGGAATAGTTCAAAGGAAGTGAGGAAAAGAAAGAGTTCAAAGGGTTTTTATATGGAGTATAGAGTGCTGGCCAAGACTTTGTTTTTCATGGTTCACATATGGGATATGGCTATTGGCTAGACCCTTTGTCAAGTTTCAACAACTCAAAACAAGAGTAATGCTACACTTACCACATTTCTACACCACATGATGTGGCATGTCCATATCATATGCCACATCAATTAAATGAATGAAGTGTATTTTAATAAACAAAATTAGAAAAACAGAAACTAGTATTTTACATGATGTGTGTGGTATGTACACATCAGTTGCTACATCATGTGGTATGAAATTGTGGTATAAAAATATGGTAAGACTAGTATTATTCCTCAAAACAATTATATAATGGAAACACGAAACCGGTGGGCTTGAAATGTATAGGCCATGGCCCCACAAAATGGTGTCTCTATCTCGTGTAGTTGGGTCTTATTTTTGGGATTTGCAAGGACTTCTTCATGATGGAAAGATCATCTAGCAACTAGATACATTAGGGTTTCTTTAGCATTTCCCTAGTTAAAAATATAAGAGTTGTCGTCTAAAATAAGGATAGTAGCATTAGCAGTTTCATGATTCCTAGCTATTTAAGGCCAACTCTGAGAGAGAGAGAGAGAGAGAGAGAGAGAGAGAGAGAGAGAGAGAGAGAGAGAGAGACGGATGTTTTTGCCGATAAAGCAGACATGAATACTAAATCTAATAAAGCAAAATGTGATCAATTTTTCTCACTGTTAGCCACAAATGGAAAATATGCTAGTAATACCAACCACCCAATTGATTGGGAAAAAACAAAAAAATTTCTAACTTGAGCCCCATCCATGGACCACACAGCCCAATCTTAGCCACAATACTAACAATGGGTTGTGCCCACGTCTAGCAGTGCATGCAACTAAGATTCACATTACATTAATGTTCAGAAATCACCCACACATGCGTGAGCGACTTGCCTTATAGCAAAACCGTTTCTAACAATTTGATTATGTCATATTTCTGTAAGTATTTATGGAGTGTCTAGTGATTGTTCCAATTTGTGATTTGTAGAGCAACAACAATGGGCTTTAGGGGTTCCAAAGCAGCCGCTCTTTTTACCTCCCTCTATTCCAAAGAAGCAAGACAAATGCCCCAGAGATAACCTTAAGTTTGGTGTTTGTGGCAGCTATAGTTAGGGTTGGTGACTGACGTTATTGGGACTAAACCCAGTAAGGAATGTTGTATCCTAATAAAAGGTCTTGCAGATCTTGAAGCTGCCTCGTGTCTGTGCACTGCTATTAAGGCCAATGTCTTGGGAATTGTCTTGAAGTGCCTCTTGCTCTTAGTTTGCTATTAATGCATGCATGTACAGGAAAAGTGCCACAAGGCTTTGTCTCTGCTTAATTAGAAACTGCCTACCTTATTGATGTACTCATTGATATTGCCTATTTGATGTTATTGGATTAAACCAGATTAATTTATCCTGTGTGGTTTTACAAAATGCATGGTAGAAGCAAGAACTCTATTGAAAATGAATGATGTTGCATGTATGTTTCATATTTGGTTTTCCCAAAGAAATAAGTCAGTAATTCTTTCTATATAATTATATCATCCTGCCAACTTAACTAATATCACACATGTAAGGATAAATCTTACTATCTATAGACACACGAGTGACAATCAAGAAAAACAGTGTTTTCTTGCCAACCTTATCTTGCCGAATGGTGTATCATGTTGTCACAATTTAGACCACGCATTCAAGCAAGATATTAATTTTTTTTTTTTTTTTTTTTTTTTTTTTTTTCATTGGTTGTCGAAATGATTAGATATATATAACTAATAATCATGTTAGGCGCATTTAATTTTCATTATCTAATATCAATAATAAAAACCACCAATGCTGAAGAGTGAAACATGCATTATGTTTTTTATTTCGAAGGAAACACACAAACATTCCGAGGAGGGAACACTCTAGATATCAGTTACATTTCGAAGGAAACATGTATTACAACCAAAGCTTAATGGCCTTTTTTCATTGACACAGCTTAGGAAGGGCAGTACTAGATGAGAAGGTCATGGCACCACTAGGCGCATTGGAAGTTTGTTGGAACAGACTTACCACAGTAATTCAAAAGCAAGCTTAAGGAAACTGGCACATTAAGATTGATTCCCAAAACGTTGGCTTTAATGGCAGTGCAAAGGCACACAGCAGCATCAACATCAGCAAGACCCGCAATGAGGCTACAACAAGGTGTTTTTTGTGGGGTCCCCACAACAACGTGCACCAAGTCATTCAACAAATCTCCACATACCCTTAGCTTAAGGGTGTCTTTAGGGCAAGCTTTAGGAGGGCTTGGGCTTGGGGTTAAGGGAGGAGGAAGTTTTGGGGTTGGGGTTGGAGTTAGAGGAGGTTGTTTTGGATATGGAGTTGGAGTTGGGGGAGGTTGTTTTGGGTATGGAGTTGGAGTTGGAGGAGGTTGTTTTGGGGTTGGGGTTGGAGTTGGAGGAGGTTGTTTAGGGGTTGGAGTTGGGGGAGGCTGTTTAGGGGTTGGGGTTGGAGGAGGTTGTTTTGGGGTTGGGGTTGGGGGAGGTTGCTTTGGGGTTGGAGTTGGAGTTGGGGGAGGTTGTTTTGGGGTTGGGGTTGGAATTGGGGGAGGTTGTTTAGGGGTTGGAGTTGGGGGAGGTTGTTTTGGGGTTGGTGTTGGAGTCGGGGGAGGTTCTTTTGGAGTTGGGGGAGGGTATTTTGGGGTTAGGGGAGGTGGTCTTGGGGTTGGAGTTGGGGGAGGTTGTTTTGGGGTTGGTGTTGGAGTTAGGGGAGGTTCTTTTGGAGTTGGGGGAGGGTATTTTGGGGTTAGGGGAGGTGGTCTTGGGGTTGGAGTTGGGGGAGGTTGTTTTGGGGTTGGGATCGGAGTTAGCGGAGGTTGTTTAGGGGTTGGGGTTGGGGGAGGTTGTTCTGGGGTTGGTGTTGGAGTTAGGGGAGGTGGTTTAGGGGTTGGGGTTGGGGTCGGAGTTGGGGGAGGGTATTTTGGGGTTGGGGGAGGTTGTTCTGGGGTTGGTGTTGGAGTTGGGGGAGGTTGTTTAGGGGTTGGGGTTGGGGTCGGAGTTGGGGGAGGGTATTTTGGGGTTGGGGGAGGTTGTTTTGGGATTGGTGTTGGAGTTGGGGGAGGTTGTTTTGGGATTGGTGTTGGGGTTGGGGGAGGTTGTTTAGGGGTTGGAGTTAGGGGAGGTTGTTTTGGGGTTGGGGTCGGAGTTGGGGGAGGGTATTGTGGGGTTGGGGGAGATGGTTTTGGGGTTGGAGTTGGGGGAGGTTGTTTTGGGGTTGGGATCGGAGTTGGTGGAGGTTGTTTAGGGGTCGGGGTTGGTGTTGGAGTTGGGGGAGGTTGTTTAGGGGTTGGGGTTGGGGTCGGAGTTGGGGGAGGGTATTTTGGGGTTGGGGGAGGTTGTTCTGGTGTTGGTGTTGGAGTTGGGGGAGGTTGTTTTGGGATTGGTGTTGGGGGAGGTTGTTTAGGGGTTGGAGTTGGGGGAGGTTGTTTAGGGGTTGGGGTCGGAGTTGGGGGAGGTTGTTTTGGAGTTGGGGGAGGGTATTTTGGGGTTGGGGGAGGTGGTTTTTGGGTTGGAGTTGGGGGAGGTTGTTTTGGGGTTGGGATCGGAGTTGGTGGAGGTTGTTTAGGGGTTGGGGTTGGGGGAGGTTGTTCTGGGGTTGGTGTTGGAGTTGGGGGAGGTTGTATTGGGGTTGGGGTTGGGGGAGGGTATTTTGGGGTTGGGGGAGGTTGTTCTGGGGTTGGTGTTGGAGTTGGGGGAGGTTGTTTAGGGGTTGGAGTTGGGGGAGGTTGTTTTGGGGTTGGGGTCGGAGTTGGGATCGGAGTGGGTGGAGGTTGTTTAGGGGTTGGGGTTGGGGGAGGTTGTTCTGGGGTTGGTGTTGGAGTTGGGGGAGGTTGTATTGGGGTTGGGGTTGGCGTCGGAGTTGGGGGAGGGTATTTTGGGGTTGGGGGAGGTTGTTCTGGGGTTGGTGTTGGAGTTGGGGGAGGTTGTTTTGGGGTTGGTGTTGGGGTTGGGGTTGGGGGAGGTTGTTTAGGAGTTGGACTTGGGGGAGGTTGTTTTGGGGTTGGGATCGGAGTTGGCGGAGGTTGTTTAGGGGTTGGGGTTGGGGGAGGTTGTTCTGGGGTTGGTGTTGGAGTTGGGGGAGGTTGTATTGGGGTTGGTGTTGGGGTTGGGGGAGGTTGTTTAGGTGTCGGCGTTGGGGTTGAGGGAGGAGGGTGTTTGGGGGTTGGGGTGTAGGGAGGAGGGTGTTTTGGTTTTGGGGTTGAGGGGGGAGGGTGTTTTGGTTTTGGAGTTGAGGGAGGAGGTTGTTTTGGTTTTGGAGTTGAGGGAGGAGGGTGTTTTGGTTTTGGGGTGTAGGGAGGAGGGTGTTTTGGTTTTGGAGTTGAGGGAGGAGGGTGTTTTGGTTTTGGGGTGTAGGGAGGAGGGTGTTTTGGTTTTGGAGTTGAGGGAGGAGGGTGTTTTGGTTTTGGAGTTGAGGGAGGAGGGTGTTTTGGTTTTGGGGTGTAGGGAGGAGGGTGTTTTGGTTTTGGGGTTGAGGGGGGAGGGTGTTTTGGTTTTGGAGTTAAGGGGGGAGGGTGTTTTAGTTTTGGGGGTGAGGGAGGAGGGTGTTTTGGTTTTGGGGTTGGGGTTGAGGGGGGTAGGGTGTTTTGGGGTTTTAGGTGGTGTTGGTGGACAATTAGGAGCATGATCATTTGAACTCACTGTATTGAAAAACACAAGGTTAAGGGAGAGAAGAAGAGCAATAGTTGCAAATACCTTAGGAGAAGCCATTTTAGAACTAAATTCCCTCAGGCAGTGAAGTGACTGATTGATATAGTGAACATAATTAGGGTATTTATAGACTTTCTTTTTCTGAAAAAATTCTAAATTTGTGAAAGACATCCATGGGAGCACACAACGTACACTGTTTTGGGGTGCATGATAGGCCATATTCAACTTTGGAGCATTCTGAATTTTGGCTTTCTAATATATGGCACCAAAACAAAAGGACACCCTAAGCTTGTTCTTATTAGGCAAAGAAGGTTAAAGCATCTTATCGTGTTATTTGGCCAAAATATATCCAAGAAATGAAGGTTCTCCTTCTACTAGAGAGAGTTACCAGCCGACATCGATTTTGGCTGTGTAGATAAATGCTCTCTATCACTGAAACCACAAGGTCTTAGTGAGAGATATATCACTTTGACAACATGAGCACCCATCTATTGGTTGTGCAGATAAATGCTCTATTTACCAGTAAATCCATGATGAGAGATAAATCACTTTGACAACAAAGGAGTAACACTATTACTGATAAACAAATGAAAAACTAGTAAACTACCAAAAGTCGACCTGATAAACAATCAAACTGGAAACCTTCCGTTTTACTTGCTCACTGCCTTCACGCCCAGCACAAATTTAGGATCTTTGTTGATGCCAATTTCATTATCTTCCACAATGAAGGAAATTAAACACACCTGCACGTTATAATCAAATTTATTATCCATTACCAAACCTTTATTATTATTGTCAATATTTTGTTATTCTTTAGTCACAGGACAAGACAAACCATATGAATTTTTCTATATCAAAATTTAATTATTATGGTTCATAAAAAAATAATCCACCCATGAAATCTTAATTTTTTCGGACACTGAAAAATATCTTATGCATAAGGATAAGGGAAAATGCGACTTATCAGACAAAAACAAGAAAAAAATTTTATAAAATACCTCAATCAAGTCAGCTATTCAGCCAGACAATAATGACTAGAAGTTGAGCTTAATCTTCATAAAACAAAGAACGAGACAATAGAATTTTCATTTAATGTCGACCAGTGAAACTAGATATGCTGTGCTTCACTGATAAATTAATGTAGTAAATTTTGTTGTGTGGGTAACGAAAAAAAAGAAGAGAAAAGAGTGCAGTAAAAATTCACCTCACATGAACTTACATGGCAAAGGGCACACATAGGCATGATTCTCATAAACAATGGTTAAACATGAACAAACGTGGTATGAAATCAAAGCACAAAACACTAATTTCGATAACAAAATTTGCACCTACAACTTTCGATTTTATTTTGAAATCCATATGGGACACCAAAGGTAATTACTATTCTCTCCATATAATTTTAGCAATTTATTCCATTTTTTAAGCTTCAGAATTTATTCCATTTGTTGATTACATGATGCATTTTCAGTGAAAATTTATTAAAAGTTGAAAGAAGTCACATTCATTGTTGATACGATTCCCATATTGCAGTACCATACACATTTTCACTGTTTATAATTTCTAAAACCATTTTCTAATTAATTTACAGCTAGGTGTGACAAAGAAGTGGGAGGAATCATATATACCTTATGCTACTGCAACATGTTGAGGGTGTGGGGAGAGGTGTCGGTGGTAGGGCAATGGTTGTGGCTTTTATTTTCACAAATATTAAAAAAATTTCAATTAATTTTTGTATATGTGTCAAACACGTCAACAAGTAAGTGGGCTACTTAGGAGGATTTAACAGAAATATGTCTTTTATTTTCACTTCAGGATGGTTGACAATGCCAATGGCATCCCACATTGGGATGCAAAATTGGCTAGTCACCAGTTGCACCAAATGTGACATCACATATCACCAAAGCCCTCAAACACCTTCTCTACACTATAAGAAAAATGGTCAACAGTAAATTTAATGATTAAAATACTATATGGTCACTAAAATGATTGGCATCTAATTTTTAATTTTTAATGACTAAATTTTCTGACCAGTATTTAAATTAATTATGTTATTAGTGACGAACACATATGCCAAGGTAGCCTTCCTTCTCTTATTTGATACATCAGTGACGTCCCCTTTTTAAACTTGAATTTTTTTTTCCAAAACACGAAGGGTACTGCATCAAATAGAAAAAAGAAAAAAAGAAAAAAAAAGATGGAGCGAGACCAGAGCAAAATCAGAGCGAGCAAGATGAGCGCGAGATTAGAGCTAGTGAGACAAGAGCGTGAGACCAAAACGCGAGACCAGAGCGAACAAGATCAGAGTGAGCTAGGTTTTCGTTTGTTACTCAGGTAGAACTTGACTTTAGGTTCAATTTTGATTTCTCTTTGAATTTCGATTTTGGTGTTCGATTAGTTTTACCACATGAAAAGGATTGTTACTTTGGGGTTTAGATTTCTTTTTCAATGTGACATCACATATCACCAAAGGCCTCAAACACCTTCTCTAACACAGCCTAACCTAACCCAAACATTGTGCAAACCGGATCCAGTCCACCAACTTTAAACCCTTTGAACTCCTCCTTGTTTTCTATGGGTAAGAACAAGGTTTTGATCATCACAACTAAAATTTGTACACATTTTGTTTGGTACCCATAAGTCCTTAGATCATGTGCAGCGCTAGGGCCCTGCCTTGGCAACAGGCCCTCACAAAGCCCAAATCTGCCTATAGCGCTACAAAAGCAGCCCGGGCAAGCCCACGAGCAATTCTTGACTGGGCTCAAGTCCAAAGGCGCTGACTTCAGTTGTGATGTCAGCAATGCCAAAATCAAATTTTTTTTAACGTTGACATGTGTTCAAGCGCCAATGTTAAAAAAATAATATTGATTTCAGCCGCTAACGTTAGTGCTAACATGCCCTAACAGGAAGATGCCACATGGCGATTCCTGAACGCCGGATTGAATTTTGTCAAGAAATCCGACGACCTTGATTTTTTTGTCTAAAAAAATTGCAAAAAAATAATGAATTTTTTTCCCTATAAATACCTAACAATTTTATTCATTTTCCACACCAAATCTTCATACAAACTCTTCTCCTTCCAATATTTTTTACTTTCCACTCACATTTTTCTACTACCTTCCATTTGTATCAAAAAACAAATGGCCTTTTCCATCGAAGCCGGAGTGTAGTGAAAAAACGTTCGAAGAGGTCAAAATCTTGGCGCCGAGGTAAAAAAATAATAATTGCCGTTTTGTTCAATTTAATGTATTTAAAAAAATATATATTTCTTGCATTTCCAATTTCATTTTTTAAATAGATTATTCAAGGCAAAACAAAAAAGAGGAAAACCATTACACATGGCTCCTCAAGTGAACAATGCCTGCAGTCAGTTCCAGTGGTGCATTCCGTGTCGGAAATAATGGCACTATTACGTCATTCGAAGGAAAATACTTCTTCATGTCGTGATCAGGTGGAACCTCCTCCGCCAATGATTGAGTCGTCCTTGTACTCGATTGTGTCGGACTATGAGAACTGTGAGTATTTCAATTGTATGATGAGTGAGTGGGTATTTCAATTGTATGATGAGTGAGATGTGAATTTTATAATAAATATGGACACATGGCAACCGAAAATCTTATCTGAAAATTTAATTCGAAAATTTTATCTGAAATTTTATAATAAATAATGACATGTGGCAACCCAAAATATTATCTGAAAACCTTATCAAAATTAATGGTTTAAGTATAAAAAATAGAAAATACATTAAAGTGAATAGTGTTTGCCCTTGCCCCTTGGGGTAGAACCAAAAAAGGCAAGGCTGCCACTATTCACATGAATAGTGTCAAACCTTGCCTTGCCTTTGCCTTGCCCTTGCCCTTTGGGATGGAGGTGCTCTTAGGGAAGCACCCATAAGTTGTATCATGTCATTGTGTATGGACAGTCATAAGCACTTATGGGTACCTCAATTTGTACTCATGTATATGCTATTGTCTTATGAGGGGATTAATTAGGTAAGAAATCCCAAGTTTAGAATACTAATAGAATGATTAGGCATGTCATCACCTGGCCTCAGGAAACGATGTCTCTATCGCATGTAGTTGGGTCTTATTTCTGGGATTTGCAAGGACTTCTTCATGATGGAAAGATCATCCAACACTAGATACATAATACATTAGGGTTTCTTTAGCATTTCGCTACTTAAAAATATAAGGATAGTAGCATTAGCAGTTTCATGATTCCTAGCTAGAGAGAGAGAGAGAGAGAGAGAGAGAGAGAGAGAGCATATTAGCAAAGAAACAAATATTCAACCACAGGGCTTTGAATATTTCTTTCGGATGTTTTTGCTGGTGGAGCAGACATGAGACTAAATCTGTTAAACTAAAATGGGATCAGAATTTTCTCCCTGTGAGTCGCAAATGGAAAAGATGCTAGTAATACCAACCACCCAATTGATTGGGAAAAAAAAACAAAAATCTAACACGAGAGAGTTGTTCTCTTATCCAATGCCTTATTGCAGAGGATGAAGCTTATTGGCTCCTTTCTTGCTGCCCTTCTTCATAGTTTTCTCAATGACACCATTTCTGCTTGAACTGTCATGGCTAGTGGGGATTTTGTCCCTCTCTTTTCTAACACATACAGCTAGCAATATAAATCTTGAACTAAGCTCTGATACCATGTTGGATTTTATGCAATGATAAAAGAAGAGAAGAAAATAACAATGAAAAGATGAACTCAGAGGTTTAAACTAAGACTTGGTTCTCTGATATTTTTCTGATGGATGAAAACTTAGTGGAGAGGTTTTCCTCTCTTATATACATATATAGAAATGTGCATGTGCTTCACACTATTTGAACACACACAAACACTTAACCAACTTGAGTAAAAGCTGATAATATCTACAGCCTAAAACAAATACTTAGCCTTACAAAATATTAGAAGCAACTTGGCTTCCTAAAAGCAACCGCAGACAAAAGTCTCTAACAAAACACACTCGAGCTGGTTTTCTCGGACAGAAAGCTCTTGAGCTGATTTTATCCGACAACAAGGACATTACACAGTAAATTTAACAAAATGCCCCAAACGCAGCTGGTAAGGGTTGGTGACCGAGGTTATTGGGACAAAAGGGTCTTGCAGATCTTGAAGCTGCATTGTGTCTGTGCACTGCTATTAAGGCCAATGTCCTGGGAATTGTCAAGCTCGAAGTGCATGTTGCTCTTAGTTTGCTTGTTAATGTATGTACGGGAAAGGTGCCACAAGGCTTTGTCTGCGCTTAATTCGAAACTGTTACAAAATGCATGGTAGAAGCAAGAACTCTATCGAAAACGAATGATGTTGCACATGTGGTTTCCCAAAGAAATAAACTCATTAATTATATCTATTTAATCATACGATCCTGCCATGTTAACTAAAATCACACATTTAAGGATGAATTTACTATCTATAGGCACACGAGTGATAATGGGGAAAAACAATGTTTTCTTGTGAGGCTTATCTTGCCTAATGGTGTATCATGTTGTCATATGTGAATTTAGATCATGCATTCAAGCAAGATATTAACACCTTTTTTTTTCTTCTTTTTTTTCTTTTTTTCGGTTGTCGAAATGATGAGATACATATAACTAATAATCATGATTGGCGCATTATTTAATAGAAAATTTAGGGATCTATATTGGACAAGTCCTAATAAAAACCACCAACTCAAGAGTGAAACATGCATAATTTTTACTTTTATTTTGAAGGAAACATATGAACATTCCTAAGAGAGAACACTCTAGATCTCAGCTACATTTCGAAGGAAACACGCGTAATATATTACAGAGTAAAGCCAAAGATTAGTGGCCTGTTTTTCATTCCAACAAAGCTTCGGAAGGGCAGCACTAGATGAGAAGGTCATGGCACCCCTAGGCGCATTGGAAGTCTGTTGGGATAGACTTACCACAGTAATTCAAAAGCAACTTTAAGGAGACTGGCACATTAAGATTGATGCCCAAAACGTTGGCTTTAATGGCAGTGCAAAGGCACACAACTGCATCAACATCAGCAAGACCCACAATGAGGCTACAGCAAGGGGTCTTTGGTAGGGTCCCCAAAACAGGGTGCAGCAAATCATTCAACAAATCGCCACATACTCCAAGCTTAAGGGTGTCCTTAGGGCAAGAGGCTTTAGGAGGGCTTGGGCTTGGGGTCAAGGTCGGAGTCAAGGTTAGGGTTGAAGGAGGTTGTTCTGGCGTTGGGATTAGGGTTAGAGGAGATTGTGTTGGGGTTGTGGTTGAAGGAGGTTGTTCTAGCGTTGGGATTGGGGTTAGAAGAGATTGTGTTAGGGTTGAGGTTGGGGTTGAGGGGGGAGGGTGTTTTGGGGTTTTTGGTGGTATTGGTGGATAATTGGGAACATGATGATCTGAACTCACTGTAGTGAAAAACACAAGGTTAAGGGAGAGAAGAAGAGCAATAGTTGCAAATGCAGAAGCCATTTTAGAACTAAATTCCCTCAGGCAGTGAAGTGACTGATTGAAATATACATGCATTAACTTGTAGATGGAGATGGTGGTATTTATAGACTTTCTTTTTCTAAAAAAAAAAAAAAAAAAAAAAAAAAAAAAAAATAAAAAACAACCCAAAAAAAAAACCAACACCAGTGTCCGTCAAACAAACGTGTGTTTTTGGGTGCAAGGTAGGCACCAAAACAAAGAGGCACCCTTGTTCTTATTAGGCAAAGAAGGTTTAAACATCTTGACCGTGTACATATATGGCCAAAATAGATCCCATAATCAAGGTTCTCCTTCTACGAGAGAGACTTACAAGCCGACGTCAATTTTGGGTGTGTGAACACTCGTTACCACTGAATTCATAATGAGAGATTTCACTTTGACAACAAGGAGTAATTGTGTAATGAAAAACTAGTAAACTACCAAATGTCGACCTGATAAACAATGAAACTGGAACCTTCCGTTCTACTTGCTCACTTGGCTTCACACCCCGCAGATAAATGGCTCTACTAATTATATGGTATTCTAATTTTTTTATTATTTATTTTATTTTTGTTACTATAAGGTATTGTAATATGAAAACTCAGAAATATTAATTCTTTTGGAAATGGAGCTTTCATCCACAAACCCAGATTTCATAGGTAGTGACAAATACGTTATGCACAAAGACAAAACACCTCAATCAATCAACTATTTAGCCAGACAAATAATGTCGACCTGAAACTGTGTATAGATACGCTGCTTCATTTATAATGCAGTCAATTTAGTTGTTTGATAACCGAAAAAAAGAAGTGCATAAAAATTCACCTCACATATGAACAAATTACGTACATGTCAAAGGGCACACATATGCATGATTCTCAGAAAAAAATAGTTAAACATGAACATACGTGGTTATGAAATCAAAGCACAAAACATTAATTTCTATTAACAAAATTTGCACCGATAACTTTCGATTTTATTTTGGAATCCACATGGGACACCAAAAATGCGTTTAGAAAGTATTTATAGTTTGATTAGATTAATAAAGTGAAACACAAAAAGGACTCGAGTCCTTGTGATTCAAGTATTAGCTAGCAAATCCTAATTTGATGAACTTAAAATTTTAAATCTTTTTCCGATGATCATAACCATATTCCTAGCTTATAAATAACATGATAGCCAAGTTATTTATTCTATCAAAATTATTGAATATAAATTAACTTTTTCATATTAGAGAGAATTAACCATGCCTGCTCATCGAGAAGCACTTACTCCTATAGAACAAGAAGAATGACAATAGGGCAAAGACTAAGAAACATCCATCCGAATGTAAATTTTAAGCAACAATAATAAAATATTTTCAAGATTTTTCTGGAAAATAATAATAAAAATAAAATTATTATTTATTTTATGAAAGTATATACATCGTCTAAACAAAGAAGCAAAAAAAATCCGTATCAAGATCTTCCACAAACAATGAATTGATGGGATCTATCAGACTATGTCACAATTACAATTACCACCACATGCCATGTTGAACAAGAAAACTCAAGTGCTCTAACTAATTGATAAAGGTACAAAATTAATTGAGGCAGGCAGAGGACAAAACTAATTCTATATGGTGCCAAAGGGACAAAACTAGTTCTACACGCTCCTCCTTCTATATGGAGGAAGTAAAACCCACTTTCCCATTATAAGATCACTTTAACAGTTAAGACCTGGAACTAATTCATCAACATCTTTACATTATCTATGTATCTAAGAATCAACAGAAATAATCACAACTATCACAGGAAAGAAAAAGAAAAGAAAAATACTTATAACAAAAATGTATATTACAACAACAATGGTTACTTAACAACAATGTCGACAATGGTGTCCTTGGGTCCTCTCAAAAGAAGAAAAAATACTCTAGACTAAGGAATTCCAGCATCCCTCCTCTCCCCTCCAATCCCTTTCCCCCCTTCCTCATCTTCTCCTTCTACTCGCCCCTCCCCTCCCTCTTTGTTTTCTTTGTTTGGTTTTGTGTTTCTGATTTGCAGATTGGAGTTTTCAGATCTACTTCGGATCTGTGTGGTTTGCCTGTCCTTTGATTTTGCCCCAAAATACTGGTGTTTTGGCATATCTGATGTCCTGGATACTCTATTTTCTGGTTTTGGGGTCGTCGACAGGTTGTGGTTGTGTGTGCCCCGTGTTGGTTTGTGGCTATTATGGAATGCAAGGAACGGAGTACTTTTCAGGTTTGAATCAATGCCCACAGAGAGAAGTTTTATCTGTGCAAAGAACTATGATGCTAAATTTCAATAGACCAATTTGTTTCATCATAAGAGGCCTTCTTTGTCGGTTCATGTGAGTTTGACTTTTGTTAATTGAAAGTATGAGTGATACTCTTTCCTCCCCGGGATTTTGTCCCATGTGGTTTTCTCTGAGCAGATTTTAATGAGGCCGGTTAACATATTGATTCTCACAATGTACTGTTTTTATGGTTTTTTTTTAATGGAATATCTTTTCGTATTTTTAAAAAACAACAATGTGGACAATATATATTCATTATTTTTCATAATTAACAACATTGGTTATTAGATTAATCAACCCAATTTTTTTCACTCTAGTAAAATGGCATCTTTCAAGACCATCAAGTCTTGAGTTACAAAAACAAAGATACACCAAAACAAAATCATGCTTACAATACCCAAATGCCTAAATTGTTCAGATTATTACCAAACAAAATAACATCAAAACCTCATATATCATACTAGCCAACTAGGATCCATAAATTAAATCAGACTTACTTCAAGCACAAAGGGAAAATAGCAAAATCAAACAAATTGAGGCAAAGCACTACAGCACCAAAAAGAAAGAGATTGACTATGTATTTAATCTGACAAGTTTTAGTTGATATAAAAAATTTATTATGCATTTGCTATTATTTTATCCTTATCCGAATTAATAACATTAACAATAATCATTTGTACTCCTACACCCATCAAGACAATAGGAATAGAGTAATGCTACACTTACCACATTTATATCCCACATTTTCATACCACCTTATGTGGCAGATGAAGTGGACAATCACATCAATTAAAAAGTGTTAATAAATCATAAAAGATAAGAAAACTTTAAATTAATTTGAATTGATGTGTTGTCCACCTCATCTGCCACATAAGGTGGTATGAGAATGTGGTATACAAATGTGGTAAGAGTAGCATTATTCATAGGGATATTCCATGGCCACGTGAAGTTGTCTACCATCCTGAGTGAGACCCTTCTTTTGTTGCTTTCCATGCCTTGTAATTTACTCCATCACCTTTTGTTCCCGATGCTATATATATATTTATATTTTTTAAAGAACGAAATTCATTGAAGAAACTAGAGCAGATTACAATCATTTAAGAGGCATCCTGGATGATAGCATGGGGCCACTCATTCCAGTCAGCCAAACCATCAATAGAGAGAGATTTTAGCAAAGCGATGAGCGACATCATTGCAGTGGCGAGAAACATGGGCAACAACCCCATCAAACTGAGATAAAAGGAACTTGGCGTCCTTGTAGAGGTGGCCAAGAAAAGAAGAGTCAGTATTTTTTCCTTAAGATAGTGGTGACAGTCGTGAGAGAGTCACTTTCTAAGGCGAGCTGGGGATTACCAAGAGAAGAACCCAAACTCAAACCTTCACACACAACAAGCAGTTCAATGTGCTCAGCCCGGTAGATATGGCAGAACCTCCAAATGCGAGCATAGACGAAATTTCCTCGGCAGTCACGGACCACCACACCCACACCCCAGGCCGAGGGTGATGTTCAAGGCCCCATCAACATTAATTTTGAACCAGCCTTCCAAGGGCGCCAACCATCTCACGGGCGGTATGGGGCAGTGTGTGTGGGGGATCAAATGAACACGATGGAACTCCTAAAGCCAACTAGTAGCCTACAAAGAGACAGATGCAGGGTCAGCACGAGTACCGTCCCAAAGGTGGGAGTTGCGCTCCTTCCAAATGGCCCAAATAAGCATTAACACTAGATTGAAATCAAAAAGAGACACCTCATCAAGAACAGAGCAAAGCCAGTCCTTCATAGTAAATTCCCGTCGAGAAACACACAAACCCAAACTAGAAGCAAACCACACCGTGTTCAAAAAAAGGGCAGTCCCGCAGTGTATAAAGAGTAGTTTCTGCAGGAGTATTACAAAGAAAACATGACTGATCAATCTGAACACCCCGCCGAACAAGGTTAGAGCAGGCGGCCAAAATATTTGAGGTAGCACGCCACACGCAAATTTTAACTTTGTTTGGAACATTTTCCCTCCACAAGGTAGACCAAAGGTTACTGTAGCCGTTGGAACCACCAACATAAGTTAAAGCAGTCAAACAGTGATCCTGGAGGGAAGAGTAAGCCACATGGTAAGCACTCTTGATAGTAAAAGACCCTTTAGCATTATAATGCCAGATAAGACGGTTAGTAGGAAATCTGAGACTCAACGAGATAGACTTGATAACAAGTTGGTCCTCATGAGAGAATAACAAGGCTAAACTATCGGATTTCCATAGCCTATTGACAACATCGATCAAGTCCTGTACATGCAAATCAGCAAAAAAGATAGGGGTAGAGGAAATAACCTTAAAAGTGTTAGGTCTGGGGAGCCATCGATCCCTCCAGACACTGATGGAGCCACCATTGCCCCCCAGCCATTTGGAACCACCAACAAGCATAGACCGTGCATTAATGATGCTACGCCAACATTGGGAGGCACCAAGACCAGCCACTGCATCCCATAACGAGGTAGTAGGGAAGAATTTAGCCTTGAAGAGCATCCCAGCCAAAGAATCAGAATTGTGGATAAATCTCCAACCTTGCTTTGCAAGGAGAGCCAGGTTGTAGGCATAGAGGTCGCGGAAACCCATCCCCCTTCCGATTTAGGCCTGCATATTTTCTTCTAGGACATCCAGTGTAATTTTTTTTTAAGTCAACCAAACTACCCCACCAAAATTTGGCTAAAAGGCGTTGGAGATCTAGATGTTAGATTTCTTTATGCACAAACAAGATCTTTCACACAAACTGTAACACGTATAAAGATATGAAGACATACTTGGAGCCATCTTCCTTGAGTACACAGCTTATGAATTCATCAATCCGTAGCAGCAGAAATCCCAGCAAAGACAGGAACGGCTCAAGACTTCTGCTCTCTCTTAGAATATGTTTTAGCTCTCTCTTTATGATGATAATAGGTTTAGAGAACGTATCTTATGAGAGCAGGGCCTTTAGCTTATATAGGGCTAGGTCAAGTCTTCTCTACTCATCACCGAGGGCTGACTTGACTTATCTTCCAAGCCTACTTAATCGGTTCACGCATAAATGGAAATAAATTAAGACCCCTTAATAAGCCTCAAAACCCTTCCTTATTTCACTAGGTTTTGGGCCTCAAGGTACAACTTAATTTAAACTCTTACCAAACATGATATGACTTAGTATCTAGTGCACCGATCTAAATAAGAAAACATAATATTCTCCCACAAGATCAAGCACTAGAACACTAAGCTTCTGTATTCCGCAAGGTTTGATAATCTTTATTGGCCATGAGTTTAAAACAGTTAAGTCCTTCCCCTCAAGCTACTGTGAAAAGTGATTAAACAAAACGAACTATAAACAAGCACTGCTCTCTTTATTAAAACAGGCCATCTATAATCACATGATGCAATCTCAAAAACACATGAAGCACCTACAACACGAACCTTAATATGTACTGATTCTTAATGTGAATCTTTATGTATTTCAGTATAAGTACCCTTTTACGACTTAGCAAGAGTCAATCCGCAATGTTATTAAAACAATAGTATTTCAAAAGAGACCATAAACTCACATGCATAAACTAAAATTGCATAATAAGTTTAAACAGCTAAATAGTCAAAATGGTAGAATTTATTCAATAATGTCAACCAAATTAACATCTTTAAATGCAAATCCCTTAATCCAGAAAACAGCATAATAAAAAAAACAAACAAACTAGTAAAATATCATAACGGGAACAAGACTCCCACTAGATTGCAGCATCAAAGCTAGGAAATAGTCCCATGCTCTCAACATGTCTCAGAAAAGCTTCTGAAGGCAAAAACTTTGTGAACGGATCTGCAATCATATCTTGAGTTCTGATGTGATCAAACCTGATTAGTTTGTCTGCTACCTTCTCCCTCACTATTAAATACTTTCTGTCAATATGCTGAAGTCCAGACGACATCTTGTTGTTCATGCAGTGAAAAACAGCCGCAGTGTTGTCATTATATATATGTATTGGTCTAGAAATCGAGTCCATCACCTTAATGTCTTTAATAAAATTCCTTAGCCATACTGCATGAGAAGTGGCTTCATAGCAAGCTATGTATTCTGAAAACATGGTTGAACTCGAAACACCAGTTTGCTTAGCACTTTTCCAAGCAACAGCTGCTCCTGCCATCTTGAAAATAAAACCTGAAGAAGAGATGTAATCATCCTCCGCTTTTCCAAGATTCGCATCAGCATAACCAATAAGCTCTAAATTTTATGTGCGTCTGTAAATCAACATATAAACCTTTGTTCTCTGTAGGTACTTCAAAACCTTATTTCCAACTATCCAATGTTGCATTCCCGGATTTGACTGAAATCTCCCCATCTTACTAATGCACAAGGCTAGGTTTGGCCTTGTACACACTTGTGCATACATAATGATTCCAACTAGAGAAGCGTATGGCTTGTTCCTCATCTCATCTTGTTCTTCTTCTTTATTCTTGGGGCAATGCTCCTTCTTTAAATCTCCTTTAGCTAATTGAACTTTCTGTCCAGAACACATACTCATGTCAAAGCGCTTGAGTACTCTCTCAATGTATGTTTTCTGTGATAGGCCTAGAAGGCCTCAAGCTCGATCTCTTTGAATTTCAATGCCCAACACAAAAGCAGCTTCTCTCAAATCCTTCATCTCAAAATTATTTGAAAGTAGTTCCTTGGTGTCTTTCAGTAAATTGTGGTCATTGGTAGCCAAAAGTATATCGTCGACATATAGCACTAGAAAAATAAATCGACTCCCACACTTCTTCATATAAATGCATTGGTCAGCTATGTTCTCTTCAAAACCATAAGAGGAAATAGTTTGGTGAAATTTGAAATACCACCTCATGCTTGCTTTCTTTAGTCCATAAATTGCCTTACCAAGTTTGCAAACCATATGCTCTTTTCTCTCCTCTGCAAACCCTTCAGGTTGCCTCATATAATTTTCTTCTTCGAGCTCACCATTCAAGAATGCAATTTTGACATCCATTTGATGCAAAAGTAGGTCATATGCATCACCAAGGCCATAATGATGCGGAAAGAATCTTTGGTGGAAACTAGAGAAAATGTCTCAGTATAATCAATTCCCTCCCTCTGGGTAAATCCTTTGGCTACCAATCTAACCTTCAATCTTTCGATTCTTCCATCCTTATCCTTCTTTGTTTTGAATACCTATTTCGAGCCTACTAATTTCTGGCTCTTATGAGGTTCAACTAATTCACATACTTGATTATTTTTCATGCTTTCAAGTTCATTCAACATCGCTTCCCTCCATTTGTCTACATTCTGACTCTCCATTGCTTCTCTAAAACTTGTTGGATTAGCCTCATCTCCAATGTCAAAATCTGCTTCTTATAAGTACACATAATATGAATTTGTTGTGGATCTTCTTGGTCTGTCAGATCTCCTCGGTTGTACATGTTCTTGTGGATCATCTAGCTCAGGATTCTCAGCAGCTTGTTCTTGTGGTTCAATTGGTTCTTCAAATAGAGGATTTTCCAATACAGTTTCACATAAAGGAATCAAAGGTGTAACATCTTGTTCGGCATTCTCAATCACAGCTACATCACCTTCTTCTTCAAAAATAAAGTCTTCATTCCCAGTGGCATTCTCCTCATGCTCTATAAACTTTGCACAACCAGTCTCAACAATTCGGGTACCATAATTTGGACAATAAAATCTAAAACCCTTTGATCTTGAGAGATAACCTATAAAATGACAGCTTATCGTTTTAGGATCAAGCTTCTTTTTTTGGGGGTTATAGATTCCAGCTTCAGTCTTGCAACCCCATACATGAAGATGTCTCAGGCTAGGATTTTTGGTAGTCCAAATTTGAAAAGGTGTCTTAGGCATAAACTTGCTAGGCACTCTATTAAGTATGTAGTTTTCTGTTTTAATTGCTTCTCCCCATAGGCTTTTAAGCAAGTCAGTTTTCGAAATCATGTTGCGAACCATATCCTTTAAGGTTCAATTTTTTCTCTCAGCCATACTATTCTGTTGCGGAGTCCTTGGCGTTGCGTACTGAGCAACTATTCCATTATCCTGCAGATACCTAGCAAAAGGTCCAGCCCGTCGTCCTCATTCATCAAAACGTCCATAATATTCACCCTCTCATCGTTTTCTCAAGCTGTCTTTCTACTTTAGTTTGTAAAATCTTAAACATTTCAAAAGCTTGAGACTTTTATGCTATGGGATAAAGATAACCAAAACGAGAATGGTCATTCTATAAAGGTGATGAAATAGCGATTTCCATCAATTGTTTGATGAGGGAATGGTCCACAAATATCTGTGTGAATGATCTCTAAAAGATCACTATTGCGTGTTGCACCTTTCTTCTTAGTCTTAGTGAGTTTTTCTTTGACACATTCAATACAAATTTCGTCATCACTGAAGGTCAATGATGGCAAGATTTGTTCCTTAACTAAAATTTTCATTATGTCTCTTGAAATGTGCCCTGAACGCCTATACCATAACCTAGTGGATGTTCCTTCACTTTTAATTCGTTTCTCACTTGATTCAGCTATTAAAACCTCACCCTCTTTATTGTAATTGAGACAATATAATCCATTTGAGAGAAAACCAGTAGCAAGAACATTTGAATTATGAGATAATGCAAAGCCATCTTTATTGAATTGAAAAACATAACCAAGTCTTGATAATCTTGAAACAGAAATCAAATTCCTCTTCATTGAGGGTACTAAAACAACATCATCCAACTTTCAAATAAAACCAGAATCTAGTTTTAGCTGCACTACTCCAATGGCTTCCACATCTACTTGCTCTCCATTCCCCATGAACATTTTAACTTCATGCTTTCTTGGTTCCCTCCTTCTTGTGAATTCTTGCACATTGTGAGCTATATGAATCGAGGCACCCGTATCTAACCACCAAGAATTAGAAGGAACATCCACTAAATTAGACTCAAAACTCACTAAGGCTAATTCTTCTTTACCTTTGTTCTTGTTCTTTTCAAACCACTTCTTGTAGTTGTTGCAATTCTTCTTCATGTGACCTTCATTTTGGCAGAAATAGCACTTGAATTCAGTGGTAGGGGTCACGCCAATAGGGTTGTTCTTTTGAATCTGACTATGCTTCTTTACTCCCTATTTTGCAGCACCCTTGTTCTCATGCTTCTTGTCAGTAACCACGCTAACCACACCACCACGAGCTTTCGTCCTATTCTCCTCAAGAACAACAATTGTAATAAGATCATCCATTGTCCAATCTTCCTTCAGAGTGTTGTAGGTGGATTTCATGTGATCATAAGGCAGGGATTCCAGCGCAATGTGTACTAGATAGTTTGGGGCAAAAGGTACTTTCAACTTGTTCAATTTGGCAGTAATGTCCATGAGTCCCATGAGATGTTCTCTTACGCTGCCTCCTTCATACTTCGTATTGGCCAACCTAGACATGAGGTTCTTCGTTTCAACCTTTCCAGATTCCTTGAATTTCGTTTCAATGAATTCCATAAACTGCTTGGCACTATTTGTTTTTGGAACTCCACCAAAAAGAGCTTCTTTCATGGTCTTCTTCATAACCAACAGACAAACCTTATTCACCATCCTCCAAGCTTCATGCACCATTTTAACTTCAACACGGGAATTCGTAACTGGTTTGGTTGGCTCATCTTGGGTGATAGCATAATCGATATTACTCATGCCTAGTGCAATGTCAAGATCAAACTTCCATCGTTTGAAATTCGATCCGGTAAGAGTTTCAATTTGCGAGAAATTGATTGAGGGAGTGTTCAAAACTATAGGGATTTTCAAACAAAGCATATTACTTTCTTAGAAACCGATTCTCAATTTGTTAAGAGAAAACAATTTAACTTAATTCACAAAACTAACACAATAACACATGCAAGCGTCCTTAATTAAGTATCACACCTTTGTGGCAAGAGATTACTTATAGCTTACACAAATTACATGTTATCTTGTGCCATCACAAATAAATTATATGACAGATTTTATTTGTTAAAGAAACTTATCAAGCAATTTAGGTATGATACAATTTTCGGTTCTTTCTTTAGGGTTTGAGTATTTAGGTTTGGTTTTGTTATGAAAAGTTTGTTGATTCTTAGAAAAAAAGAAAAACATATATCTGGCTCATAAAAATAACCAAACAAAACACAATTCAACAAGGAAAAACCCTAAAATTGCAGTGAATAGTGAAAAACTGCGTGAACAATGTTTTAGGGGATTTTGGTGTCCCTTTTTGACGCAGAATAACTTTTTGAATAGGGAATGACCTAACTTACACAACTCACAGCTTAACTATGATATATAGGCATTTTTAGAGTTTTAAGGTGATCTGCTAGGTCAAAAACGTGTTTATAGTTTTGAAAATATGAAAACCAAATCAAAACAAGCTTTTCCAGATTCTTGATATTTTCATAAACATGTTTAAACCATCTTCAAAAATTAAACATAACCAAATAACTGAACATGGCATAAACAGATATGAAATCATGGTAGACATGCTTGAACAACGATGACAGATATGTGTGAACAACCTTAAGCTCTGATACCAACTGTTAGATTTCTTTATGCACAAACAAGATCTTGCACACAAACTGTAACACATATAAAGACATGAAGACATACCTTGAGCCATCTTCGTTGAGTACACAACTTCTGAATTCATCAATATGTAGCAGCAGCAATCCCAGCAAAGACAGGAATGGCTTAAGACTTCTGCTCTCTCTCAGAATCTATTTTAGCTCTCTCTTTATGATGAGAATAGGTTTAGAGAACGTATCTAATGAGAGCAGGGCCTTTAGCTTATATAGGGCTAGGTCAAGTCGTCTATACTCATCACCGAGGGCCAACTTGACTTATCTTCCAAGCCCACTTAATCGGTTCACGCATAAATGGAAATAAATTAGGACCCCTTAATAAACCTCAAAACCCTTCCTTATTTCACTAGGTTTTGGACCTCAAGGTACAACTTAATTTAAACTTTTACCAAACCTGATATGACTTAGTATCTAGTGCACCGATCTAAATAGGAAAACATAACACTAGACAGAAGGTCTTAGGCAAGAGAAAGGTTTCCATGGTGTATAGTGGCAGAGACTGAGCCACAACTTTAATAAAGAGTTCACGACTACCCCGCTCAAGAGTTTCCCCTTCCAATGAAAGTAGGAAGACCCAAGTATTTGTCGTGAAACGGCACATGGGCAACCCCAAAAAAAGAAGCCATTTGAGATTGCAGATGGGTGGGGACATTTGCACTAAAAGCAACACTCCTCTTGTGGAAATTAATCAATTCACCCTAATGGGTTACGTGACATGAGAAGAGTGCTTGATATGGAGCCATTTGTTTTTTGTGACTCTTTAGTGCTTGCTGCTGAGGAAACAAGGGACCATAAAATTTAGGGCACACCTCTATTTAAGGATGTGTTCTGGATACAAATTCATGGCATTCTACCTTTGAATATGACGGTGTCAGCTGTTTCCAAGATTAGTAATTTGATAGGGGAGGTGCTAGAAGGGGATAAATCAACAGGAAGAGAATGTATTGGTCATTTTGCTTGTGTGAGCATCTGTCTTGATGTGAGACAACCACTGATGTGTGGGACTCTTGTGGCTTCTTCTAGGGAAGAAGCACTATGGGTGGACTTCCAGTATGAGTTTTTACCCAATTACTGTTTGGCTTGTGGCTGTCTAGGGAGTCCAACCAGTCATGTGAAAACTTATCTACGGAGGAGAAAAAAGAAATAGCTAGCGGAGGAAGGAATACAAATACACAACTGTTTCTTGGACTTGAGGCATTGGAAGATTTGAGGGGTAGGAGACTACAACTTGGAGTGAGAAGATCCCCTACTTGATCTGATAGCTGGGACAAACCAAAAACGAGGCATTGATGGTCAGGAAGAAGATAAGGGAGATCAGATGGAGAAGGCAGCTAGCATAATCAGGCTTAGAATGGTGACAATGAGTGGCGATGTACACCGGGTTCAGCAGGCAATGAAACTATAGAAGTGGAAGACATAACCACATCGCCCTTAAAACCTAGGACCTCACTGGATGGGGGTCAACATGCTGGAGGAAGTATGACAGAGTTTATTGGGCAGCAAAGAGAGGAAGCGAAGAAGATGAGAAGTAGAGGAAACTCAGAGAAGCAGCTTATAATGTGGTTTTTTTAAACCTGAGAAGTAATAATGGGAGAGGTCATCCTGAGAAAAAGAAAATAAGTGATGAAGGAGAGATCCAAATTTCAACGAATGATGGTGCGGAGATTAACCTCAATATCATAGCGGATCCTGACACCCCTCTTAGTGGGGCCAGAGAGTCGATGATGAAGATGCAGGAAGTACCACAAGTGCAGATAGAGGAGGAACAAATGAGAGCTTTTTTATTATTTATAATCATTGTACGAAAGGGACAACGACAGAAGTGGAAGGAACTGGTTAGTGCCGAAAAAAGAAGCCTAGAGGTGGAGAAGCGGGTACGTAGGGAGCCAATAGAGATTGGGGTGGAGCTTGGTTTGCACTTGAGGAACACTATCATGGAGAATATGTATGATTGTGAAACTGGTATGGCAGTAGAGATCGGCCAAAATGGGTCTCCACGATCACCATGAAACTAATGGTTTGGAACTGTCAGGGTATTGGGAGTGCTCAGACAGTATCCACACAAAAGGAGCAACTCCTAACATATTGGTGCTTATGGAAACCAAGAACAGAAGTAGCCGTTATGTTTATTTGAAAAAAATAATTGGGTATGAACTTTAGGCATGCTGTGGAACCGCATAGGATTGGGGAAGGTCTTTGTATGTTTTGGAAGGACCCGCATATGGTTTTGCTAATTAAATACTCAACTTTCTTTATTGAGGTGGTGGTTCAAGATGAGGAGAAAAAATGGAAGTGGAGATTCTTTATAGTGTATGCGAGTACAGAGGACAGAGTTCGTAGGACACAATTCTGTATTCTAAGGGAGTGAATCCAAAGTTGTTAGGATGCATGCTTAGTAATGGGTGATTTTAATGATATCCTCACAACAATGGAGAAAGAAGGGGGAATTCCCCGGACTGATCATGAGTAGAGTTTAATGGGTTTTCGAAGCTTTGTGGCGGATTGTGATCTTATAGATTTGGGTTTTGTGGGGCACCCTTTTACGTGGAGGAACTGTAGAATGGATGGCCATATTTAGGAACGGCTGGACCGAGGACTATGGTCTAGTCTATGGCTACAGATGTATCCTGATGCAAAAAATCACCCACCATATGGTACCCGGATCTCACCATGCATTGTTACTCCTGCAAACTGTCACCCCACTAAGGCAAAGGACAAGCATATTTATTTATGATCCTCAATGGGGCACGGATAACGATTGTCGTACCATAATTGTAGAAAGATGGCAAACAATTTTTAATGGTTCTCAGGGGAACGGGTTTTCTAGAAACTATGATGGGTCAAGAGAGGGTTGCTAGACTAGAGAAGACAAGAATGGAGAAACTCGAAAGTACGGATTGAGGAATTAAGGGGGGTAGCTGAATGACGCATACCAACAAAATGTTTATATGATGGGACAAAAGTTCGACATATGGAAGGTGAACTTTCTACTGCAATTAAGGAAGAGGAGATTTACTGGAAGCTCAAATCTTGAGTGTAATGGCTACATGAAGGGGATAAGAATACCAAATTATTTCACTCAAAAATGATGGCACGGAGACGTTTGAACCAAATGTATGGATTAGAGGACCAACGTGGAATTTTGAGGTAAGGTGAACATGAGATTAATAATATTGCTACCAATTATTTTACGGAAATTTTCTCTACAAGCAACCCCGCAACTATTCATAAATCACAGATTGTGCGGCCAAGCATGCGACAGTGGCACATAAGGAGATGCTGGATAAGATGGTGACTGAGGATGAAATAATTTCGGTCATGAAGGAATTACACCCAACTAAAGCCCCTGATGGTTACACATGTAGTTTTTATTTTATTATATATGTATATATATTATAGAAATATTGGGATGTTGTTGAAAAGGACGTAATTGACATGGTGCAAGGTTTTTTCCATACTGGAAGGATGACAAGGAAAATAAATCAAACACATATTGTGCTCATTCCAAAGGTCCCCAATCCGAGAAAAATGACTCAATAGCGACCCATATCTTTATGCAATATTCTATACAAACTTATTTCTAAAGGGTAAATTACTCAAATGGTCCTCAAACTTATATCCGACTTATATTTTCGTCCCTCAATTAAATTATTCATTCAAATGTTCCATCAACTCTATATTATTCACTTCATTGGTCCCACCGTCTAATTTTCTGTTAGATTTAACCAAATTTTGGGGTAAACATGACTTTTCATAATTAACAAATAAAAATAAGGTTAAAATAAATACAAAATTAGAAAAAATTGAAGAAAAGGAGGAAGAATAGAAGAAGAAGAAGAAAAAAAACCTAGCCAGCTGTCAGATTGGGAGGAAGAAGAAGAAGAAGGAGAGAGAGAGAGTTGATGGACGAAATGACCAATTTGCCCTCATATTTAATAGAAATATTGACAAAATGTAACGGTAGGACCAATGGAGCGAATTTTTGCCATGTCCCACACATCTCCCTTCTTGTTTCTTCTTTGTGCGGAGGGCTTATCTGCAACGATCAATAGTTATGAGGAACGTGGGGATATCTGGGGCTTCCGATTTCATCTGAGAGGTACAAGCATAACTCATCTATTCTTTGCGGATGATTTTGTCTTGTTCTGTAAGGCAAGAGCAGAAAAGGTGGCATGTTTCAAACATATTTTGAAATGCTATGAGGAGGGCTCAGGCCAATGTATAAATTTAGAGAAAAGTTTCATTTTATTTAGCCATAATTGCCCCCAAAGAACTCAACAAAAATTGAAAACTATTTTGAGGGTGCAACAGTGCAATGATTTTGGTAAATATTTGGGCTTACATGCAGACTTTGGGGCTTCAAAAAAAGCGGTTTTTGATGAGGTGCAGAGGAAAATTAGGGTGAAACTCAACAGCTAGTTAGAACAGTTTCTGTTTCAGGCTGGGAAAAAGATCATGATTAAGGCAGTAGCCATGGCTATGCCGAACTTTTGCCATGTCCTGCTTTAAATTACCGTTTAGTTTATGTAAAGAAATTGAACAGGACATTGCTAAGTATTGATGGAAGAGTAACAAAGATTTAAAAAAAAGGCACTCATTGGGTTAGCTGGCAGAAGCTTAGTGCCATGAAAAAGGCATGTGGTATGGGTTTTCGAGACTTAATGGGTTTCAATCTTGCTATGCTTTCCAAATTAGGATGGAGAGTTGTGCAACATCTTGAATCATTACTTGTTGTGGTTTTGCATGACAAATATTTCTTTGGAAAGGTCTTCCTGTCTGCTCAGGGGTGGTAAGGCATGTCGTGGGGCTAGAACGAGCTGATTCAAGGGCGGAGAATTTTGGAGTTTGATGTACGATGGAGAGTTGGTAATGGGGAGAAGATTCAGGTGTCTCGTGACAGGTGGGTTCCTATTCCGTGGTATTTCAAGACCACAACGAGGCACCCCAATTTGCCTAGGATGGTCCATTAACTTATTGACTACACACCACTGGAAACAAGAGGTGATCAGTGATTGTTTTAACCAGAAAGAGGCACAAAGTATACTGGAAATGGCCATTAGTTGTAGGAACTATCCAGCTAAACTGATATGGCATTTTACCAAAACTAGGAGCTATACTATCAAGTCTGGGTATGAGGTAGCATCGAATTTACAGCGAAATGGCGAGTTGGGGTGAAAAGGTAAGGGAGAGTGTAGTAAATAAGGGACACAATGGAAGCTCTGGTAAGCGATATGGGGGATCAAAGTGCCAAACAAGTTAAGATCGTTCTTATAGAGGGCCTGTGTAAATTTTCTTGCAGTTCAGGCTAATCTATGCCGAAGGCATATCGATGTGGAGGATTTCTGTGCTTGATGTGGACGATAAAATGAGACACATGAACACATATTGTTTCAGTGTGATTATGCAAGAGTTTTCTAGTTTGCCACTCCCTTCTAGCTCCAAGGGGGATTTTTTGGCCTGTTAGAGCAAGTCCACCCTTGCTTCAAAACCGGGCAAAAGGCAGCCCGGGGGGAAAGGAAGCAGCTCCAGCGCGCAAGGACCAGCCCTGGCAAGAGCTGGGTCCCACGAGCCCAGGCAAGCCCGTGGGCAAATTCAGCTCGAGCTGCTGCCAGGGCAAACTGATGCAATGCTGACGTCATAATGACGTCAGCAACCCAAAAAAAAGGAAAAAAAAACAAAAAATTCTAGATTTTTTTTAAATAAATACCTAGGCATATTCTTTACTTCCCACACCAAAAACTATATACAAATTCATCTCCTCATTTCTCATATGAATAGTATTTGCCTTAGACTTGCTCTAGACTTAGCTCTCATGAGTGGAAGCACAAATGCAAAGGCTGCCACTATTCACGTGAATAGTGGCAGCCCTTACTTGCCCTTGCCTTAGATTTAGCCCTTGTGGGTGGAAGTGCTCTTAGGAGGAGGTGCTGAAACAGTTTGGTTGATATGAAAGAACAACGGAGGCTTTGAGAATGGTTGTGGTGGGATTGTGGCGACTTTGGAAAAGTAGAAAGAAAGGGGTTTTTGAAGGGACACATGTTGATCCTATGGAGACTCTTCAGACATTTTTCGCTCAATGCCAGGAGTGTCAAGAGATGCTTGATTCCCAGGCTCCTCAGTTTGGTGATCTTCCTGGACCACCTGAGGAAGTGCACAAGGTTTAGGAATGGTGGAAAACACCACCAGCTGGAGTGATCAAAGCCAATTCTGATGATGCTTGGAAGGCATAGAATAGAAAATGTGGTATTGGCTGGGTTATCATAGATGATTTTGGTTGGATGGTTCAGGGGGATGGTGTTAAGATTTTTGAGGGACGGACCCTTGGCCCAATACTAGCAACATCGATATTGTCCTTAACTTAACCACCAGTTTAGTAGGTATGAGGTTTTATACAAAAGGCCTCGATGTTGTTAGGAGTGGAACCATTTATTATATGAGACTTTCTATTTTGTTAAGTTTCTTATGTGGGACTCGTGTATTCTTCAATAGTCCTCCTCATGTGGGACCATTTTTTAGTGGGCCACATGTGCAATCAATTCCACATCAGTCACTTTTTTTTTCCTTCTTTTTTTTTAAAAAAAAATTTTGGGTTTGTTTGATTTTGATTCAATTTGGGGTTTTTGTTTGATTTGGGTTTAATCGGGCCTAGTCAACCAACCTGTTCTAATACCATGTTAAGATTTTAGAGAGACGGACTTTTGGCCCAATACTAGCAACATCGATATTGTCCTCAACTTAACCACTTGTTTAGTAGATGTGAGGTTTTATTCAAAAGGCCTTGATTATATGGGACTTTATATTTTGTTAAGTTTCTGATATGGAACTCATGTATTCTTCAACATATGGTATTGGTAATATGATGGCAAGTTCAGCTCTGATGATGAAGGTTGAGGCCATCCGCAAAACCTTGAAGGTCTGCTCTGGAAGTGGGTATGGTAAAATAGAAATTGAATTTGACTCTTTGAAAGTAGTTCAAATGCTTTCTGGTCAGAGACAACCTGATGCGGATGTGGAAGGGATCATCTATGATGTACTGATGTTGACGCAGACAGTCTAGCAGGTGACTTTCCTTTACACACCGCAGAATTGCAATAAGATGGCTCACCAAGTCGCTGCCTATGCATTTCGTAATGGGGATTGTTTTAGTTGGGGTCAACTTGGCCGCAATGGCTATTTAATTTCCTTGCACTGGATGTAAACGTTTATATCCGCTTTTATTAAAGTTTGTTTTCGACTTTGGAAAAAAAGAAGAAAGGAAACTGTCATCAGCAAATAAAATGTGGTGAACCTTAAGAACATCATGACAAATAGCGATACCAGATAGCTTTCCTTCACGATCATGCTGGGTAATCAAAGAAGAGAGGCGTTCAACACACAGAAGGACGAGTTAAGGGGAGAGTGGGTCCCCCTGGAGGGAAAAAGACGCCTATGAGGCTCACCATTAATGAGAAAAGAGTAACTAACAGAATTGTTAAATTTAATACACACTTAAAGAATATAGAAAAATCTAGAAGAAATTAGAAAGCTCAAGAAAGTTCACTAACTTTGACAAAGTCAAGTTTTAAGATATGATTATTGTAAACTCGATAAAAATCTTAATAAAAATCTTGTAATAAAGTAATAATATTATAAAGTAGTGAGGTGAAGAAGCCAAGTCCACCGACTTGGACAATGGCGGCAGCTTTAGTGTATAAATAGATGTTGTTGTCTCTTGTACAAAGCCAAGAAAGTGAGAGAAGGCCAAATAGCCAGCAAAGAGAGAGAATAGGCCAATAAGCCTAGCAAATAGTTTCTAGTTGTTGAAGGCCAATAAGCCTCTATAAAGCCTTGTATTCATCTATTGTTGAATAAATAAAATCACTCTTTTGTTCTCAAAAAACCCAACAAGAATAAACACAAGCCATGATCAGTTTGACCCACGTATGACCAAGCCGCAACATAAGCGCTTCAAGAAACCCCCATTCAACTCTATCAAAAGCCTTGCTAAGGTCCAACTTGAGGGCCAAAAAACCCGTCTTTCCAAGACGCTTATTGTGGAGAAAATGACCAATCTCAGAAGCCACAGGGTGTTGTCAGGAATGAGACGACTAGGAACAAAAGCACTCTAAAAAAGGGAGATCATTTTTTTTACGACCATGGCTTTAAACGGTTAGCCAAGACTTTCTTGCCAATTTTGTAAATGGCATTACATAATCTAATAAGACGCATCTGGGACAAGTTCACCGGATCCTTGACCTTGGGAATCAGAGTCGAAATTGACCTCATTCAATAAACGACTCGAGGAGAGAAAAAAGATGACAGCAGAGGTCACATCTGGACCCACAATATGCCAGTATTGTTGGAAGAAGAGTGGGGACAACTATCGGGGCCAGGGGATTTGGATGGGTGCATCTGGATTCTGGAATAAGGCCTCACGAATTTCTTCTTGGGCGTATGGCTGCATCAGAGATAAGTTCATCTCTACTGGGACACAAAGGGAAATAACAGATAAGGTATTCTGTAGAGCACTACAGAGAATGCCATGGGAAAGGAAAATATCACCAAAGTAATTTAGGACAGTAGCTTCAATCCCAGCAGGGTCTCTTGCCAAACGCCCACAGAATCAAAAGCCCCTTGATACTGCTGTGGTTTAGTGAGCTGATTGATGTAAGAAATTTCACTGAAAATGGGCAAGATATTTATTTTAGAATGGCAGCATCAGAACTAGGTATCAGTCATTTTTAATCTCAAAAGTCAGTGTGTTAATGCAAATTTTAAAGAAAACAAGAGAAAAAAAGAAACATCTTTGGATATGGAACAGTCAATTGGGAGTTATCCATCTCTTCATGATCATGTACAAAAAGTAAGGTCAAAACATATCAAACCCAAAGGTTGTTACTCTATAATTTTGGATTTGGACACAATTATCAAACTCTACTTTCAAAATTCGTCTGTTAAAATCAATGGATGATAGACATTACAGAAGTTTTTTTTTTCTTTATCAATATCTAACTTCTCACTCTTTTTTGCTTTCAAATATATTTCCTGCCTAGATCATGAAGACCATACAACAATCAGTGCTAAACCTGCTAAACCCAATTTCCGCCCCGGGGGGTTAGACCACTTGGGTTATATTTTATAGTCTCATTGAATGTGAAGAAAGTAAGAATCATAGTAGGCAGTATTGTGTCATCTCCTGGGCTCCTCCTGGTGTAGCTCTGTTTTTTCTAATGTTTGGAAGAAGCAGCACCAGATAGATGGTAAGTTGTTTTCTAGTCTTCTTTGGAAAATAGAGAGCAACTTGGTTATTTGAAAATTTAACTACAATGGCCTATTGCGATATAGATGACATGATGTTAGAATTGAAAAAAATAAGAAATGTGTGTTAAATTATAGGATAGCACCTCCCAATTGGAGATGCTCTTATTGGTACTTCTCTTGGGCATTTGTCTATTAAAGTCAAATGTGGGGTTCATCTCTTCTACTCTTTTTTTTTCCCCATTTGGCAACTCACTTAAGTATTAACTTGAGGGGGAAAAAAAAACTGAAAGAGAGAAAAGATAAGAAGAATTAAAACAAGTATACAATTCAGAAAATTGCAGCTTCCTTTGAGTTGATTTGGTATTTGATTCTGGAAGACTAACCAAGTGAGTGGATGACCACAAATGATTTAGATTTTTCTACTAGAGGAACGCTCCTAATTGTCAATTGTCAGGCAAGACACCATCATTCTTGAACTAAATTTGAAGTAAGCCCACTTTTGATTGAAGAGAATTTTCTCCATTTCACACTGGAGAGAGTGATGTTTATTTGCATTCAATTACGCATCTAAATTTGGTATGACGTGCATCGATATTGTCGATAATGCATCAGTAACGTGTTTACATTGATAATTGATATTGTGTCAAAACGAATTCTACTCCAAGCTACAGTGAAGGGGGATCCCTTATGAGAAATTCATCCTATTTATCTGTCCTTGAAACTTTAGTAATTTGTCTCCCCACTATTCAACTCTAGTATTGAAAGGTTACTAATTGTCTTCCCAGCTACTCAACTTAACTATATACTGTAGGCTTCTACTTTCTAATCAAGTATTGCCAATGCTGCTAATTGTGAAATTTTTTAAGGTCAGAGAGTTACAGACAGAGCTTTACCAAATTAATACAATTATCTTCTAATTAGAGTCAGACTCTGCATATATAGTGCAGATTAAAAGAAACACACCCCTCACTAGTTCATCAGGTGTATTCAAGTTGAGCAGCCCTGGAATTCTTGTCTCTGTCGACCATAAGAACACTACAGGCCTTCCAACACATCAAGTTCTGCACAGAATCCAGTGGCACAACTTTTGGATTCCAGAAATCTTGTTGTGATAGATGGCAATGGTCATAATGACCCTGATAATATTTTATGGTAGAGTTTTGATTACCCAGGTGATACATTAATACCAGGTATGAAGCTTGTTAGGAACAAAATCCCAGGTTTTAATTGGCATTTTACACCCTGGAAAAGCCCCCAGGATCCTTCTCAAGGACATTATGCATATCAACTTGGTCCTTATGGATACCATGAATTAATTCTGAGGGAGGGTTCTGTTATAAAATATCGGACTGCACCATGGAATGGAATCCAATTTAGTGGGATGCATAATTTAAATCCAACATATGATTTTGTGTTGGATAATGATGATGAAGTATATTATGGTTATAAACTTCTAACAGCTCAACTCTTTTCAGGTTGGCGTTAACTCAAGATGGATTTGGGCTGTGCTACATCGGGAGTGATGGCAACCGAGGTTGGGTCGTTTATCTAATAGTAAAGACTGATATCTGTGACAAATATGGAATATGTGGTCCGAATGGTGCATGTAGTATTGACAAGTCCCCAGTATATAGCTGCTTGAAAGGATTTATAACGAACTTTCAACAAGACTGGGACTTGGTGGATTGGTCATATAGCTGTGTGAGAAAGAGCCAACTGAATTGCAGTGGAGACATCTTTAAGAAGTACTCTGGGGTGAAATTGCCAAGTACAGAACAATCCTGGTATAACACAAGTATGAACCTCAAGGAATGTGAGATGATGTGCATGAACAACTGCTCCTGCACCGCTTTTTCAAATTTGGATATCCGAGATGGAGGAAGGGGGTGCTTGCTGTGGTTCAGCGATCTGGTTGATATAAGATATTCCAATATAAATGGGCAAGATATTTACATAAGAATGGCTTCATCAGAACTAGGTATGGAATCATCTTGCTGTTTAAAACAAAGTTTGAAAGAAAAATAAAAGCCACCAAGGAAAAAAGAAGAAAGAAATCTTCCAACAGTGACATGATTAGAAACAAGATAAAGCCAGAAAACTTTTGACATTATTAGAAAAATATTTCTTTAGAATTGTCTCAGAAACTAGCATTAATTGTTCGTTGGATGATAAAAAGTACAGATTTTTTTCTTTATGAATTTCTTACTCCTCAATCTTCTGCTTTCAAATACTTCATTCCTAGATCAAGGACACAATACAAAGATCATAGTAACCAGTACTGTGTTGTCTACTGCACTGCTGATCCTGGGCCTAACCCTGCTATTATATGTGAGGTCTCTTCTGCCCCCTCCATTTTCTAAGATAGGTAGGTTCAGTTCTATAGAAAAATTTTGCTGTTGCCTCTCTGGTTTCTAAGCTAAGGTTCCATGCTACATTATTTACTTCACTACATACTTCACAGGAGAACTGAAGCCCGGCCAAAAGGAAGATCTGGAATTACCATTATTTGACTTGGCCACTGTTGTTTGTGCAACCGAAAACTTTTCAAACAACAATAAACTTGGAGAAGGTGGTTTCGGATCAGTCTTTAAGGAAAAATCAAACATAGTCCTCCCCACAATTAAATTTGACAGTTTCCACATGTCATTTGGGTCAGGACTATGGATACAAGTCGTATATTGAACGTCTGCGAACAAAAGAGTATGGATTTTGGTCATCATATGTGGCTAATGGATTTCAGGGTACATTAAAAGATGGACAAGAAATAGCTGTGAAAAGGCTCTCAAAACATTCTACACAAGGACTCAATGAGTTGAAGAATGAGGTTACACATGAAGAGAAACAGAGGATTTCAATGAGTTGAAGAATAGGTGAGTTGGTGCTAGAGATAGCGAGTGGGAAGAGGAACAAAGGATTTACTCATTACTTGTTTCTGTTTCTTCTTTTAATTAAGCACAACAGTTTTGAACTTTTGAGGAATTCGTTTAGGCATGGATGCTATACACAGAAAGCGGGTCCATTGAAGTGCTTGATACATCAGTAGGGGACTCCAGTGATCCACATGAAGTTGTGAGATCAATTCATGTAGGTCTTTCAAGTGTGCAGCGTAACCCGGCAGATAGACCGAGCATGCCAGCTGCAGTTGTAATGCTGAGTGGTGAAGGGTAATTGCCTCAACCTCAAAAACCTGGTTTTTATAATGAAGGGATCTCAATGAACTGGAAGTCGATCCTTCTTCTAAAGCATTTTCAGTTAATGCAGTCACAGTCCTTTTACACTAATGGAGGCTCGATAAACAATATTTCATGTTGGTGTGTTAATTTGGTGCTTTTGAAGTCAGTTTGAAAAGTTAAATATAATTAAGAGATTCCCAACCCATGCGTTAGCAAATGCACCCTCTAATTTTTTTTATTTGTTTCCTTCGGAGTTGAGGTGGATTTCACACTACAGAAACACAGATGCTGATACAAGAACAAATATAAAAGCTTAAATGAATTAGATTTTTCACTTGAGGCGGTGTAATATTTCAATTTTTTTTTCTGTTCTTTAGTGGGTTGGTTTTGTGTTCCTACGCAAGAGGAGGAGGAGACAAATCTTTCATATATATTTTTTTCTATCAACAAACAAGAGGGCATGATCAAATGTGAAAATCTATAACAGAAATGCAATATCCAAATAATGAAAAGCAGTCCAACCAAGAAGAACCATCAAAGAATGAATATCGAATGCATAAAGATTTATCAAGTTTCAAGCAAGAAGAACCAAACCAATCAATCTATTGCTTAACCAAACCAGAAATAAATCGTCAGAATTTGAGATTGGGACCTAAAAACCGAACCTTGTTATTGGAAAGAACATAGAAACTCCATGATAGGATAGCTTCATCATTTCCTTCCACTGAAGACAGACACCAAGTCAGCAAATTTTGTATTTTTTTTCTTCTGCGCCAGGCCGTCAATGCGAAGAGAGAAGAGAATAAGACGGAGCTGGGAGAGGGAGGAATTGTCGTAGTTGTCATTGGTGTGGTGAGGTGAACATGTCGTTTGGGAGAGAGCCTAGAGAGGAGAATAAGGCGGGAAACAGGGAGAGGAATGGAATTAGATGAATTAAGAGTCTCATGATCTCTTCTTCTATGGACTTGACTTGTGCTTGCTTCGGCTTCCCAATCTCAATCTCAAGCTCAAATTTGTAGCTAAACTTTTTCAATTTCGGGTTTCAGACTTTCAGTCAATCGCAGTGTTCGAAAAATCGGTCTAGGCGGTCGGCTAGGCGGCTAGGCGGGCTCTAGGCGGCTGGCTGGCCTCCTAGGCGGGTTGGGTCTTTTTGGGTGCCGAACTCGGAGGAGGAAGCAGCGGAAACCGAAGAAAACAAATCGAAGCTCGAGTTGATAGAGAGGCGAAATGGCTGTGACTGCGTCTTCAAGCTCCGTCCCCAGCGAGTGCAAGCTTCGTGTTGGATTGGAATATATTTACAGCGTATAGCCGAGCGGCTATACTCTGAAAATATTCGAATTTATTAATATTTAAAGAGTATAGCCGCACGGCTATACGATTAAAAGATCCTATACTCTTAAAATATTCTAATATATTAATATTTAAAGAGTATAGCCGCCCGGCAATACGTTTAAAAGATTCGAATGTTTTAGAAAGTACAGCCGCGTGGCTATAACTTTTTAAATATACAATTTTGTCATATCATTTTAGGGTTTAGGGCTAAAATACCACTTTAGCCTATTAGGCTAGAGTTATTTCTTCAATTATTTTATTTGTACATGCGATATTGGGGAATGAGAATTTAAATTATTTCTTATACCTCTCATTCTAATGATTTCCAGTTATTAGCCCATTGGGCAAAAATAAAAAATGAATTTTATTTCTAACAAATAATACACGTTAAACCCAAGTACAACCTTTTTTTCTTATTGCCCTTGACAACACTGCTATTCTGCTATGAGATATATCAGTTCGCGTTGTATTCTATATAGATGAAAAATTGGATATAAAACAATCTAACGAGACAACGAAGAGAAGTTTGCAGCTCTATTTTGAAATTAATTGAAGGTATCAGAGGTCATATGACATTGATATATGAATTATTCTAAATGAGAATTCAAACAACATGTGTTAGATGAGAAGTAGCATCTCATTTTTAAATATAACATATTATTTCATTTGTCTACTGGTTGTGCCTGTTGTTAAGCTGGTGCAACCAAAATTCTTTCACCAAGAAATTTTTCCTGAACTTCAAAAAAATTTAGTTAGGAAAATCTTTGGTGAGAAGGGAAAGTTAAGATAGAAATAGAGGCAGAGGCAAGGCCTGAAGAACAATTGTGAGCACATGTGATATTACAGAAAATGTAGCGAAGGAATTTAGAATGGCCATTTTCCAAATTAAGAACACATCTTATAATGAAATCAAGATAGGAACTTATAACAAGCCCTCATTAGAGTAACATTGTCCAAAAACACACGATGAACACCACACCACACCACACTCAACACACATAATTGCTCATTAGTGTTGTAAATATAACAAAGATGAGATATCGCTTAGTACACTCAAATAGTTCTTCATTCCTCGTCGCCCAAATCATTGAACGCATTGTGCAAATCATTGGGCATTTCATCCCGCATCTCCTCCACATGCAGATGAAATGAGCATCCATCAACAGGAAGAACAAAATTGTCCATACCATGAAGAAATTCAGGAAATTCAAAACCCTCACACATAAATTTACTAATATGAGACACAAGCTTTGATATTTCATCGTCGTTCTCATCAAAACCAAAACAATCTTTGGGGTCCAACATCACCAGATCTTTGCATTCGTGCAGCAACGTGACAAGACCATCCCCATTAACTTTTGCACCCTTCAAATTTAAGTACTTGATATTAGGCACCAACTTCACAATTGACAATGCCGCACGCCCATGAATAGTGCCTTTGGACAAATCTAAACCATAAAAATTCTTGCAATGTGTTTGTATAATTGCAAGTATTTTCGCCAAATTTAAGCATGAACCCAATGATAACACCTCCAAATTTTTCCACTTGCCAATCAGCTCTGGGTTCGTGTGTTTGCTGTCCAATAAATTTACTGGTAAACTCGATGTCACAAGGCGAGGACACCTGCACACATTCCAGAACAACAAAAATGCTACATTTACATTTACAAGGAAAATTAAACTGGGTATACTTAAGGGTTTTGAAAATTAACTTGTTTTGTTAAACAAGTGAAAATGAGAAAACTTACACATTGCAGCAAATTCAAAGGCTTCTACTATGCAGCGTTTGGGAAGCTTGAGCACAGTAGCGTTTCCGCTGCTCCGATTAATCACAAACTTTAGAAAAGCGATCCCCATCAACTTGATATTCACTTACAAATCTGTCCATAAGATTTTGAAAATTTGGACATTCAGACACATCCCAAGGCGAGACTGCCATACATTCTTTGTCTGGGAAAATGAGAGATTGCCAGCATGAAGGATTGAGGGTCGCCTTGTAGTACCATGACTTGCACACAAAAGGGACATCCAAAAGCAGTGACTCCATTCCAACTTTCTCCAACACTTTGACCAAGCAGTCCATTTCTAAGTCCTCCCATCTTTGTTCATCCATCTGCAACAACGATTTAATATAATTACATATGTACACAATAAGTTAATTAAACACCAAATTAAATGAAAACAAAACCATAAATTTCAAAAGAATACAAAGAAACCTGGGAAAACAATCATCCTTTTCCTATATAATAAGAACAAACAAGAGAATTAATTGATGGAGTGTTGGATAATTGTTCATTCAACAAGTACTTTCTGCATTCCAACAGCAAAAAGTAAGAAACTAGTTACTAGTCCAGCAATAATATAGCGCAACTACATCACAAAGACGAAATTCTAGTATTTCCTTTTGTAAAAGCAAGTAGGGCCCTTTTTTTTAACCAAAAGCAAGAGACTCTTTGGCACCATCTGCTAAGCTAAAGCTAAGAAGGAATTACCAAAGCAAGAAAGGCCATAATTGTCCTATCACCAAACAAATCATCCTTATTTATTTTGGGTAAAGAAATCATCCTTATTTAAGCTTCTCCTTCCTCCCCGTTTTGTGTTTTTAATCGATTTCATCACTGTCTTCCATTTGATGCTGCACAAAGTCATGAAGTAACAAGGATTTGATCATGAGAAGCAAAAATATATAAGTTTAGGGGCATCATCTATAATAAGGTAAGAAATCATTTAAGCAACAATAAAATTATTTTTATAAGTAACGTTATATACAGTGGTTTTGATGAAGTTACCTCCTCAGCAGTCTTCTGCTTGTGAATGTGGTCGTTCTAAAACAAAATTATTAATGATTCAGGATCCAGGGAACGGTGGTACACAAAGCATCAACCAGTTTCTATAGCTTTGTACTTCTTTTGATCCTGAAGAAAACCTTACTTTCATCCTACAAGTGGAAACATAAAATCACAAGACTAGAAATTGCAAGAAAAATCATGATGCTAGATTGGTCCAAGAGCCTTGACATTATTAATGGAATTGCTCGGGGGCTCCTCTATCTTCATCATGTAGGTCTTTTAAGCGTGCAGCGTAACCCGACAAATAGGCCGAGCATGCCAGCTGCAGTTGTAATGATGAGTGGTAAAGGGTCATTGCCTCAACCTCAAAAACCTGGTTTTCATAGTGAAAGGGATCTCAATGAACTCAAAGTCGATCATTCTTCTAAAGCATGCTCAGCTAATGAAGTCACAGTCCTTTTACACTAATGGAGGCTCGATAAACAATATTTCATGTTGGTGTGTTAAATCTATAACAGAAATGCAATCCAACCAAGAAGAACCATCAATGGATGAATATCAAATGCATAAAGATTTATCAAGTTTCAAGCAAGAAGAACCAAACCAATCAATCTATTGCTTAACCCTACCAGAAATAAATAGTCAGAATTTGAGATGGGGGCCTAAAAACCGAACCTTGTTATTGGCAAGACCACAGAAACTCCATGATAGGATAGCTTCATCATTTCCTTCCACTAAAGACAGACACCAAGTCAGCAAGTTTTGTATTTCTTTCTTCTGCGCCATGCCATCAATGCGAAGAGAGAAGAGAATAAGGCGGAGTTGTCAAAGGGAGGAATTGTCGTCGTTGTCGTTGGTGTGGTGAGGTGAACATGTCGTTTGGCCAAGAGAGAAGAGAATAAAGCGGGAAATAGCGAGAGGAATGGAATTAGATGAATTAAGAGTCTCATGATCTCTTCTTCTATGGACTTGACTTGTGCTTCACTGCTTCAGCTTCCCAATCTCAATCTCAAGCTCAAATTTGCAGCTAAATTTTTTCAATGTCGGCTTTCAAACTTCCAGTCAATCGCAGTGTTCGAAAATTCGGCCCAGGCAGGCAGCTAGGAGGCTAGGCGGGCTCTAGGCGGCTGGGCGGGCCTCCTCCTCCTATTGGGTCTTTTTTGTGTGCCGAACTCGGAGTATGAAGCAGCCGAAACCGAAGAAAACAAATCAGAGCTTGAGTTGATAGAGAAGCGAAATGGCTGTGACTTCGACTGCAAGCTCCGTCCTCTTCGACCTCTTCAAGTGCAAGCTTCGTGATATATTTAAAGAGTATAGCCGCACGGCTATACTGTGATTTAATATTTCAAGCGTATAGCCACACGGCTATACTTTCAAATATTCTAATATATTTGGCGAGTATAGCCGCCCGGCTATCCCCTTTAAATATACAATTTTGTCATATCATTTTAGGGTTTGGGGCTAAAATTCCACTTTAGTCCATTGGGCTAGAGTTATTTCTTCAATTATTTTATTTGTATAAGTGATATTGGGGAATGAGAATTTAAATTCTTTCCAATACCTCTCATTCTAATGACTTCTAGCTATTAGCCCATTGGGCAAGAATAAAAAAAAAGGATTTTATTTATAACAAATAACACGGGTTTAACCCATAAATACAACAACAAAATAGGGATCCATCAACATTTTGTGGATCAAAAATTGTTGAATTTCGTAGTATAAAATTGCTTGTATAAGAATTTACTTTCTAAAATGTCCATCGTAGTTATGAACTAAACCCAATTACTGTATTTTTCTCATTGCACTTGACAACCCTGCTCTTCTACTATATGATATATTAGTCTGCACTGTATTCTATGCAGATGAAAAATTGGATACAAAACAGTCTAAAGAGACAACGAAGAGAAGTTTGCGACTCTGTTTTGAAATAAATTGAAGGTATCAAAGGTCATATGGCATTGATATATGAAGTATTCTAAATGAGAATTCAAACAGCATGTGTTAGATAAGAAGTAGCATCTCATTCTTACATATACCATACCCACGTGCACCTGAAATTCCCAATGTGAAGAGGGGAGAAAAGTGCAATACCTCATTTGTATCTCGCAAGCGTAGGAGATCCAACCTTTCATGAGGATGTCAATTTGATAAAGAAGCAAGCTGCATCCAATCATACATTAATACCTGCAATCACAGCCCACAATATACTCAATTTTAATAAAGAGAAATATAAAGTTACCTAGAAGCTGAAGCGCTCAGGATCTTGTAGTGAAGGCATCATCACTTGAATTGAATTGTTGGCTTCCTAGTTGTCGTGGAACTCCAACAATTTGACAGCTTTTACATGTCGGTATTTTATTTTTCAATTTCGAGTTTCAGACTTTCAGTCAATCGCAGTGTTCAAAAAATTGGCCTAGGCGGGTGTTTGCCGGCTAGGAAGCTAGGCAGGTTCAGCCTTTTTTCGATGCCGAACCCTGAGTACGAAGTCTCTGCCTTGGTAGACATTGAGAAAGCCCAATTAAATCAAATCAACACAACAGCCGAAACTGAAGGAAAAAAAAATCAACCGAGTCTTTGAAGCTTGGAAACGAAATGGCTGTGACTCCAATTGCAAGCTTCATGTTCATTTCTCTGTCACTAAACCCTGAATATATTTAAAGGGTATATTCGCTCGGCTATACTGTTTTTTAATTTTTTTAAGTGTATAGTTGTGCTTTGTCATATAATTTTAGGGTTTAGTGCTAAAATACCACTTTAGCCCATTTTGGCTAGAGTTATTTCTTCAATTACTTTATTTATACAAGTGACATTGGAGGAATGAGAATTTAAATTCTTTCCGATACCACACATTCTAATGATTTCCAGCTATTAGCCCATTGAGCAAGAATAAAAAATGAATTTTATTTATAACAAATAATACGGGTTAAACCCGTAAACACAACAACAAAAATAGGGATCTGCCAACATTTTGTGGACCAAAGAATGTTGAATTTCATAGTATAAAATTGCTTGTGTAAGAATTTACTTTCTAAATTGTATCCATCATAATTATGAACTAAACCCAATTACAGCCTTTTTCTCATTGCTCTCTTGACAACCCTACTCTTCTCCTATGAGATATATCAGTCCGCGCGGCTATACTTTTAAAATATTCAAATGTATTTAAAGAGTATAGCTGTGCGGCTATAATTTTAAAATATTGAATACTTTTGCTTTTAGCAATTCTGAATGTACTTTGGACACACTATCCACAGTATGGGAGCGGTCGTGATTGTACATAATGGTGCAGTCCTCAACAATATAACATATGCATTCATGGTAAGAAAACCTGTTAGATGAGATTATTTAGGGTAATACAAGAGTCTGTCATGTAATTCTCAGTGTTTTACAACTAATAATTTTGGTGGTAGGAACAGACAATCCGTTACATGTTTAAGTTTTGCAAAGATTTGCGGCTCAACATCTTCAAGATTGAAGTGATATAGTTACATGTGCCTTCAGAGTTCTAGAAAATTAGAAAACCATCCACCAAAATTTGTAAACTACTCTATAGAATTAAAGAGATAGGCAAATAATTTTAGGGTTTAGGGCTAAAATACCACTTTAGCCCATTGGGCTAGAGTTATTTCTATAATTACTTTATTTATACAAGTGACATTATAGGGGAATGAGAATATAATTTTTTTCTGATACCACATATTCTAATGATTTTCAGCTATTAGCTCATTGGGCAAGAATAAAAAATGAATTTTATTTATAACAAATAATACATGTTCAACCCATAAATACAACAACAAAAATAGGGATCTGCCAACATTTTGTGGACCAAAGAATGTTGAATTTCATAATATAAAATTTCTTGTATAGGAATTTACTTTCTAAATTGTATCAAAAGTTCAAAACCACTGTGCTTATTTAAAAAAAGAAACAAAAACAAGCAATGATTAAATCCTATATTTCTCTTCCCACTCACTATCTCTAGCACCAACACCCCAAAACTATTGACATCGGATTTTATCGAGTAGAACTCATCAATTGCATATTCTGAGGACATGTAACCACTACAAACCAGTTAATCAAAAACTAAATTAATAAGCAAATCAAATATACTATATGTATGTGTTGGTTCTTGTTTTTAAGTTCACAAAATAATTCATAAAAATTAATTACTATTTGATAAGTAATTTATGAAACAAATTAAATATCCAAATACTAATTATTCACAAAGAAATAAGAGATATTTAGTAATATACCCATTCTTAGCACTAAAACTATAAATAAACCCTACATCATT